TTTGTAAACGAATCGTGGTATACTTGAGACAATAAAGACTTGGTCAACTTGTAGAATGAACAATTCAGAAAATGTCAGAAAACACATGACCTACAATTAGAACACAACTTTCAACTGCAAGTAAGAATCTAAACTACAACCTGGAATGCAACACTTGAAACATCAAGCCATCTAAGAAGAAAGTTGAAAGATTATAGCTGTCTTCCCCAAGACATTATACCCCTTCACAGTGGCTTTTAACTGTAGACCAAATGTTATTGTCAACCTCACAATGAGATGATTCTGGAGTCTTCTGTAACTTTGGGATGATTGTCTCCATCACTAGCCTCCTCATCTTCAGCCTTCACTTTCTCTCCTTCACTAGCCCCCTCATCTTCAGCCTTCACCTTCTTTCCATCACTAGCCCCCTCATCTTCAGCCTTCACCTTCTTTCCATCACTAGCCTCCTCATCTTCAGCCTTCACCTTCTCTCTATCACCAGCCTCATCTTCAACCTACACTTTCTCTCCATCACTAGCCTCCTCATCTTCAGCCTTCACCTTCTTTCCAGCACTAGCCTCCCCATCTTCAGGCTTCACCTTCTTTCCATCACTATAGTTTCCTCATCTTCAGCCTTCACCTTCTCTCAATCACTAGCCTCCTCATCTTCAGCCTTCACCTTTTTTCCATCACTAGCCTCCTCATCTTCAGCCTTCACCTTCTCTCAATCACTAGCCTCATCTTCAGCCTTCACCTTTTTTCCATCACTAGCCTCCTCATCTTCAGCCTTCACCTTCTCTCCATCACTAGCCTCATCTTCAGACTTCACCTTCTTTCCATCACTAGCCTCCTCATCGCCAGCCTTCACCTTCTCTCCATCACTAGCCTCCTCAATTTCAGCCTTCACCTTCTTTCCATCACTAGCCTCCCCATCTTCAGCCTTCACCTTCTCTCCATCACGAGCCTCATCTTCAGCCTTCACCTTTTCTCCATCACTAGCCTCTTCATCTTCACTCTTCACTTTCTCTCTATCACTAACAGCATCTTCAGCCTTCACCTTCTCTCCTTCACTAACCACGTTTGGGGTAGATCGTGTATAGTGGTCTGTTCAAAACATTGGCCAAAGTGTGAATTTGCCAGATTCCCATAAAAGACTTGTCCCTCTTCACTTTCAGGGTTTTGAGTCGAAATATGCTTTGGATTATGTTGTCTGTGAGACAAGTTCCTGGAACATATATGTCAGAATACTGAGCATAATGACGTGGCAAGTTATGTCTCTTTGCACTGACATCCTTCCTTTATGCCCTGAGACGGGAAATTTCCATCAAGAGCTTTGGCTTCATTGGCAACAAGTTCAGAGACTATTCTCACTGTCATTTCTGCTGCTCTGTCAATTGTCCCAAAAGCAAGTACACTGCCACATGATGGTGAGCAGTTACCATTTGATAACATAGTACAAGGATACAGCTCACCATTTGTCATTGCCATGGTTAATTTAGTTGTACAGTTCCACTCTGAAATTCCACTGTGGAGTTGCTTTGTATTCCAGTCAAGCACACATTGCTATTCAGTAAACCTTCATGAAATCAGCATTAGTGAATTTCAAATTATTGATGATGTAATGAAATCTATACATTATTATACTTGAGTGTTTGTCTTTGCCAACAAAGACCTTTTCAGAAAATAAAGAAGCGTGGAGAGTTGAATTTTAGTGCAGTGAAGAAATGTTTTTCTCCAAAACTCGTATTCTAAAACTTGTTTGACCTTTTAAAATAGAAAATACCCATAAGCTATTAGGTACTTCATGATCACTGCCATGATTCTATATTAAATGTAAAGTTTGTCTTTTCTATAACCATGGTACCATATTAACTCCGAAATCATAAACACTTATTCTAGCAAGCTTAGGAACAAGTAACTGAAATCTCATTGATCCCTTTAGTACAATATATCATCAAACATAACAGACAGTAGTTACTTTGATTCTGATTGTCTTATGGAATTGTAGAATGTCATTACTGAAGCAAAACTGTCTTTGCCGTAACACATTTCTTATAACAATTAGGTGTTTCAATAATTTTGCATAAAATGATGATGTGCAAGTTTATCCCACAAACTGCTTGATTGAAATAATTAATTAGAATATTGAAAAAGAACAGAGAGTAATTTACTTTGTTTCTTTATAACTTTTCAATTGCAAAATGTCATTACAATAACAAAATATGTCTTTAATGTAACACATTTCTTATAAAGACCATATGTTCTGACAATAATGCTCAAAATAATAAAATAAAACTTTGTCTTTCAAACTGCTGAATTAAAATATTCAGTTGGAATGTTGAAAAAGAACAGAAAGTAATAGTTTTCATACTTTATAGCTTATTAAGTGAAGAAAGTCATTACCATAACAAAATCTGTCTTAGCTGTAACAAAATTTAGTGTTACAGGAAAGACAAATCATTAGATAAAAAATTATATTGACTAATTAATGGTCCCTTCATGAAGCTGAATGTTCACACAATTTTCTGTTCATGAATTGGCACATAAACTTGGGACTTGAAATAACTATTTTGCATCTGTTCCATTGAATCATAGCGTTATTGGAAAGACATGAAATGAAAATACTCATCATTTCTATTATGGCAGAAATCAACAGTCTTGATAATATCAATTGATGTTTATTGTCCGTTATTCCTTGACAATAATAAGTGAAAAGCTCATTCGTTTGGATCTGTTAACATGCTTTTCCTTTGAACGTTAGCGTTGAATGAACAGTGTTGAGATTCAAGAAACTAGAAAATAAGAAGAAAATGTGCTAAGTTACAGTGTAAACATTAAATTGGCTAAGTTGTTATAAATACAAAATTCTACAAATATTATATCATTTGAAGATAAATGATAGCTTCAACATTACTTTAGATGTACACACGTTGTATAAATATGAATAAGCAGGTTAAAAACTTACATCTGTGTTCTGCAATAGTTCATGACATGTTTCTCCAACATGGAGACCTTTCAAACTGAAGGTGACAGTGGATGAGGTCACATGACTAATCCCATGATGCAACACAACTGATTATAAGTCACAAAAACTTTTGCCTGAACCTGGGATTGTACCCTGGACCTTTATGCTGCTAGTCCAGTGACATAACCAACAGACCATTGTTAAGGCTGTGTATTAACATGAAATTCATAACATTTTTGCATAACAGATTTGCAACATTAATTATACATTCTGCACAAACCTTACCTTTTTGGTTAACTTTTGGTGCTTATTTGTCTCCTGGTGCACATGGCACATCACACTCCTATTGTATAGGAAATGGTACTAGGCATGACAGAAAGTACTGATATCCTTACATTGGGGATCATTGATTATTCCAAAGTTTTATAAGTGTTACACGGAAAGACACAAAAGCTAAGGACGGTGCTTTATATAATTATCATTCAAGAATTATATCAGTTAGATTGAAATTACACACTGAAATTCCTAAATGAATCTAGTTTTTATAAGATAACCACAGTAATATTATATACATGCCAATATTTATAAAATGACAGTTTCTCAAATTTGAAGTTAAATGCACTGGGACAGCCAAAAATGCACTTTCTACCCATTTAAAACGCATCAAAAACACATAATATGACACAATGATTGAAAATAACCATTTTACTAGATGCATTACTTTGCAGGTGATAATCTGTACAAATTGCAATGTCAATATGTATTTTTTTTTTAATTTTGTAATGGGTTCGGACAGAAATAGTGACATCTTTTGAAAATGACTCACATACGAAATAAATCTGTCTGTCTGTCTGAACGTCTTTAACGCATTTGGTTTGACGACCCGTCCTTTATGTTAAAAATATGTTAAAAACAAGACAGCCGTCTCTATGTAAACGTTTAATATAAAAACACAAAGATTATATGATCAAGCATACAAAACTGAAACATGGACACCAAGTCCAAGTCGTCCATAATGTGTACCAGCACAATTACATTCGTAAATTATTAACAAATAAACAGTGACAAGCATCTATTCATACCTACTAGTCTAAGTATAGATCCACGTTTTGAACCCTGGCAGTGTATGATAAGGATCAGGTATGTGTTATGTCGATCTATATCACATTTCCCTATATCTATCAATATTAATATCTTGGCCACGTAGGGATTCCAGGTTAGAATTAGTTCCAGTAGCATATGTTTTGTGGTACAAGATGACTAACATGGACCCTGACTTAGTGTCAGGGTACCCGATTGCATGCGACGTTGCTCATTATATCAATCACTTGTTTTCCTGGAGTCAAATAATGACCAGACCGTCGTCATACAGCTGGAATATTGATGAGTGCGCGTTAAACAATATCCACTCGCTTTATAACTGTCGCAGATCGCCTCCGAAAAATATCATACATTTGTTGTATTCCTGACTTAATAATAACAGCAAAGTCCCATGCAGTCGGGTACAATGTCAGACCAAATCACCGAGCCTTTAATATACCATTCGATTCATTCAGTCGCCTCTTACGATATTCAGGTTAATGGGTACCTATTCCAACCTAGGAACACGTTGTGTCATGGGTATGGTGCTGACAAAACCAAGCGTTATAATCGGGACGAATGTGGGATACAAATATCGGTCAGCGGATCCTGTTCATATCCTCCCGCGAGGTTCGGTTGCGCGCTTAAAGACCGAGACTAGTTGTATGTCATCTTGGGCAATATTCCATCGCTACAATCGTTATGTGGAGGTGGGCCAGATCGCCTGTAACAGTCTGTTCTGTTCAGATGGTCCATCACAATGGACATTTCTTATCAAAAACATAACAGTCTCAGGGACCAACCGCCTCCGTGGTCTAGTGGTAGAGCATCCGACCGGAGAGCGGAAGGTCCAGGGTTCGATCCCCGGCCGCGTCATACCAAAAGACGTCAAAGGATGGTACTTGTTAGGGCATTAAGGGCCTAAAACAAGGACTTGTCGGCTACTGTGTCTGAGTGGGGTATTCATGTTAAACTGCCGCATGGTATCTCGGTGAGCTAGCGCTATAAATCTAGTCCGCACACACGTCGCATGCATGCACGTCGCTATATAAGTGCAGTAACCTTGGACGCGACGTTAAACCCAATTTCACCTCACCTATAACTGTCGCATATCCTCTACTTCCGACATGACAATATCTTTCTAAAACACAATGCTTCCCAGTTAATAGATACTGTTTCATCGTTCCATGACTATTAATACACACTGAAAAACAGTGTGTTGATGACGGTAGAGTTTCCGCTGGTCACAGCATTATCACCGTCAGTTTCACATCAAGTCTTCCACCGCCAGGAACAATGACGTGGCGTCAGGAAAGTCTTCCCCTCTATTCTGCTTCCTTGATGCAATAGCTTGTCGAATTAGCTCCTCCGAGACGCCCATGGCAATCACTGCCTCCACCTGTGGAGAGTTCCTGGGTTTACTCGGAGGACTACCTGCGTGTCCTTGATTCTTTGTGGGACATTCAGTTCCAGGTCCGTTTTTGTCCCTGCTGGATCCAAGGTTTGCAACAACTACACCAGGTGCACAAGACGCTCCAGCGTGTCCAGGATCCTGTTCACGCATGTCAATTTCGTTCCCCTGTTTGCTGTTGTGGGTGTGTTGTATGTACTCACATCTAGGAGACCACTGGAGATGTGCATCGAACGGATCATCATCAGTATCCCAGTCCCTTAATGTCACCCCACAGTAGAAGCACCGAGCTCGGTCTGCAGAACCAATGTAGAAAAACCCGGCGGCAGCCATGTTTTGAGGAGAATGAATATCCAGTTTAAGGGGCCATGCTTCAAATGTGCCAAGTCTCTTCACCTGGTCAGCGAAGCTGCTATACTTTGCCTTTGCAAGGTCATACCCAGACCGTATCTTAGGCGTAACCACAGGAAACCACTTATTGAGGAAGCTGCAGTCTGGAGAATGTTTCCTGTGTGCGTCAAGAGGCACGTCCTTCTCCGTCCAGTTGTACAGTTTGACCTTGCAGGTGTCACACTCCACTTTGTCCCCGGGTCCGATCAACACGAACCCGGCAATGGCTAGTGTTACTGCTCTAATCTTCCCAGCCCAGTTTTCGAATGTTCTCAACCTCCTAGTCAGGTTGTCCTTCTCTTGAGTGGGTTGTCCGAGGTGCGGGAGGCGACGTATTTCACTTCCTGGTCGGCTTGACTCGGCACTGGCGGCACATGCAGGCGCCCGAAACACTGCATCTGTTACATCCATGGCACACAACTGTATATCCACTTATGTAGAACTTTTCCAACGATACGTGCATCAACAATGACTGCAGGAAGGACATAGAGATTAGGTTAACGCAATATAAAAAACACGTCATATACGCGCAGTAACTATGGCTATAAATAGACCCGCGTCGGGGAAAACCCCAAATCAATTGCCGCGTTTCATATCAATGTCAATGCTTTTCATACAGGCCGTCAGCCGATTACACTAAAGGTGAGTTGGGGTGAATTGGGGTTTAACGTCGCGTTCAAGATTATTGCACGTATATATATAGCGACGTGTGTGTATCTGTCTTTGCTTGTACTGGTCCAGACTGATGCCGACTTAATAGTGCTAGCACACTGAGATACCATGCCGCAGTTTAACATGAATACCCCACTCAGACACAGTATACTGACTCTGAGCCGACCAGTCCTTGTTTTAGCCCCTTAATGCCGAGCGCCAGGCAGGGTACTTGGTATGACGCGGCTGGGGATCAAACCCCGGACCTTCTGCTCACCGGTTGGACGCTCTACCACTAAACCAGGGAGGCAGACTAACACAGAAGAGAAGACTATATCACACATGAGGGTCAATACGTCGTACTTTCACTTTCACAACAAATAATGCCATTCTATTGACAGCGCTGACACGTCATTGATAATACCCAATCTCACATTAGGAGCTGACGCACAGGTATGTTCGGTGCTGACATCAATATGCGTTGTAACGTTACGCTGATGTCGACAAAAAAAAGACTTTATTCAATTCCAATTCCGTATGTTCATCCGCCTGGGGATTCCAGGTAGGAATAGAGCCAGCATTATTTACAGTAACGAGGTAGGTCACATCGAGACAGTCCGACCTGATACAGGTTATATTAGACGCTTACCACGTATGCGGAAGCACAGAACACGAATATGGTGCTACTTTATAATGTATGTCATCTCCGTCAACACCATAAACTCAACGGTCAGCATTGGTATTACATCTCCACGTCCATGTTATTAAAAGATAGTCTGGCCAAGACACGATTATTTTCAGACCGCCGTCATACAGCCTCAACAATGCTGAGGGAGGCGTTAAATGATCTCAATCAACATAAACAAAAACATTTTAAGAGTCATGAAACGATGAAACAGAAGTTCCTTGTGATGTCACTAATTCGTTGTGCAGAGTTGCGTTCCTTGGCCACGCCAGGAACCTATGATTGCGGTTTCGAATCCCGGTTCGCCCCGATTATGTTTCTAGGTTTGTCAGCACCGCGCTCGTGGGTTTCACCGAAGTTGTAAATGTTGTAATCACCTCAGGCTTTCCTCCCACATTAAGCTGACACGCTGTGATATAACTGGAATAATGTTAAAAGCGGCGTTAAACCCAACTCACTCACACTCGCTGTTATGTCACTATTTACTGGGAAGGTTTGCCTCTTAGTAAGATAATGCTGTGTCGGAAAAAGGGGATGTACGACAGCTATGGAACCATTTAGTGTTTGTACAAAAGAGTCGTCCCGTGAAGATTCCGGGTTTGAATTGGTCTTCGGCTACCCATGCTTGTCATAAGAGGCAACTAACGGGATCGGGTGGTCAGGCTCGCCGACTTGGTTGATGCATGTCATTGTATCCCAAATGCGTGGATCGATGCTCATGATGTCAATCATTAGATTGTCTGGTCCAGACTCGATTATTGACAGACCGCCGTCATATAGCTGGAATATTGCTGAGTGAAGCGTTAAACAACAAACAAGCAAGCAACATTTGCAAGTTTGTTATATGACACATTTTCGTATAAAACATAAGAAAGAAAAATATGTGCATTTATACACACTGCTTTGGGCACTTTTTTATATCCATTCGAGCTTAGAACAGTTGTTCAGTTGGTGCATAGGTGTACAGTCCAAAGATGTTGTTCCTAACTTAACATCATCAACACAGGTAGTGAGAAACTAGCCAGGATACACTTGGTGTGGGGATCAGGCAATATAGTAGCAGTATTTCTTCAATAAAAGCGACAAAACACTTTCCATATTCAATGGAAATACTGCTTAAAGCACAGTCGATTATACGACTCCGACTATATCATGAGCATGTGTTCATGAATCACTATCAAATAGTAGGTGTTCGCGAAAAGGCGAGTGTATCCTGCGCTACCGGTGGCACCCATCACAAACCTGTCTGGTGTTCCCCGCCGTGATATTGTGGGAGATTGTTAAAAGCGGCGTAAAACCCTACTCACTAACTCACTCACTCACCTCATCCACTTAAAACTAGCACTGCAAGCACTGGCATGTTGTTGCCTCGTGAAGGAGACGTATGTTCCTCTCTAACGTGGACATAATACGTGCATGTATACGTGTTCATACACTTCCGCAGTACAAAGTACATTGTTTATGTTACAAAACTTGCTTTATGTTCAGAACGTGCAAAGGGTAACAATTTTCTTAAATTTATTATAAGATATATTCACATGTGGTGGCTTCTGAGTTGTCATTTCGCATTCTTGTAATTCACCTTTTCATATCAAATCGTTAATGAGTGAGTTGGGTTTAACGCTGCTTTGAACAGTATTCCAGTAACATCACGGCGTGTCAGCTTAATGTTGGAAGGAAGCCCTAGGTGATGCAGGGCTCAGACGTTTACCACTTTGGTGAAACATACGAGCAAGAGTGGTGTGAAAGGGGATTCGAACCCACAGCCTTGACTTGACACTCCATTGCTTCTTACAGAGAACAGAGCGGATGATGTGCTTCTTCTGACCCATATTTCGCCATTACTAGAACTATATTTCGCCATTACTAGAACTATATTTCGCCATTACTGGAGCTGTTTCTTTGATTTCATTCCGTGTATTTCAGATGAGTGGTATTGACACCTGACCATGATAAAGTCATTATTTATGAACATCACCGCTCGGATGCATGGCGTTTCACTTCAAATTAGAATGAATACCATTGACCTTCAACGGACCGAACCGAACACTCTCAAAGCCCACACTAAAAAAAACCATATATTTAACCTAAATCGTTAAAAGCTTTAATTTGTCTACTTTGTTGACTGATCGCTATTGCACTTGACAATGAGAGTGACCTTGGTCATTCCGCAGTTCAGGAACTATTGTTATTTGTTGTTTAACGCCGCACTCGGCAATATTTGATTGACATCATGAGCATCGATCCACACAATTTGGATACGATAACATGCATCAACCAAGTCATCGAGCCTGACCACCCGATCCCGTTAGTCGCCTCTTACGACAAGCATGGGTTGCTCAAGATCAATTCTACCCCGGCTCTTCACGGGTCCATTCTCCTACGTGTCGACTGTGCTTCAACCCAGTTTTGTATTGTACAGAGAAGGTTATGCCTACGTAACACCCTTTGTTCAGTACACATTTCAATCACCGTCTCGAAGTCCTCTGGACTATGGAACATAGTTTTCCATAAGTTCGTGACACTGTTTGCTTTGTGTGTTTGTTGTTTACGTCGCACTCAGCTATATGACAGCTGAATGTAAATAATCGAGTCTGAATCTGACAAACCAATGATTGATATCATGAGCAACGATTCACGCCGGGTACGCAACCAACCAAGGCACCGAGCCTGACCACTCAATCCATTAAGTCGCCTTGTAGGACACGAATAAGATGCTATCCTGGAATCACTAGGGGTATTGTGCGAGTCCAGTGGTGCGCCGATATAGTGTCAATACGATATCTGCTCGGAGCAGAATGTTGCATCGTCTTCAACGAGTTAACGAGGTTTAACAAGGCTGTATTTATGAATTGCAGACATTGTAAAATGAAGCGAAACAGTCTTGAAACGTTCGGTTGCTGCACTTATAGCTGGGGTACCTATTGGTCATTTAGTCCATAATATATTTTTGTTGTTGTTGTTGTTTAACGCTGCACTCAGCAATATTCGAGCTTTATGACGACGGTCTGTAAATAATCGAGTCTGGACCAGACAATCCAGTGATTGACATCATGAGCATCGATCCACGCATTTGGGATATGATGACATGCATCAATCAAGTCAGCAACCTGACCACCCGATCCCGTTAGTCGCCTCTTACGACAAGCATAGTCGTGTACTAAAGTATGTCGGGTACAGTACACACATTCAAAGGACACATACAGCTTGTGCCTTGTAAAGAAATAGTCTTGACAGCCATGTTTACCTTGCTCAAGTATCTCGCTCAGTAGCTTTAGTTGTTTTAACGCGCAGGTCGTTTAATTAATTTTCCACACAAGAGATTAAACGATATGAAAGTCTTCGAGACCTACCAGCATGGAAGGAAAACTTTCCCACTTCAATCTATACGGTAAACGTACTTCATGGTGTAGAGTTTTTTCAAAGGGGTGACAATACCTTCTGCTCCTCGAAGAGTCTCTTCACTTGTGAGAACTATAGGTTCTAATGAAGAATTCGTGTTTTCCTTGCTCCACTCCTCGAAGTCATCACTCTTGTTTAAAGCATGAACACTGACTGGGGTGTGGGTAGTGAGGTCCTCAGATCCTCCCGCTTATTGTACTAATGCGGATGTCAATAGCAATATTGTAAAACAAAAATAAGTATCTGGCGTCGTTTTCGAACGAAATTTCCGCGCATCGAATACTCCAAAACACGACCTCTATATGAACTCACTTAACCACCTTCGTATTTCAGGAGAACACATGCCACATAAACAATTGCTGTTACAAAAGTCAACTCCTTAATGCAAGAAACAAGACCCACAAATGTGACCCACACAAATCGCTGCTACACTAGTCCCACGGCAAGTGCGGGAAAGAATCGTTTCATGCCACAGTGAACAATATTCAACCCATATTCCGGCAGTCTGTACATAACAAAGTGTGGGTTACCACGAACACCAATTTACGCCATTGGACAAACAAGCAGTCATCTCACGCATTTAAACTATCCCATTCTTAATAGTGGGATCTGATGGTAAGAATAAACAAAGTAGTGAAAATGGGTGACAAGTGTGGCAATTTTATCTACAGCTACGTTTGCTGGTTTGAAAGTGTAAAGTGTTGTTAATGGTCTGAAAATAAAAAATGACATAACCCCTATTTACTTAGGTTTCCCCTTCATACCAAATCAGTAGCACCCCTCATAAGTAACACCAAAAAAACTTCATACAGGGTCACTCAAAAAGTGATGCCTTTAACCTATGGAAGACCTTGACAAATGTTAACTTGTCTAACCCCAATAACTTCACATATTTGAATTTATGTTATAACCTTGAGTGAGACCTTGACCTGACCCGAAAGGCAAAGGGTTATTTCGCTGAAACCTCTCATTATACCAACAATTGCTGTGTCTCATAAATAGGCTGAAATAGAACAGTAGGAAAAGGGAGTACTCCAACAAGCATGAATGCTGACAAAACAACCTTCATTGTGACCTTGACCCCAAAAGGTCACAGAATACATGTTCAAGGCCATGGTTAAAAGATGTGAAGAATCACAAAACTTACACTTTTATCTGACCAAGATACGTTGATCTGGTAATCCTCCCTCAGACCACAGGCATATACAAAAATTGTATTAAGATGATGACATTTTATGTCTCTTTTACTACAAAACAGCCCTCTCTATATTTAAAAAATTTCATATTTCATTGTTTGTACCCAGTGAGTTTTTTTATAGCTAAAAGGCATACAATTTCATTATCACAATCAGAACTTTGGATTCCTGTGCTGATGCTGAAAAGTCTCTTCATCTCGGAGATAGCATCTGGAAGTTCTCAAAATCACAGGCAAACCTCCATTGTGATCCATTTTCTTGGATCGTGGATATTCCAAGCTCAAGAACCAATAATTATGTCTTTGTTTGCCTACATTGGTGAGTGTAAGATCATGAACAAGATCTTCTATACACTGTAAGCTGTATGTGCACTGAAAACAGGTGACACTGGGAAAATCAAAGACTCCTGTGTATGCATGACAAAAATCTAATTCTATTTCATATTTTATTCACATGTCCAAGACTGTGTGGAACAATTCACATAAATGTAAATACATCTTTCTCTTTACAAATCATGTCATGGCACATTTACTCTCGAAAAATACATGAAAATTGAAAGAAAAACAATGATATATATATTTATATATTAATATAGATACTTTTTACGAAAAATCATTCTGATTTGATATCTTATTAACAATTACACTATAACTGGTTGCAATGGGCATTCAATGAGCAACACAAAGCACAAGGTAAATCATCCTACATTTTCATCATTAAGGAAGTGTTGCTGTAGCAATGAAAATAACAATGCCATACAGAATGATTTGGCTTATATACGTGTTAGTAATTCATGTTTGTAACAAACGAATAATAGCATGAACAAACAGTTCCATGTCGACAACAATTTTATATTTCACCGATGCGTCACAAAGGCTGTGTCAGCATCTGATATTCAAAATTTTCTGCAGAAACAACAATGACACATCTAATCATTTGAAAAAATATGATGTCATCTGAAGTACAAACATACATTTCAAAGTTCTGCTTTCTCATTTGGTCAATTTCTGTGGAGAAGAAATTTTCAGAGCCAAATATGCATTATGACAGAATTTGAGAGCATGGTCAAAACTCAAAGGCCTAAACAAGGTCAAATTGTTGACTGGAACATATGCATTGAGTCAATTTGAATGCTATGAAAACTGTATTTACAGATATATTAATCCTATTTTCATCCTTTCTACAAATGTATTTGAATATACAGAAAATATTGTAATACAAGCAAATATTTTAAATTAAAAAAATTGTAATTTTTCAGAGGATTAATTGTACCTTTTTTGGCTGCATCTGCAAAATATATGCCATTGAATTAAGTAAAACAAGTAAAGTAAAACAAGACAAAATATACCAATATCTTGTCACTCTTTAAGGAAAAGGCTAAAATGTGATTAATCTCAAATACATATATAAACATGTATCAGTCCTTTTTTTAAAAAATGATTTCAGTGTATATCAGTTTATTTCAATCACAAGAATACTGATGGAAACTGACTCTTTAGAAGAAGTATCAACGCATGTTACACAATACAATACCTCACTACACTTGAATGGAATCCTATGAAAAAAATACAAAAATATTTAAACTCCAACCTTTGCATGAAAGCCCTATGATACACAGAGTAATGTGTTTATAAAAGCAACTTGTTTAATAAATACACAATTAAATACCATATATACCATTCACATATCCTGAAGATAAATGTCTTTCCTAATGCTGACAAGAATCATAAAAGTACAATTCACATACACTGAAGCTGAGCCAATGGCCATCATGACATACTGGTCAAGGCAGAGTGTTACTCCATTATGTATACCATAAGTACTAAACATATCCTATACAGGTATACATGATTGGTCACTTTCATTTATTCTACCCTGACTTTGGAAAACACTTGATTCTGATTGGTCAATCATTGGTTTCAAATCACAATAACCACCACTGATTGAAAGAGCTGATTTGATGGCCGCATCAACTGTAGGTAATGCTTCTATCTCCATCATCGTCACTTGGCATTATGAAATTGTGATATGTGCAATTGTAGTTTACAAAATACAAACATGCACTTAAGTACAATGTTCCAAAAACGTTTAGGCAATACATGAGGGCAGAAACACCATAGAAATATTAAAGTTACTTCAAGGTTAAGGGACAACACAAAGCCTTCCCATTTGGTGCTTCTCTAAGGGCTATTTGTCATATCTTGTTTAGGCCCAATGATCATTGGGACATCATACTATAGTCTGGAAGGTAATTTAAGGTACTGACGTTTACTACAATATCTGAAAAACTATCGGACCTACTCCAGTCAAAGTTGATATGAGATTATTAAACAGTCATACATAACTGGATATTACATTTAAAGACAATCGGTGCATGAATAAAAAGTCTGTCTATTTAGCTATCACTATATTTCATCAACAACCAGACTTGTTCGTCACGGGTGGAACGAGCATTCATTGAAACAGCCATCTGCATAATGCTACCCCTGCGTCACAGGGCCATATGACACAGTTGAACCAATCAACTCAACTCGAAAGGGTGCACGAATATGGTGTTAGCGTTGGGCATCTCAACATGCGTGATGTTTTAGGAACAAATTTACAACATTTCAAACATGGTATAACTCATGTGGTTGCAAATGTATTTCGTACCCTAGTCTTCATTGAACCCATATATTTTCACACAAAATTACCCAGGTAAAGATTAGTTTAAATAAACTGTTGCAGGAATGAGTGATGGTTAAAAGTTCTTTTAATTATCAATTACATAAAATACAAACTCAGCATACTTTCTCAGTTTATGTAATTAAAGTATATTGATGTTAGAAGAGTTTTTGAGGAGAATATTTGAGTATATTCAGCACTGTAATTGTCTATTGGCTTTTGTCACGTTTCCTTAATACAAACTGACAGCCTATTAAAAAGTGAACTCAACCAAGCCTCTTAACTCATTATCTCTGCTAAAACCAAAGCGTTTGTATTTAGTTCTCTTATGTGGAATGTAGAAAAAAAATTAAATGTACATTTGTTGCACGTTTGGTTCAAAATTCAATTTGGCATCATCAAATAACCACGGGATAACATAGCCTAAGATTATCTCCCAGTTAAGAAACATTTTTCATTCATTTTTCTGACTGTGATTTTTGGCTCTGGTTGGACAAATCCATAAATATAAAACTAAAGTGTCACCATTCATTGAATAAGCACATACAGAAATACACCACCAGAACAGACAACAGCTAGAGGTAGCAGGTTGAGCATAAATACATGGAATGTTTTACAACTGACATATTTCCTACCACATGATGTTACTTTCTTAACCAAATATTTGGAAACAACTACTACTGCTGCCTTACAGTGGAAGAAAACAGCACCAAGTCCATTATAAGGCACTTTTCCGTCACTATATGCCCAAATTATAAGTGGGCGAGTTGTATAAAGCCTAACGAGTGACGCAAAAAAACACCCCGAGTGATACGGCTTATCATATTGACATGTTTTAATATTACATTGTAAAAGAATAAAAACAAATTTAAAATTTATAGAAAACAGCTGTTTGATTGAGCTGATGTTAACTTGTGCTGTCACATGATTTTTATTGACTCAGAAAATGCGTGGGGCCTATTGCTCCAAAGTGAGATATAAGAGATTTATTCTCCCTCTCAGAAATCCACGTGCAGCCTGTTTTGTTCAAAGCAGGGAATACAGGATTTACTCTCCCTCTTAGAAATCCACATGCAGTCTGTCTTGTTTGTGGCAGGATATAAGGGATTTATTCTCCTTTTCAGAAATCCATGTGCAGCCCGTCTTGTTCATGGTGGGGTATAAGAGAAATATATTTCCTTCTCAGGCGTGATACATTTTTACATACTATTTTTATTAAGATCATGCGAACTAATGAGATCTCATCATTCTGACATGGAGGTATGATCATATTATTTGTTTGTTTCCCATTGAACAGTCAGCAACAGTCCAGCAGTATCACAGCACTTGTAATTAGATAAACAAGAAAGGGCAGACCAACCAGAGGCTGACATGATGAGCATCATTCCATGTCAATAGGCACCCAATCCACCAAATCACCGAGTCTGACATTCTGATCTATTAAGTCACCTCTTACAAGTATAGGTTAGTAGGGACATATTCTATCCAGAATCCCCATGTGGATACTCAAGTCAAATACTGACCTTTATGACAGAGTCACCTCTGGATAGAACCAACTTAATTCTAGTCTTTTGGACTGGTTCATCAATCTTCAATACAGCAAAAAGGGCATCAGATTAACATGCTTCTAGTATTTAGTTTGATCATGATCAATGTGATCATGTAATATTATAGTGATTAGTGTTTCAGTGAATCAAGTATCAAATATTGTGAAAGACTAATGCTGGGTGAGAAAAATAAAATCACCTGCTGGCAAATACTTCACCGTATTCAGGGTTCTTCGTCCTAAAATGCTAACATGCAAAGATGTCTTTCTGATACCAAGGTGCATGAGAAGCAAATTGATATTTGTCCCTATGGAAGACACAGTGATTGCACCAGACATTTCACAGAATCAAATACTGATACATTATAGGCCCTATACACAAGACGCAATGTATCATCACACAACTAGGTCTTATGTACCAATCAGAATGTAAAAAAGTTTTTAACATTTAACATTACGATTATAACAAGGACCCATTCATCCTCTATATCTCCAGGGCTAGCATTTTGGTAAACCCATACTAACCCCTGGACCCATCTCCGTAGTTCTCATAATCTTAAATTACCTGCCCTTGAATTTCCTTAACATTTTACTGACCGATCTAAAGTTGAGATAAGGATAAAGAAAAGGGGTAAGAGAGGTAACTTGTGTTGCCTAGAAACCAATGCCACCACCAGTTTTGATGGACATGAAGACCTCCTTTCCATCAAAAAGATTTTTTAGGGCTTTCTTTTGCATGTCAGTCAGTCTTTCAACTAAACTTTGGCTAAAGGATATATTGGGCGGTTAATTTTAGATTGTGACAGCCATGGGGATGGGCCCAGGGGTTAGTGTAAGTTTACCGAAAAGCTAGCCCTGGAGATATAGAGGGTGGGACCCATTGATTTTCATGCTTAACTCTGAATCAAATACTGATCATTTCAAGGCCTTATACCCAAGAGGTCAATGCAGTATCAGTGCCTGCCTGGCTTGAAATATAGAGTATCATCATGACTCTTTCTACTGTAGCTGTCCCCATTCTTCCTGTTACTTTTACCCTGCACAGCTTCCTCCATAGAGTTCGCTAGTTGCAAGTTGTCGAAGTCCGCTATGCCGTAATCACTTGTGCCTACTGCTGCAAACCCTTGTGATGGTACATCTGGAACTGATATGTTGAACAGAAGGTCTCCGTTCACATGGCCGACTGCTTGGCGATCCTGAAAAAAGATGATGAAATATGGTGAGTAAATGTTGTTTTACACCGCAGTCAACATTATCTGGGACTCGTGAAGATACGGAATTACGTATCTCGAATACCCATGAAGATTTGGGTTAGAATAGATCTTCAGCAACCCATGCTTGCCGTAACAGGCGACTATGCTTGTCGTAAGAGGCGACTAACGGGATTGGGTGGTCAGGCTCACTGACTTGGTTGATGTATGTCATCGTGGATGACGCTCTTGATGTCAATCACTGGATTGTCTGGTCAAGACTCAATTATTTACAGTCGCCATCATATAGCTGGAATATTGCTGAGTGCGGCGTTAAACAAACAAACAAAACATATCTCGAAATGCACCTCTCCAAACCTCATTTTTCGATCCAAGATGGCGAAAGTGAGAAAAAGGTCAATAGCGCACGGTAACACATGGTTCCCTAAAGTACTTACATATTTAATAAACTTTCATTTACACTGACACGATGTTTTTCGCCCCAAATCAAAAAATATTATCAGCTGATCACCCCGAGCATATAATGAAATACCAGTCAACAAATCCAAACTGAAGTACGTAAATTAATCCCATTATTATACTATCTGGTTATAAAAATGTGTTTATTGTATATCTGGATTTATGTTTGCAATATATATTTTTTATTTTATTCAAATTTCATTCAATATCTGTTTACATTCATTTCGGCCAAATCATGTGTGAAGTGATCGGTAACTCAACGTTGTTTACAGCAACCACAGTCAGATTACCCCTTTTGACACCTTGAAACGAACTTTGGTTGACAAAGAATGGATACATGTATCATAAATGCCATACTTTGACTCGTTAAAAGTCATATTTGTGGTAATTTGACTACTATGTCAACATAACGTTTTCGCAATCAAAATACATGTAGCGCGTGTAGTCCCTACGGTGACTGGTCAAATTGTTCCATACGCAAAAATATCCTTCAATAGCAATCAGCTATTCTTCCAACCATCCAACAAGTTGTATCATTGGGTACTTTTTAACTGAATCACGGTAGATTGGAGAAAACGTGTGTTCAGCTGATTGATATTTCTGGCTTAGTTTACGAGAAAATACACACAGTAATCTTAATCTCTGCATATAAAACAATGCCTTAAATTGCAATTTAAATGATAATTCATCATGTCTAGTGATGATTAATGTCAAATTTCACATTCATGTCAACCAAGTTTGTTATACCTGTTCATTCACCTGAATACGCTGAAGGAATATGATGTGTTTTTTTCAAACATTCGATGATTTTTTTGGAATTTGAATAATCAACATCTACTATTCTAATTTTGTTTCCAACTCTAGAACATGCATCGTAGATCGGGTTAGGTAGGCAGTGTTTGTCATCTACCCCCTACGACTCCATCTCGGTTAAACCGCTGATCGTCTATAACTCATCAATTATTTGGACCCCAAAGGTAGCGTTGTAGTGAAGTGAACTAATCCCATTTATTAACACTATGCAAATTAGATGGCCTGTCTGGGACACTAGCAAAATATTAGCCAATAAAATATCATAACATGATCACATAATTACATTCTTGTGAAACTTGACTCAGTTCATTTTATGTGCTCCAACATCTAAACCTAACTTGGCTAGGGCGTCAGGCAATGGTATTTTGAAACCCCTGATTCTGTCCTTGAATTCCCCAGAAGTAACAAGATTGGAAGTGAAATGTAAACAAATACTAATCCGACAATCATTAACAATAATTAGTCAGCAATTTTAAAATGCAACCTTGAATGTTCACTATAAAACAATCGGCCATAAAATAAGTTAAACTGCATTAGATTAAACGACACAATATGTTCAACTAACGCAGCACACATCACAACATATTCAGGTATCTCAAAAACAAGTTTTCTCTCACCTACTAACCAGGGTTGTTCCCCCAAACAGTCTGTAAATACAGAAGTTAAAACAGTTTCGCCTTATAGCAACATTACCTTGCAGAGAGGGACAATTAGTTCCATAGCAACATTACCTGTACAGAGAGGGACAATTGGTTCCATAGCAACATTACCAGTACTGACAGTGACAATTGGTTCCATCCATATGGGCTGGACAGAGAGGGACAATTAGTTCCATAGCAACATTACCTGTACAGACAGTGACAATTAGTTCCATAGCAACATTACCTGTACAGAGAGGGACAATTAGTTCCATAGCGACATTACTTGTACAGAGAGGGACAATTGGTTCCATAGCAACATTACCTGTACAGAGAGGGACAATTAGTTCCATAGCGACATTACTTGTACAGAGAGGGACAATTGGTTCCATAGCAACATTACCTGTACAGAGAGGGACAATTGGTTCCATAGCAACATTACCAGTACAGAGAGGGACAATTGGTTCCATAGCAACATTACCTGTACAGAGAGGGACAATTGGTTCCATAGCAACATTACCAGTACAGAGAGGGACAATTGGTTCCATAGCAACATTACCTGTACAGAGAGGGACAATTAGTTCCATAGCAACATTACCTGTACAGACAGTGACAATTGGTTCCATAGCAACATTACCTGTACAGAGAGGGACAATTGGTTCCATAGCAACATTACCTGTACAGACAGTGACAATTGGTTCCATAGCAACATTACCTGTACAGAGAGGGACAATTGGTTCCATAGCAACATTACCTGTACAGAGAGGGACAATTGGTTCCATAGCAACATTACCAGTACAGAGAGGGACAATTGGTTCCATAGCAACATTACCTGTACAGAGAGGGACAATTGGTTCCATAGCAACATTACCTGTACAGAGAGGGACAATTGGTTCCATAGCAACATTACCTGTACAGAGAGGGACAATTGGTTCCATAGCAACATTACCAGTACAGAGAGGGACAATTGGTTCCATAGCAACATTACCTGTACAGAGAGGGACAATTGGTTCCATAGCAACATTACCTGTACTGACAGTGACAATTGGTTCCATAGCAATATTACCTGTACAGAGAGGGACAATTGGTTCCATAGCAACATTACCTGTACAGAGAGGGACAATTGGTTCCATAGCAACATTACCAGTACAGAGAGGGACAATTGGTTCCATAGCAACATTACCTGTACAGAGAGGGACAATTGGTTCCATAGCAACATTACCTGTACAGACAGTGACAATTGGTTCCATAGCAACATTACCAGTACAGAGAGGGACAATTGGTTCCATAGCAACATTACCAGTACAGAGAGGGACAATTGGTTCCATAGCAACATTACCTGTACAGAGAGGGACAATTGGTTCCATAGCATATTACCTGTACAGAGAGGGACAATTAGTTCCATAGCAACATTACCTGTACAGACAGTGACAATTGGTTCCATAGCAACATTACCTGTACAGAGAGGGACAATTGGTTCCATAGCAACATTACCTGTACAGACAGTGACAATTGGTTCCATAGCAACATTACCTGTACAGAGAGGGACAATTGGTTCCATAGCAACATTACCTGTACAGAGAGGGACAATTGGTTCCATAGCAACATTACCTGTACAGAGAGGGACAATTGGTTCCATAGCAACATTACCTGTACAGAGAGGGACAATTGGTTCCATAGCAACATTACCTGTACAGAGAGGGACAATTGGTTCCATAGCAACATTACCTGTACTGACAGTGACAATTGGTTCCATAGCAATATTACCTGTACAGAGAGGGACAATTGGTTCCATAGCAACATTACCTGTACAGACAGTGACAATTGGTTCCATAGCAACATTACCAGTACAGAGAGGGACAATTGGTTCCATAGCAACATTACCAGTACAGAGAGGGACAATTGGTTCCATAGCAACATTACCTGTACAGAGAGGGACAATTGGTTCCATAGCAACATTACCTGTACAGAGAGGGACAATTGGTTCCATAGCAACATTACCAGTACAGAGAGGGACAATTGGTTCCATAGCAACATTACCAGTACAGAGAGGGACAATTGGTTCCATAGCAACATTACCTGTACAGAGAGGGAAAATTGGTTCCATAGCAACATTACCTGTACAGACAGTGACAACTGGTTCCATAGCAATATTACCTGTACAGAGAGGGACAATTGGTTCCATAGCAACATTACCAGTACAGAGAGGGACAATTGGTTCCATAGCAACATAACCTGTACAGAGAGGGACAATTGGTTCCATTGCAACATTACCAGTACAGAGAGGGACAATTGGTTCCATAGCAACATTACCTGTACAGAGAGGGACAATTGGTTCCATAGCAACATTACCTGTACTGACAGTGACAATTGGTTCCATCCATATGGGCTGGACAGAGTCTGAGAACCCTCTTTGATGATATTTATTCTCCCTGAAATGAAACATCGATACATTTCAAAAGGAATCAGGTCACCAAAGATCCCAAATAATTCTACTTGAAACCACCCATAAGCTCAATCCAACACTAATATTAACACCAAGTTCATTAGGCTTAAAAATAATAGTCTTGCTTCTTAGGCACTGCCCACATCATCATAAAGTTAATTGAACATATCATTTTTGTTTACATTTTTTAAATATTTTTAGCTTTTTAGGTTTCAGAATTGTATTTTGAGAAAGAAATGACTGACCGATAGAAAGCAATGCCAGAACGGAAGTGCGTCATTGTGTTTTGTTTTTTATTTTCGAGTGAATAAGTCGCGATGGCCGACATGTCTTTGATAAAGCTGTATTCGGGCTTGGCGATTATTGTGGGGTTTTTTTTAAAAATATTTCCTCACAAGTGTTTTGTCATTTTCGGATAAATCTTTCTCTCTTCCAATGAAAACGAGCAAAATTAATATGATATCCCGTGCGACAACGGGGAGTTGGCGATAATTTATAGCCAGTAGCAATACAGTCTAAATAGTTTTGGTAAATAATTTGTTTACGAAATGTTGTGTCACATGATATGCAAATAAGGTGTAATGCCACGTCACCACTGCGCCGGAAATTAGCTTTTTGTCCGTCATCCTTTTGCCGGATCATGGTTGGTCAGATTACAACAATGGGTACCGTTTTTCAGATGGAAATCGCGCGGGTGTTAAAAATATTGATCTTCGTGGACATATCGTGCTTGGTTACCACATGTGACAAAGATTTCTCATGTATATGTTCTGGCATTAAACAACGTGTCCGTGCCGATAACTCAAGGTGACAAATGCCGACTGACATGACTAACATCCCACGAACGTCTTTCGCATGCTCGAATTATTCCGTACCGTATCGCCACATAATAAAGTAGCGGAAGGGAACATTGAGGTGAGTATCGCCATCACACACACATATTTATGCTTTCACCAGTTCACAATTAAAATCGCTAATAAAATACCACATGTTCCCCCAATTTCCAACATATTTCTCCTGCTTTCGATCTTTTCTGAAAATGTATTTTCTTGGGGAATGTAATTTTCGATTCAATTGTGTGGCGGCAGATTTATATATAATAAAATCCCACATACATGTTTGTCAGGCGATATCCACGGAAACCAACCGCGTTATCTTGTTTTAATATATTGAAATTTGCTGTCTCAATTCCAACACATTTCTCCTTTTTTTTCGCCACTGCGTTACAGTGTTCCGTAAGCATTTGCGATTCTCATGTTATCAAAATTGTCATACATAATTCATGGATTCAAGAAAATGCCATAATTCCCTGTATAAACAACTAAAAATTCTCGTGCAAAATTCGTGGGTTCGAGGAAATGCTGGCTTTGATTTTTTAATGAGGTGCCATAAATCACTGTGTAAACAACTTGGTGACACTGACAAGTTTATTACATAAACAGAACACCTGCCCGACATTCTCATTACATAACATTTCCTGTGTGTTACAGCAAAGATCACGATTGTATTTGTAGGAATTACCATAATTAATTCACATGGTGTAACTTGCGTTGACAATACGATGAGACCTGACATTAGGCACATGTAGTCAGCTGATCCGGTCGAAGAACTCTCAAGTGGTCTGCACATCCGGTTAAGGAGCTCTCAAAATGTGACGAAAAGTCTTTTCTTGGATACCTAAGACAGTCAAAGCTCTTGAAAATTTCCTTATTCTCTCTCCAATGTCTTTTTGGTTGAAGGCAACATTGTATTACGCTTAATAATGACGATGTACTTATAGGTGTATATTTTATTGGCGCTTCTTCTTCTTGGCAGCTGATGGTAAATAAGCCGCACTCGGTTATCTCCCTTGAACGCACGCGAACGGCTTGCCCACCAATTCCAACACATTTCTCCTGCTTTTGATATTTTTTCGCCACCGCGTTACGCATGGAAGTTGGGGAAAAACATCGCGTTACGGTGCGTTATAGTATTCCTTGTGCATTTGTGATTCTAAAGATATTTTTTTTGTTACAAAATTCATCACATGAAGTTTGCAGTTGCCAATTGAAATTACCCTACTGTTTTGCATCATTTTTTTTAACATTTTCCCTTTCTAAGTCAAGATTACTGTTAATTTTTTTTTCAAAAGTACACTAATACAAACATTATGAATGTATGTTACTATTTGTGTCTTTCTTCATGCAAATTAATACTCTTTTGATACGAAAAAGGGGGAAAAAATGTAAAAACAGGCCAAACTGAATTTCTACACAGAGTTATGGGAATTGAATTGCCGCACGGGGAAGAGGCCACCCTAACTGTTTAGAAAATGGAAATAAAAACAAAACGTGCGGCAGACTTAATGATTATGTGGGTGGTGCCTGAGAACCAAGACTATTATTTTTTTAGCCTTATACCACTGTGTCATCAAGGGAGCGAATGCTACACTGCTTACAGCAATATTCCAGCAAGATGCAACAGGGTCACACTGTCATCCAAGAACAGGGTTCATTGTACCCATCTGTCAAACCTTATTTTTGATCAATCATTACTCACTAAAGAATCTAGCGATCTGATTGGTCAGTTGTTCAAACCCATACAAGTTGTTTGGTCCTCTCTACACTTGAGTTACCATGATTTATGTCCAATGGTGTTTACAAAATAAAAAGAGTATCTTACTCATGTGTATCTTGATTTCAAAATATATCAAAAGTTCAAAACTCTGATGCTTGCTGAGGAGTTTTAAACTTTTATCAACGGAGTTGATAAATTTGATATAAAAAGACATAAGGGTGAGATTCCATTTATCATCCCAAATCATTCTTTCAACTTTTCCAGGTACTGGAGACATGTGAGGACATGAAGATAAATTGTTATTAACACACACTGCAGTCAGTTGTATAATGTAGTAGGTACCAGTGATCAAGTCTCACCTATGTCATTAGACACAATGTACGACTCATTGACAGGGAAGAGGAAGAAGAAGATGCCTCCAGATGAAAAGGTGTAACAGCCAGTCAGGTTTATCCGGGCGGCCACATAGATGCCGCCCGTACCATTCACTTTGCTCACCTGGACCTCGGTGTCGATGTAAACGTCATGCCTATCAACAAATAGTTCACAAGATACAAGATGGTATAATTCCTCAAACAAAAAATAAAATTACCATTCTGAAATCCATAATTTCCTGTTGATTAATAGGGGGCACGAGTGGCCCAGTCGTCTAAGGCCCTGCAATTCGCTGTGCGGAGTTGCGTCCCTTGGGCACGCAAGAAACCTATGATTGTGGGTTCGAATCCCGGTTTGCCTCGATTATGTTTCTAGGTTTGTCAGCACCATACCCGTGTTCGTGGGTTTCACCGAAGTGGTAAATGTCTAAGACCTGCATCACTTTGGGCTTTCCTCCCACATTAAGCTGACAAGCCGTGATATAACTGGAATACTGTTAAAAGCAGCATTAAACACAACTCACTCACTCACTGTTAATTAATATCAGTTATGTTTTTGTAGTTGGAAAGTTAGGAATATTAATGGAAAGAAACTATTTGTTTTGTCACTTAAAATACATTTTACTTTTCTTTCATTTTTGTCTCTTACTTCTCCCTCACCAATGTTTTAACAAATCAAAAATAAGAGTCATCAGATGATGACAAATTCCCCCGGCCCCAACAAATTCAAAAGAACAAATCATCTGACTGTTACTATAAGTCCCACTTGATGAGAGTATTCCTATCTAATCTGTCTGTCTGTCTGTATTGACCTTTTTCACACTTCGCTACTTCCGGTTTGAAAGCGAGGCTTGGACACCAGAAGGTGAAGGCTGGATAGCACATGAAACACATGGAGATGTCAACAAGACACGCAATCGGGACAAACTGTGACAATGTAACCATCCCAGTACATTTATCGTAAGTATTGAACATTATTCTTATTCTTATCATTGACAAACTATTCTACTGTTATCTGGTCCCCTTACCAATATAAATTTGAGTCTGGCCGTTCTGTTGTGATTTCAATTTAAAATATCCATGACCACCTGGTAACTCCCAGTGCAGTTTATGGTAGCTGAACAGACTTAATACAAATGCTACTGAGATCTTGTAAGGAATAATTCATTGTTTACACACCATTAAGCCAAACTATTTTTTGCTAGTTTAAATAACTTTGCGGGTTGTATTTGAAGTCGAAATATTGACATTTTGCCCATATCTAGATATATGTTAGAAACTAACTTAATTGATATGTTCACATAATGTATCAAATTGTAACCTACTGAGAATTTACAATCGTAACAAATCAGAATTTTGCATCAGTTTCGTATTTGATGTAAATTGTAATGGACTCAAATGCATTCCAATAAAATATTAGACCTCTAGATCTACTTGTGTTGTTGTGATTGTGAACAGTTGTTATTTTGATTGTCAATGTTGACAGATTAGATAGCATGAGGTTTAATATTTCAACTGAATTATTACATAAAGGGTGTGTAAATATTTGAAGTAAAGTACAGTTTGATCTGCAATTTTGTAATATTTCTACCAAAATGATATTTACTTTACTGTACCAAATTAATCATGTCATGAAATGAACAAAAGCACAACTAATTAATGGCCAGTAAAGTTCAATCTACATGTGATCTTTATATAATTTACAGAAACAGATAACTCTTTAACAGTTTGTATTCAAATATTTCAAATGCATCAATTGATATTGACATTACTATAAACTTAAAGTATAAACAGAATTATTTTTAATTCCCATGCATATTGCAATTATAACTCATTTATTCCCTTTGTTTAATTGTGAAACCCATCTGGTTTTATGTCCACAAACATGTTTTGAAATGATTTCTTTTGTGCAGGCAATTGCCATGCATTATTGATTATTAATCATATCAATTTACATGTAAGAATATGGTTGTGCTTACTGTGTCATTTTGCAATAATTATATTGTTATGATGTAATAGTTTATAATTGTTAACAATCTTTATAACTTTAGTTTATTTCAGTCAAGTCAAGTGGTGTGATAATTTTTATAATTCAATCAAAACGAGAAATATAAAAAAATATAAATACATAGAAGAAATTTGTTTTCCTTGTCAAATAACGATGATAGCATGAATTTATCTCATCTTGTGATCTGACAAAGTTAATATTTTCAAGTCAAGATATCAACTTTAGTAAACCACAAGAAGAGATAAACATTCCATTTGACAAAATAAATTCAAGTCTTATATTTTCTTTGTGATCTTCATGACCTTATTCAGAAAACCATAGTGTCAATGAGGCAGATTGACTGTAGGTGGGACAAAACGTGATATTTCGCCTGATTTTAATATAAATCTTATTTATTTCACTCTAGCGAAAGTATGTTTTCAGCATGGTCAGACTAAACAAAGTATCTCATGATTAAATACATACCGGTAATACAAATATCAAAACGTGTTCCATTAAAACAAGAGTGAATTTCTATGTGACATTGATATAAAGAGCTGTAGTACACTGTCATTAAATTGATGCATCTGTTGTGTTTACTGTTTACACAGAATATACTAGACATATCAGATGAATTGATGCCTTCAAGATTGTTCTTAAGTAGCATGTAATGTTACACACTGTGATTTATTTTCCTTAAATTTCTCTATTTCGGAAGAATGTTGTTTACTACATAAGCAATATTTTGAGAGAAGGTGAATATGCATTGTTTATAAAAAAAATTATGGAAGTAGAAATATCATTATAATATTATTGAATTTTTCATTTCAGGCTTTGAGTCCAGCGAGTCAACACAATGAAGTACTAGTATCCGGTGATGATGTCTGGAGGAGCTTTCTGCTGACAGTAACACACTGGTTACAATGTGCGTCCTGTCAAAGGACGAGGAAGTGAAAAGCCTTATTCATTCAACCAACAAATGTGCTTCCTGTCACATTTCACATAAATAGGACGAGGAAGTGAAAAGCCTTATTCACTCACAAAACAACATGGCCAATATTTATCAGACACTGAAAAAGCACATTGTACCATTTGTTTACAAGCAAGAAAATTATTTTCTCCTGGAATTTAATTAGGTGCTTTTGACTGACAAAGACACCCGGTCCACGTTAAGTTTTGAAAACTTATATTGTGAGAAATACAGACATGAAAATTTTAGTTTGTTTTTCTTTATTAAATATGAGAAATCCAGATTGTTCCATCAACAAAATTTGTACCGATACATATATTTTATCTTGGCTTGATTACCAAATGAAGTTGATTCCTTTTCATCTTTTGTTATTTTATCTGTACTCATATCTGATCAAGTCATTTTCAAACTATTCAGGACAAATGTATTAGTAGCTTCCTTTTGATATACAATTACCTATCATCATACAGGATTAGGTGAGGGTGTTCAAGAAATTGGTGTTTGTATCAATTCTTATATTTATTCAATTTCATGCATTATTTATATTTATCAATTTTAGTTTCCTTTTAACTTATTTTAAACAGTTCACACATTATTACTTTTGTTGTGCACGGTGCAATCTCAATCGGTAATAATCGGTTAAATAAGTGATGTTTGCAGAACCAGTAAAGTATCAACTGTCATTGTATACACTGAATAGAGTTATCACCCCTTCTGAATATTTATTTTGACACACGAATTATTTTGTGAACTAATTTCATTTACATCGTAATATGTTTAGATGAAAATCATAGCAGAAAAAGCAATTTTTGTCAACTGGACACATGGCAAAACGACAGTGCGTTGTGCAGCAAACACTGCTATAAAACGTGAAATAAACATGATTGACGATTTCGAGTTCGCCAAGCCACGCATTGACTGAGCAAATTTGCAAAAGAAAACTGACCTGTTTCATGTTATGCGATTCATTTACGAAACAAAACTTCTGTCATTGAATGTACTGTCACATTGTACCTATATGCTGACGAGGTTATGATAAAACAATCTATTTCTGAAAAACATATCTCGAAATGCACCTTTTGATTCACTTCCGGGATCCTGACAGCAAAATGCGAATTCTAGTGTATTACAGGCATATTTTAGTTTGACCTCAGGATTAAATGTGAAATATCTTGTGTATTAGATACAGAGGATACCATTTTATTTTTTTTTGAAATGTCCATCAGTGAAATGCACAACATGCTGTCTGTTCCCTATCAGCTGATGCGACTCACACTGCATGGAGCTATGCTCTCCAAGCCTCGTTTTCGATCCAAGATGGTGAAAGTGTGAAAAAGGTCAATACAAGAGTAGTTACTGAGCTATCAAAACAATACCATGGAGTTGAGTTTTGGAACTTTGTATTTCTATGCCAGGTACACAACAATATGAACAGTGTCAAAATCAAACTTGTTGAAATCCCTAAATAGCAAAAGGCACCATTTGACAACCTGGTCTCTATGTATGCAAAGTGTCATGTAAGAGTACCTATTAGTTTTAGAGATATGGTCCGGACAAATCCACCACTATCAACAGAGTCAAAGTCAAACTAGATTCCATGGAAACGGAAAAAATAAATATTCCAAAAATCCCTAAATAGCAAAAGGCACCATTTGACAACCTGGTCTCTATGTATGCAAAGTGTCATGTAAGAGTACCTATTAGTTTTAGAGATATGGTCCGGACAAATCCACTACTATCAACAGAGTCAAAGTCAAACTAGATTCCATGGAAACGGAAAAAATAAATATTCCAAAAATCCCTAAATAGCAAAAGGCACCAGTTGACAACCTGGTCTTTGTGTGTGCAGAGTTTCAAGAAAGAGTACCTATTAGTTTTAGAGATATGGTCTGGACAAACACATCACTGTGAACAGAGTCAAAGTCTAAATTGTTTCCAAGGATACAGAAATTGTTTTAAAAAAAATGAAATTCCTAAATAGCAAACGGCAGCACTTCAGCCCCTGGCTAATACATGTACAAAGTTCGGATATGAAATCTTTCACGGTTTTCAAGTTATACTCCGGATGATGTGTTTTTCAAGAAAGCCTTTCTTGTTTCTGTATGCAGTGAGGCTCATACTCTGAATATGACTGAATTACAACAGAACAAGATAGTTATAGTATATGCATGTTTCATATCATAATTTTATCTTTTTTCTGTATTTTCAAGTCAGACCTTTTCAAGATGAGTTTCCAAATTCAAGATTTTTAAAGAAGAAACCCATTGGACAAACAAAGGCCGAAACTTTTGAGTCTACTGGCCCATATCTGTCTCTCTGATCATTTTCAGTGGATGAGAGTGTTAACAAATTGACTCTATTTGCAGAGCTTACTAGACCAAAGGATTTGGTTTGGTGTTTTACGCCGCATTCAGCAATATTCCAGCTATATGACAGCGGTCTGTAAATAATCGAGTGTGGACCAGACAATCCAGCGATTGACATCATGAACATCAATCCACCCATTCGGGATCGATGACATGCATCAACCAAGTCAGCGAGCCTTACCACCTGATCCTGTTAGTCGCCTTTTACGGCAAGCATGGGTTGCTGAAGACCTATTCTAACCCGGATCTTTACGGGTACCGAAGGAAATGTTACTGGACTTGGTATATGGACAAATGGCTTCAGTCACAGATGGAATGATTCAAGATTTATCGGCATCAGAGAGAAAAGAAATCATTAATATTACCCATAGGGAAGAATGACAGTGTAGTAAATATTTGCACGTGAACTTTTTAGCCATTCTCACTGCTGATAGGTCAGTTTGAGCAATATGATGTCAAGTTGCTGAGAACAATACCTTACTCCATACATTGTCCATGTCACAAAATGATAACATTTTGTCATCCAAACAACTTCAGTGAAGTGTCTCTGTGGGGATGGCATTTCATATATTTGTCTGCATTTTCTTTCATCTAATTTCATTGAGTCATATATAGAACAACCTACATGAAGGAAACTAGAACTACAGATAAACATTATTATAGGGCTTACACCATTCATTTACAAGGGACAGATAATCCCAGTTCCTGGGAGGGGGGTTGGTTATTCTCCTCCTGAATGAATGCTGTCAGTCCCAGAATCAGGGCTTACACCATTCATCCACAAGGGACAGATTATCCCCAGTTCCTGGGAGGGGTTGGTAATTCTCCACCTGAATGAATGCTGTCAGTCACAGACTCAGGGCTTACACCATTCATCCACAAGGGACAGATAATCCCCAGTTCCTGGGCAGGGGGTTGGTTATTCTCCTCCTGAATGAATGCTGTCAGTCCCAGACTCAGGCTTACACCATTCATCCACAAGGGACAGATAATCCCCAGTTCCTGGGCGGGGGGTTGGTTATTCTCCTCCTGAATGAATGCTGTCAGTCACAGACTCAGGCTTACACCATTCATCCACAAGGGACAGATAATCCCCAGTTCCTGGGCGGGGGGTTGGTTATTCTCTTCCTGAATAGTGCTGTCAGTCACAGACTCAGGGCTTACACCATTCATCCACAAGGGACAGATAATCCCAAGTTCCTGGGAGGGGTTGCTTATTCTCCTCCTGAATGAATGCTGTCAGTCACAGACTCAGGGCTTACACCATTCATCCACAAGGGACAGATAATCCCCAGTTCCTGGGAGGGGTTGGTTATTCTCTTCCTGAATAGTGCTGTCAGTCACAGACTCAGGGCTTACACCATTCATCCACAAGGGACAGATAATCCCCAGTTCCTGGGAGGGGGTTGGTTATTCTCCTCCTGAATGAATGCTGTCAGTCACAGACTCAGGGCTTACACCATTCATCCACAAGGGACAGATAATCCCAGTTCCTGGGAGGGGGTTGGTTATTCTCCACCTGAATGAATGCTGTCAGTCACAGACTCAGGGCTTACACCATTCATCCACAAGGGACAGATAATCCCCAGTTCCCGGGAGGGGGTTGGTTATTCTCCACCTGAATGAATGCTGTCAGTCACAGACTCAGGGCTTACACCATTCATCCACAAGGGACAGATAATCCCCAGTTCCCGGGAGGGGTTGGTTATTCTCCTCCTGAATGAATGCTGTCAGTCACAGACTCAGAGCTTACACCATTCATCCACAAGGGACAGATAATCCCAGTTCCTGGGAGGGGGTTGGTTATTCTCCACCTGAATGAATGCTGTCAGTCACAGACTCAGGGCTTACACCATTCATCCACAAGGGACAGATAATCCCAGTTCCTGGGAGGGGGTTGGTTATTCTCCACCTGAATGAATGCTGTCAGTCACAGACTCAGGGCTTACACCATTCATCCACAAGGGACAGATTATCCCCAGTTCCTGGGAGGGGTTGGTTATTCTCCTCCTGAATGAATGCTGTCAGTCCCAGACTCAGGGCTTACACCATTCATCCACAAGGGACAGATAATCCCAGTTCCTGGGAGGGGGTTGGTTATTCTCCACCTGAATGAATGCTGTCAGTCACAGACTCAGGGCTTACACCATTCATCCACAAGGGACAGATAATCCCCAGTTCCCGGGAGGGGGTTGGTTATTCTCCACCTGAATGAATGCTGTCAGTCACAGACTCAGGGCTTACACCATTCATCCACAAGGGACAGATAATCCCAGTTCCTGGGAGGGGGTTGGTTATTCTCCACCTGAATGAATGCTGTCAGTCACAGACTCAGGGCTTACACCATTCATCCACAAGGGACAGATTATCCCAGTTCCTGGGAGGGGTCGGTTATCCTCCTCCTGAATGAATGCTGTCAGTCACAGACTCAGGGCTTACACCATTCATCCACAAGGGACAGATAATCCCCAGTTCCTGGGAGGGGTTGGTTATTCTCCTCCTGAATGAATGCTGTCAGTCACAGACTCAGGGCTTACACCATTCATCCACAAGGGACAGATAATCCCCAGTTCCTGGGAGGGGTTGGTTATTCTCCTCCTGAATGAATGCTGTCAGTCACAGACTCAGGGCTTACACCATTCATCCACAAGGGACAGATAATCCCAGTTCCTGGGAGGGGTTGGTTATCCTCCTCCTGAATGAATGCTGTCAGTCACAGACTCAGGGCTTACACCATTCATCCACAAGGGACAGATAATCCCCAGTTCCTGGGAGGGGTTGGTTATCCTCCAAGGATACACACCATGTCACTGCACCGAGGAGATTCATGGTGGCGTTGAACTTGTCATACGTGGGGCACCACACAATGGGCGGCTCCAGCACCATCTGCCTCATAACATTGCCTACCGTGGCGTCGATGTGGACCACTTCAAATGCCCCATTTTGCTGAGCCATAAGCAAGGGCTCTGCATGATTTTCATAACCTGAAACCATATCCAAATGTGAAAATAATTCAATCTTTTTTTCACCATTTATTGTGAGATTAAATAAATGATAATCACGGATACTGGCATACTATTAGGTGATACAAGCTAAACCCTGTATCCACACCCTATTGTTTCCAGTGATGTCAGGGAAAATTGTAAATAACCGAACAATGTAATATGTCTCTAACTATAGCCAACAGGGCTAGCGTGTAAGTTAGTAAGTGAATGTTTACAGCAATATTTGAGCTTATAATACTGGCCTGTAAGAAATAGTCTGGGTCAGGAAACATCTGGGAGTTGTTATTATGAGCAATGTCCATGCTTAGAGGGTACACAATCACCAAGACACCAACTTGACCATCTGATCCAGTTTGTCGCCTCTTACAACAAACAGATTGCTGGGGACCAATTCTAACCTAACATCTCCATTGGGCAGCAGGCTAATGACCTCATACCCAGGACAATTGACAAACCTTTAGATTAGTGTTTGTTTGTTTGTTTGTTGTTTAATGCCACACTCAGCAATATTCCAGCTATATGACGGTCTGTAGAGAATCAAATCTGGACCAGACAATCAAGTGATTGACATCATGAGCATTGATCTACGCAATTGGGATACAATGACATGCATCAACCAAGTCAGCGAGCCTGACCACCCGATCCAATTAGTCACCTCATGCAACAAGCATGGGTTGCTGAAGACCAATTCTAACCCAGAATCTTCACGGGACTCACATACTTGATATCCTGACCTAGTTGTACACTGTTTCACTCACTTTCAAAGTCTTCTGTATAAGGTAGCTGGAAGGGGCGGTATGGAGGAGGTGTTCCATAGTCCCCCTTGCGGCCAGTGTTGAGAGTAGTCAGGGTGTAGATCTCGTCCAAGCCAACCTGTAGGCTAACCTTGCCACTGGTCACCTGAACATTCAACCAATGAATGAATGAATGAATGGATGAATGGATGAATGGATGAATGGATGAATGGATGAATAAATAAATAAATAAATAAATAAATAAATAAATAAATAAATAAATAAATAAATAAATAAATAAATAAATAAATAAATAAATAAATAAATGAAACTTAAAAAGTGTGGCCTTAATGACAATCTGTCCATGCTTATCAGTTAAGGGTTTATACATCTGTTATGTGTGGCCAGTAGCACCATGCGAAACACCAAGAATACATAACAGTAAGAAAATGATTCAAACGTCATCTCCATGACATATTTACCTGTACTGGGGAGAGAGACTTGAAGAAGACAGACTGTGTGTCCGTGTCATTAAACCCAAGCTTGCTGTACCAGACATTCAGCTTTTGAAGACTTCCCTGAAAACAATCATGCAGTGAGTTTGTTTTAACACAACTTTGATCAGTCTTTCAATTGTACCATGGCATGTCAGCTAGTACTATGGATATACAACTCCTTTATTACAATAAATGTGACATTTCAGTGTAGATACTAACACCGTTAACAAGCAAGTGATGTACAGAAATGTGAAGTAGGAATGTTATATACATGTGGATAATTGATGTACCTTTGTAATAAAGAAGTTGCATATCCATAGAACTATCTCCCTTGTTCATCATACCAACTTCTAGATGCCACTTAAAGAAGTTATGTCACATAAAGGAAAGCCTTTGGTGAAACCCACAATTATGGTGATGACAAACCTAGACACAAATTCAGGGTGATCCTCATGTTCAAACCCATGATCAAGCCTAACTCTGCACAGCAAATTGCTGTTCCTTAGCAGACTGAGTCACATGAGTACATACCGGTATGTGACCCACCATGAAATAAGGGACCTAATGGGTGAAAAATCCTATTTTGACTTCTTGTGATATTTTAAAACTACAGTATTTAAAGGACATAAAAATTAAAGTCACAAGCAACAATTTACATGTATTACAGAGATACATGGCATCAAACATTTGGACAAATTTTCTGCAAAAATCCCATTTTCAGTCTTGAAATAATAACTATTGTTGTAATAATTTAGATATAGAGACGGATTAAAGGGCAAGTTCACACGGAAATTAACCTATTTTTCTTGTACTTTTTCCACATTAAAAGTGTTAACCTAGAAGTGTCATAGACAAAAATATGAAAATATCACAATTAATTAACATATTTTTCGCATTAAAACGATTTATATTTTTCACATTTACCAAGTGTTCTATTTCCACAACAAAAACACCATGGCTTATGCCCTTGCAATATGACGTCATTGGTGCCAATTGATAAACATTATGACGTCATCATGCTTTGTTAGAGCCGCTTCACGTGGTGTAGGTCTAGGTGTGTGATTCTAGCGTCTCAGATGCCAGCCAGCATAGTGTTATGCTGAGTCACCACTGCGCCGGAGTGTGTCGTAGGCCATGTTGTTTTACCGCAAACTGGTACTTGATATCTTTTGCGTTGAGAATAGACAGGGACCCAGTTGAATTGGCACCAATTATGTCATAATCTAAGGGGGATAACTCAGGCCTGTTTAGCTCGAAAAACAAAGGCCTCATAACGGCATATCATTTTCACACTATTGTGAGCTTCCTTCTTTCACTGTGAAAAAAATGTGTGTATATTTTCAAACACAGATACTAATTAATTCTAAAATTGCGTTTTGTTTAGAAAAAGAAAGAAAGTGATTTTTGCGTGTACACTTCCCCTTTAATCGAAAGTAGACATGTATGCTTAAATGTTTTGAAGTCATGTTTTTTTATAAGTAGATTATGAACTAACAAGAGAATTTTTTTTGTGTACAATCCTCATACATGGCGACTTTTATGGAATTAAGTTGACGTCAAACGTCTTTCTCTACGACGACACAGCACAATTGTATCCTAGCACCCATAAGGTCCCTCTTTCTACTGGCGAGTCACATATGTTGTTTCAGCAGTCATCAATGGAGCAGAGTGTTCCCTGTGTACTGTAGATACAGCTAAACAGGGATTTCATGATGTCTGAGGATTATAACTCGCGAATCATTGTCCATCAGTTGGGAATACCCTCTGTATAGATTCATCATTCACAGGTCTACTGACAGTGTTGGTACACTGCCGATTTGTGTTAGCATTATTTCACCTTTGACTGTAACTGACACTGGATGAGGTTCACTAATCTGTGTACAGTTGAGATAACAAGATTGTTACATGTAATTGACCAGACCCTAACTGTAAGGAAATTAACCTCAAATCAACCCTGAAAACAAAAGTTAGTTTATTCAGAGGCCAAACACAGATATATGGTCTCTAGATTATTGTTTGCTTTCCAGCATCTTGCATTATTGACCAAGAAGACAGTGTCTGGACAATTGGAATCAGTTGTTTTTATTGTCTTCAGTGGAGTAGTAAACTCACAAAGCTTCCTCCAATGTCTAGGGTGATGGTCTGTGGTTCCACAGTGTAGGGTGGCAGCCTGGGGCGGATACACTTGGAGTGGTCGTGAGTCTGCAACAATTACCAGCAACACAACTTTATATCAGGCAATGACGTAGGAGCGCCTACAAGGACACAAGTAATATGTCTTATTTTTAATACATTCAGGTTGATATAAGTGGGTAAATTGGATTTAACTCTTTGAGGTGACGTGAAATGGGGATTAACTTTGTGTACAAGATTATTGCGACATGTGTGCGTCCGAGCGAGCATGGGTGCCGACATGCGTGCCTGTCTGCGTACATGCCTGTCTGCGTACATGCCTGTCTGCGTACATGCCTGTCTGCGTACATGCCTGTCTGCGTACGTGCCTGTCTGCGTACATGCCTGTCTGCGTACATGCGTGTATGCGGCTGTTTGTGATAGTCCAGACTGGTGCCAATTATATAGTGCTTGCCCATTGAGACCCCATGCCACAGTTTAACATGAATACCCCACTCAGATACAGTATACTGACTTTTGAGCCAAATTGTCCTTCTTTTAGCCCCTTAATGCCGAGCACCAAGCAGGGTAACATTTTCTATCTCCTAACATCTTTGATATGACGTGGCCAGAGATTGAACCCTGACCTTCCGCTCTCCGGGCGGAACCCTCTACCACTAGACCATGGAGGCGGTCTTAACTCTTTGAACAGTATTTCAGTTATATCACAGTGTCCTAGCCAATAGTAATAAGGTAGGAGGAACCTTCAAGGTGATGTAGATCTTGAACATATACAACTTTGGAGAAAACCACAAGCACAGGTATGGTGCTGACAAACCTAGGATCATTATCAGTACGAATCTGGGATTTGAACCCATGCACTGATAAGCTGATCCTGGCATATCTGGAATGCGACGGTATTATACTTATAATCTACACTTTTTTCAGACTATTAGGTCTGTGAGAGGCTTCCATATTTCTAAGACACATTGGTCTTCTCAATTGTATTTCATGATGTTATGGCATTTAAGAAGCACATATTGTACTTTTAAATTTGAAAAGTTTTAATTCATTGAAACTAAATGGAATGAAGCCTTTAGTCGTTTTTGCATGGTTTCTGTATTTAAACCCTGGCTTAATTTGAGATCAAATTTTTGGCCCCAAAAGGCAATAAAATCTATTCTTAAGCCCTGGGCTTTCCCAGCAGTATCTAACCATAGTCTCTATGACAATCGAGAGATCCTTTCCATCTGGGCTGACGAGTGAGACGTAGCTGCCTCCACTGTCTAACAGACCAACTCCCGACCCATGCTTCAGGTATGTCCATCCTATCTGGGTGAACTGGGTGGTGTGGCCTGAAGACATAGGAGGAAGATACTCAGGAGTCTATACAGACAGATGTAAGGGTTTGCCATTTAGGAAAGTCTTGACATCAAATACAGATTGAAACAACACAAGTTCTATTTATGTTGGACCCCATTGCACACAAGCTATCCATGACTTATTTCATTAAACTATCAAAATTATCTGCATGCATTGATGACTGATAGTGAGTCAGGTTAAACACACCTTTAAACATTATTATCGTTATGTCATGGTGTATCAGCTAGATGTAGGAGTGAGTGAGGCAGGTCTGAAATGTTTACAACATTGGTGAAACCAACAAGCACGTGTATGGTACAGACGAACCAAAAAACAAACTCAGGGCAAATCTGGATATGGAATGACAGACAGACAAAGCTTTTGAATATGATTTCATGAAAATTTAACTTAGCTCTGGTAGAGAACATTGGTGTGATCTGCTATTCAAAGATTAAGATTTAAGTTGGAAAAAGTCCGTAAATCAGAGAAGGTGAATTATGACCATGGGCAATTTTCAAACACAAATTCTGAAGGAATTCACATTTAAGTTTCAGGAAAGACGTAAAAATCCCTGCATTAAGATTCAATATACAAAGTTTTCACTGATTTGACAAGAGTGATGTTTCCAAAGACAAGAGTCTTTATGTGCTATCCAGATGCTCACTTCCAGAGTCCTCCATTGCCATGGTGGGGAACTCCGAAAGCACAGGTTCGATTACCCACATGGGTACCATGTGTGTAGCCCATTTCTGGTGTCTCCCTCCATAATATTGCTGTGTATTGCTAAAGCATCGTAATACTCACTCACTCCATTTCTACGGACACTTGAATGCAAGTGACATAATTTCTAAGCATGCTGTAAACAGTAGTTAGGGGTGCTGAAACTTGAATGCTGTGCTTGAAAGTGCTTGAATTTTGTTTCCAAGATCTGTATGAACTCTGTTATAGTTAATTATCAACAGGTATCCACTACCCACCTGACATCCAAATGGGGCTCTCCACACTATAGTAGCCACTCCATGGTTGTCTGGCTGTCATCAACGAGTCACGATCCCATTGTAAACCCTCGTAGTAACTATCTATAAGGTTCCATGCAATTGTGCTGCAAGACAATTAAGGCTTGACAAAATAAAAGAATTGGTTCTCAGGCAGTGTTTTTTTAAAATATAGTGCGGGCGGGCAGTGTCTTTTTTTGTGTTCAAACTAGTATGTAACCAAAGAAACAGATGTGTAACCAAATAAGCAGTTGTGTTCAATCAACCTGGGAAAGGGCCTCCCTACATAAATGTATTCCTTGATGAGGAAACTACTGGAATACAGTATGTGACTACCATTGGACTTGGAATATTTAAGGATTTTTTTCGTTGTTTTTCTTACAAATGAAAATAAAAACGAAATGTGCGGCGAACATTATGATAATGCGGGCGGTGCCGGAGAACCAAGACTATTTTTTTTTTTAGCCTAATCAAGCATATTTTATTATTCATTCAGTAATACTTCAGCACATTTCATTTGTTTACCTACACCCTGAAAACAGGTTGCTGTAGTGTCAAACCATGTAACATTTAATCCTTAAAGACCAATGATAAACAAGACAAACAGAGAAGATAAATGTTTTCATACCTTGTCATGAATCCATTGACATAATTTTGGTTTAAAATCTGAAAAAAAATAGTTTTCGAAAAATATGAACATTACGTTTTTATGTTATATCATAAAGATGGGTTCAGAAGACTGTAGGGAAGTTGATAATATATATGTAAATTGGTAACATTCTGATAAAAAACAAGGTTATCAGTATTCTTTCATTATGTTTATGGAAATTATTGACATTTAATTGTCGCCAATGTACCATTGCCATTGAGCTACTGACATATTGGATAGTTGGTACAGCTGTACGACCAATCTCCCAATCTACAGTGCTCGCAACATATCACCTTACTACTGAAGTTTCTATATCAAGCATTTGAGACACAAATAATATACAAACTGTCTAGACACTGACAACTATTTAATGCGGAATGTTAAAGGCACATAGATGTTTCCTGACTTTTCTGCTTTCTGAGAGTGTTTTCTAAATAAACATGATAAAGAAGCTGATAACTTCAAGTCTTCAATCCATGCTAAGACCACCTCCCCAAAGCTCCTTGTTTCCAGCCCCAATCAATGCCTCTTTCCTTTAACTAATTGTTCCATGTTTGTTTACCCTGGCCCAGCAGCCCCCGCCGATGTTGTTGTTGAAGGAGCTGTAGTCTTCAGATGACCACAGCTGCTTGCCGGTGTGAAGGGCATCCACTGTTGACTTAGTGCCAGGGTAATGTACACTGTGAAAGACAAAATTACTATTGCTCAGAATCACTATTTGCTTTTCAACCATAACAGCCATAAAATTTCTATTTCTGTATTGAATGAGTGAGTTAATGTTTCTGAATGTCAGTCAGTAAAATCCCAGCTTCATCAATGCAGCCTGGAAATAATCCACTGGACTAATCCAATGGATCAGGCAAACCAGTGACTGATACCATGAGCAATGATCCATGCCATCAGGGCATGATTTTTGGTTTGGTTTGGGTTGTTGTTTAACGCCACACTCAGCAATATTCCAGCTATATGAGTATTTTACGAGCATATGTGTCATACTAATTTTACAAAACAATTTAAGTGTCAGATTTCTTGTATTTCCAGAGCGAGAGTGAGGATAATACATGAATTATTACACATGTGAGTGTAATAATTTCTTTATTACCCATTAATTTGTAATCCTTTTGGTTCCCCTATAGAAAAATGCACTGATCGCCACTGCTGTCCTAGAAAACCACAACTATCTTCTATCTATCTATCTTCAGTGATGACGTAAGATTGGAATGACGTTAACAATGCTGTTCAGATGTGTGAGAAGTGATATTTGTACTAGTGCACATATGACTTGTATGAATTTGGTTATTTCTAACACCATGGGTAATAAACTCCGATGTGACACCTCTCCATAGGTCACCTCAGGTGGACTTTCTAGTCAGCCAATTAGCATTGTGGCTTCTTACTTCTCAGTATGAATGATATGCATTCCTACAAGCACATCTTATTTCTGTATCTAGGAAATGAATATAGTTAGGGAATTCCCAATACAAAAAATCTAGCCCTGCTATTATATCATTGTAGATGTTTAAAAATACATCCTGTCATTTCTGAGCGCCATGGCATCTATGCCCCAAAGGATGAACTATGGAAGTTATATCAGTGTTCTCTGGCGGTTGTCTTTTTGCTAAGAATGAGATTTCCGAAAAGGGACAAAAAAGAAATGAAGCCGATTCATATTCATATCTAAACCCATGCATCCTTCATTTTGATCAGGCGGACATAGTTTAGTCAGGGTTCACCTGACGATGACCTACGGGGTGTCGTCAGATCTCCATGCAGATAGGCATCCATCAGAAGTATAAAAGCAATAGTTGCAACTTCCTTAGATGCATGAAAGTATGCAATTCATTTGAAAAGTGGAATTTGGAAATAAAAATGAAAGTCACAGGATCCTTCTCATAACCTTGACATAAAATGTTATACATAGCACAAAAGTACTGTTTCTCACCAGGTACATTCTGAAATGAACAGCATCATGTTAACAAAGATTCATATCAATAAGGAGTATCTCTGTATTTTGTAAAGCAATTTCTGAAATGTCAGATAATTACTATCCAGTTTTAGCCCTAACACTGCTGTTGAAAAGACGATTTTCGTTTCAAATGTATCAGAAAAAAATATATTAATCAAAATGTCATGATTAATTCTGAACTCCATTGCAGTGCTTCATACTGCACCAAGACATCACTTCTCTGAACTGAAGATGATGCCAAAACATTTCTAACATTTAAATTTCAATTCCATGCCATGACCAAATCCAGGGACATAAAGCTCTTTCAATTCGACTCTCAGTTCAATTGTGGAAGTTCAATTGTTTACCAAGTGACAGTACTGTAGACAACCATTTTACCCGATGTAATCCACTGCTGCTGCAAGGTCTTTGTCCTTCAAGATATCCTGTTCCACCCCCCACACGCCATCCGCCGCCACAATACGCACATGGGAGAACCCCGTGTCATCGAGGACTTGTCTCAACAGCTGCACAGAGAAGGTCATCAACTTGTATTTCACTGATAACAAGACAAATTAAGAGGAAGTGTACCGTATGTAATGCTTTATTTAAGAAATACAAAATAAGGGGCGCAGCCCCGAGTGGTTTATTCTCTCTGAAGCGTATTATAGTACGATAAACAACGTCTAGAGTCGTTTATTTCTTACATGAGATATCAACATTATGTACAGCCTCTTTAAGGATCTTCATTAAATGTACAAGATTTAAAAATATTTACCCATTTTAAAATAATGATGACTCCCTGAATACTCTCCATCCTCAGCAATGTCGGACCAGTCCGTTATATAAACAGGGAGGTTAAGTTTGGTATTTCCCAGATATTCTCACAATTTTCACGTCAATTGTCTGTACCTTTTCTCCCAATACCAAGTTGTCATATCTCTCCCACTTTGGGATGCAATGGCTTGGCCAATGCGTTTATCTGCGTTGCCAAGCTACATCTATGGGGAACAACTCACTAACATTCCCTCTCACAAATAATGTCATCCAATTTATGTATCCATCAAGTTACGAGAGCATGTTCGAATCACCAGAAGGGACATCATGATAGAACAATGTTTTATCTCATTTTTCATTGTTCTTTGCAAATTACCCCATAGCTATCTTATACTTTACATCAATGCATCAATTATGGGCACTAATTACTATATCAAGTGTCCATGATTGAATGCAATGTGAAATACAATGCTGAAATATCTCCAAAATTAAAAAAATAAAAACATCTTAGAAAATCTTAATTTGTCTGACAAGGGAATTTAGTTTAGAATCCTAGATAAATCCTGGTCCTGTCTTGAACATAACTCTACAACTGTACAAATGATCAATATTTCCTTAACAATGAATGTCTTAGTTCCAGAAAGGTTGAAACTTACATGGAATGTCACAAAACAATTTGAACAGTAATACTTTGAAAAATGAAATCCAAATTGTTCCCCATTTCAGTAAAAGCATGTAGTATGATTTGTCACAACACTGCTGATTTACATTTTTTAAACCTACCTTAATGTATGTGATGTCATATGGTCTTTCATTCCAAATCTGAAAAAATACATTCACAAACTGGTTTGAACATGGTAAGCCAAATAGCTCTTTCTTAGAAATTGAACAGATATAGGTGAAAATTAGGCCTCAGACATGACCATAAGTTCACTTTATTTTGTTTTTCCCCAAATGTATTCACATAAACAACTGATCCAAATTGAACTGTAAACTTGGATACAACTCATTATTTCAATCCCACCAAAACTACTGGTTGCTTTGTTTGTATTCGTCTCACCCCGATGTAGTCTATGGTGAGGTTGTGGGCGTCCCTGGCACCCTGGACCCACTTCTGTATGTAGCTGGCCAGGACATCAGGGCTCTGGTACGGGTTCTGGGTCCCATTTCCAATCCAGCCGGGGAAGTTCCACGGAAGTCCATACAGCTTGATGTTGGGGTTCCTCTGAAAGACAAGATGTAGTTGAACATGGACATGATGACAGATTCTGAAATGAGAAGCATCAACTCTCACTTCACACAGAACAGTTTTGTTCTGAATGAAGGGATAGACAGGATTGCACCAGGAACATAATGTAACTGCCATTACAAAATAACTGTGCCATTAGCACTACAATACAGGGAATTTCAAAACCTAGTCTGTTTAACACTAAAAATGAATTTACAACCTGTTTATTACATATAAAAATTCTAAAATTACTTTAACCATGACACTCAGTACCCTACAGCTACTATAAGCTGTTTTAAATCCATATTACATACTATCTGGTTCATACATAACAAGGTGTAAAACCAATACACAATATATCAACAACAAAAATCGTAAAGTTTAACAGTATATTGTTGGAAAAATGTTAATTTTATTACTATTACTCTGTAGCCATGATTCATTGGTAAGTCTGATTGCTGGGGGAATGCTACTGTCCAGATTGTCAGGGTTTCACTGTACTCTGATAAACAGAAAACAAACAAACCTTCTTTGCTTCTCCCATGAGCCACCACTCGTACCCTCTCTGGTAGTTCTCCTCCCAGCTGTTGTGCATGTGGGACGCCTCAGTAGCATCTTACCATGAAATAGAAATGTACATAGAACTCAGCTCTACTGACTATACATGCTAAAAAGTATTCATAAAATACCTAATCTATAACAAAGACATTGAGCCAACCTGGCTAATTCAAATACAGTGAAACCACACGAATCCTTATTCTAGTGTTCCCAGAGATTTTGTCCCGATTAACAAATCGTTGGTACTGACTAGGGTTGGTTCAGGTAAATTGGGTACTGACTAGGGTTGGTTCAGGTAAATTGGGTACTGACTAGGGTTGGTTCAGGTAAATTGGGTACTGACTAGGGTTGGTTCAGGTAAATTGGGTACTGACTAGGGTTGGTTCAGGTAAATTGGGTACTGACTAGGGTTGGTTCAGGTAAATTGGGTACTGACTAGGGTTGGTTCAGGTAAATTGGGTACTGACTAGGGTTGGTTCAGGTAAATTGGGTACTGACTATTACTGAATAGGAGCCAGGTACCCACAGGACTACCCCGACAAAAAATTATCTAGCCTCCATGGTTACACTATAAGTCACTGATGTTAGCACTTCTTTCTAACAATCCACACATTCTTTCTGACTTTTTTTTATATGTTTAAATAAAGATAAAACTTCAGTGTATACATTTTATACATGTATCTAAATACTTTTTGCCAGGGCTCCGTTTAAACAATTCCCAAGCAGACATTTTGTACCCAACCCTTGGGACCTACAGCAGGACCCCAGGTAGGGTCGGGTGATGGGGGTGTTGGTACCTGGGTAGTAAATTTGGCCCAACCCTAGTACTGACACACTTTGTATACAAGTCATGTAACCGTTCCCAACAAGATCGTCCAGAAGGTGAGGTTTCTGGATTAACAGGGTCCAGACTAATGAGGTTTCACTGTATACTTGATTACCTACCATTAACCCAGACCATTTCACTTAATCATCCCCCATGAGAATAAGAAGGCAGTATGTGTGCCCAGTGTCTAGTTGTACAGGCTGACTAATAAGTAGAAAAGAATGGGCTGGTTCAGACATGTGACCTGACCTTGCAGCATTAGAAATTGGCACTAGTCCTGTGACCTTGTCAAACTGCTCAATAGTAAAGGTATCATAAGGAAAAGTAGAAATTTGCCCTTTTAATGGTTTTGCTATATGTTATCATTTTAAGTACTGGAGGACAAAAACTGTTAGTTTCTATCGCAGCCTTGCCCTGGTTTCGATATTCACTGCATATGGCATGACGCCTGGAATGTTGCTGACATCAGCACATAATAACTTGTACTCATTCCAGCAATAGAAACTAATGTTTTTAATCCACTAGACCGTATAATGATAACATATAGCAAAACCCTTATAAACAACAAATTTCTACTACATGTACTTCTATGATATGTTAAGTATTGGGCAGTTTGGCAAGGACTCCAGGACAAGCGCCAATTTCTATCACTGCATTCACTGTATTATAAGTCCAGACAGAAATTATTCCTTGCATTTCAAATGGTCTAATACGAAACTCTTCTCATTTCAAAGATGTGTAAGGATATGAATAGCAGTGGGAAGAACTGTAACATATGTAACCCTTCTTACCTTACAGCATTAAAGAGCTCAAGAACAAATTGTTTGATTTGATGGAATTATTTCAAACAGACCCAACTCTTCTAGGGAGAAAAAAACAGACGTGTCGGTCATTTGTTGGACTCCAGTGAACAACACTAAAATTTGGATTTGTTAAAAAGGTTCTTTGGTCCACAAGTGATGGGCCACGATGAATAGTAACTGTGAAATTGTAGAAAATTCTATTAAATGATGACCGTAAATATTGACATTAGTACATAATCACAAAATCCTGAAAATGTTATAGGACTAAAATGGACGGATTCAGAGTAAAATACAATACCTAGTTTCTAAAAGGTTAATGGTACAAAGCTATGGGAAACCTGTAATCTCACAGCTTCATGCTATACAGAGTGCCATTCTTTCCATGATGTACATTCTACCAGGGCCATACTTAATTTTAGTAGCTGTGGGGCGAAAGTTGTGAAGTATTTGCATCAAGTTTATTTGGGGCGTTAGAACTTTATGGGGCCAATTGGCCCCCTTACGCCCTCCCTTCTAGCTACAGCCCTGGTTACATGCTCCATACCTGAACTTTGTGAGTCACCTCCAATTTCAACTTTTAGTATTTGCAGGGAAGCAGCAAAGTTGGGCTGAAACAGGTAGCAATAATTAATCTCTGCATCACAATATATATCTCATCGGTTTGTTGTTTAAGCTTCACTCAACAATATTCCAGGTATATGGTTGTAGTCCGTAAACAATGAAGTCTGGACTAGACATACCGGCAATGGTTACTGCGTGCACCATCCCATTGCATCATGGTACGATGACACACGATCAACCTCGTCACTGACCCTTACCATCTGATCTACGTACAATGATGTAGTCATGTCTTAGGATGAGCGGGGGTAGAGCACTTTACTTTTTAGTATTTCAATCAGCGCCGCATGGAGGATCGAACTCATGTTGCCAGCATGAAGCTAAACTAGGCTAATCAATTAGCCAAAACCCGACCATGGGTGCTATCACAAATAATTAGTGCTTGTTTACCAAGTCATCAGCACCCCCGATTGCTTACCTTTATGCTCATGCGCAGTAGCCATTTTCTGCATGACATTCGAAACTTGATAAAAGTGTACGGAATTTCCTCAAATTACATTTGCTTAATTAGTTAAAAGAGATAGCTACACCCATATCCTACCTCACAACAGGCCCTAAGGATTGTAAAGGGTTGTTTGATCAGAAAAGGGATCAAAGCAAAGGGCTAAGGATTGAGTCTGGGGTAACCTACCCAAACCCTAACACAAATATATAACCCTAAGGATCAAAGAGGCACACAAGATCTAATAAAGTGAGAGCCAGTCAGCAGCCTGAACCAAAATTTAGCACTATGGTAAGTTGCGCCTTGTAAACTGCATTGTTGTCAGATGATCAAATCTTGCTGGGGACAGACTCTTACCTGGGATCCCCATACAAAAATAAACATGAAATACTCATATCCCCCGCCAATATGACATGTCCGGTCGTGTGCAATGCATTTGCTCCTGTGAACTATGTTCACTGGGCCTTTTTGTATTTAATACTGCGAGATGATATTATGTGCCAAGTTTGGTGAAGAAATATGGTACGGTTTTCAAGAACTGCTCCGGAAACGAGGACTACCGCCATTTTCAGTCTAAATCAAAGTCATTGCCATGGAAACTCCAAAAATAACTTTTTTTTAAATCCCAAACTATCAAAAGGCACCAGTTCACCACTAGACCTATCTATGTGCCAAGTTTGGTGAAGAAATATGGTACGGTTTTCAAGATCTGCTCCGGAAACAAGGACTATCTCCATTTTCAGTCTAAGTCAAAGTCATTGCCTGGGAAACTCGAAAAAAATGTTTGACTTGTTTAATTCACAGGCCAAATACTTTTCTTTCTTTATTCCAGTGTCTGGAATTGAAAAAATGAAAGTCATGGGTCCTTGTCATTACCTAATGAAGAAATCAAAACATGTTTCGGGGATCCCTGGGTTCAAACACAACAACAGAAAACAACAAGCACCCTGGACCCACATTGCACAGATATTCTGACAGTCAGCTCCTCTACACTCACTTCTAGTTTCTTATAAGTTTGTCCAATCTTAGTTAGTGAGTGAGTTGGGTTTAACACCACTTTTAACAGTATTCCAGTTATATCACGGCATGTCAGCTCAATGTGGGAGGAAAGCCCAAAGTGATGCAGGTCTCAGACGTTTACCACTTTCGGTGAAACCCACGAGCACGGGTATAGTGCTGACAAACCTAGAAACATAATCGGGGCGAACCGGGATTCAAACCCACAATCATAGGTTTCTGGAGTGCCAAAGGGACACAACTCTGCACAGCGAATCGTGGCGCCATAGACTACTGGGCCACCCGTGCATCCACCAATCTAAGTTAAAAGTACCCACTCTAATTCACTGACACATATTACCAATCCCGGATATCACAGTTTTGTGATCCTCTGTGACCAGGGTTAGAGTAAGTCCCCAGCATTCTATTGTATTGCTTGTTGTAAGAGGCGACTAATTGACTCAGGTGGTTACTCAAAGCATAACTGATAATGAAGACTCATCTAATTAAGACTTGCTACAGATATGGACTGACTTGACCTTTTAGCTCTTCACTGGTATGTTTTCAGGACATATTATTTTGTTCTTTATCTTTTGAAAATCAATCTTGAACATATAAAACCCAGCATACACACTGGCATCATGCCATACAAATTCAAAAATACCTTGAACAGGTAATCCAAGACTTCATTTCTCTGTTTTTCAGGATAAGCTTTCAATAATTTTGATGTTGCCTGAAACATAAATGCAGAATTTAAACAAATGTTACCTGTATGGATGGAAAACAATGATAGAAAATATCATGCACTTGAGGATATACAAAACCCAGGCTAGACCAAAGCATCCATAGTCCACACAAAAGCCTTAGTTATCATGTTAGGCAATGCGCATACAAAATGTCATCAGATGTATGAAAAAAAGTCCCCCACCCCCACCTCTAGATCCGCCAGTGATCTTTATCATAAATTAACTATAGGGATTTGTTTCATGATTTCCCTTTCTATCATATTCTTTTGTTTTTATTTTAGATTATGTATATTTGTATTCCCTGTTTTTCATGTTGCACATAACAATATACAGGAATGTCACTCATAAACACACTAAAACATTATTTCCTGTGAACCAGAACTTTTCACTGCAGGATTGGACCTTTTTCACAGCAATTTTATGTATTTAAACCTTGATATTTTTTCTGGGTCTATATTTGCGCGGAACAAAAACACGCTTACACGCCCACCCTCTATGTTGTCTATTTATGTTTCAATGTTGTTGTGGGTTTTTTTCTTTTATTGTTTTTAAAAGAAGTACCTGTTACATATAATGTGCTTCAAGCAGAAAGCCCATCACATATAGCACAACTTATCAGTACATCTTAGGTTTTTTTACAGAAAATAACATACCCCTCACTCACACATTCACTGCATATATCATGTATGCACAAACTATTAAAGTTTACATATCATATTGCAGTGCAGGAAAGTACATGGTCTCAAACATTAAAGTCTTAAGTATAAAACTAAAATTAAAATGGAAATTGCTCCTCGTTTACAAAAAGTTTATGGTAGCACCAAACAATTTCTGCTGATTACCTGTCTTGAAAGCAAAATCTTTTTCAATGTTGTATCGTGAAAAAGATTCCTTTTTATAAACATGAAAATAAGGTTTTGTATTTTGAAATTTGCATCTATAAATATAGAATTTTGCAATGAGTAAAAGTAAATCAACACTTTATCTGTTTTTATGTTCTCTTTAACTCCAAAAAGTATCTATTCTGCACAAAATGTCATATTATAAACATGAAAGCACTGGTCTATCCACACTGGCACTTCATCCTAAAATCGTTATATTACATCAGTCCCCAAACACGTTAGTAATTGCTTCCTTTTCATTGTGACAGAAGGAGCACAGATCATTTTGAACATAATTAAATATTCAGAAAAGTATTAGTGGTGAGAATTATGTGGGTAAATGTGTATTGAAGCCATCACAGTTTGACATCCTGTGTTGTAGTGAATATTTTTATTACAAATATTGTTCCAATTTAAGTTTTCAAATTGTAATTCCCACTTTTCCTGTCCTTTAGTTTTTAATTTATGTAACAACGTTAGATCTGTCTTGAGACAGACAAAGTTTCAGCATGACAACATGACAAGTGAGAACCAGGTCAAATTGTGACATGACTAACAAGTGACGTCACATCAAACACTATGACGTATATGTCATACACTTAAAGGGGCACTGATCTAACGCAATTCCCCGGGACTGGTTGTTGCCTTTGTTATTGTTTTTTCCCAGTGAGTACCCGGATGTATACCAGAAATCTAGACTAGTTCGTGACCTCTGCTGCGCCATTCGTAAGCGCATTAGTCGCTTTTATGGGTAGTAATAAGGGCGTATGGTCACATTGATGAACAAAATGAAATACAGTTTTCGAGATAATAAGGAAATGTAGGTATCTTTGTGGGTAGCATCGGTAATGGTGACGAAGTTTTGATAAGTCACTTGCTTGGTAATTTTGCGATTTTCGTTTACACTATTTTGACTTGCAACACAAAGTAAATATTTCACCTGAGCATTGCTTTTTTTTTATAGTGTTTGGTTTTTTTTACTGTCAAATGTGTAACAAATTTATTAAACGTCTAAATATTCAGTTATTTTACAAAGTGACTGAAAAACATTTCCATCTGTATTATAATGATAACGAATTCCAAATATTTTGATGTTTAATGTCATCACCAAGAGACTGAAAATGTTACATTGAGAAAAGTACATTTCTATGTTGTTTGGCTTCTAATCCTACATAATAATCTGTTGTGATGTTTGTAGGCCCTTTTGATCGTCTTAATCAATCTGGACAGATGTTTTAGTCAAAATGACTGAAATATTTACACATTTTATAAATTGCCTGAGAGAATCACATTTTACAAATTGACGGTAATATATACACGCTTACAAAGGAAAAGACCTGTGAAAACAACGTCTATCGCGCATTGAAGAATTTCCCAACCAAGACGTAAAGAAACAAGAACGAATCGGTTCAAATGAAGGAAAACAAAATGCAAATATCATAATTACAACCTACCAAATTTATGTGTATAAATTTTAGGCAGCTTCCTCGTTCGAGGAATGTATCCGTGAATATCCACACAAAGGAACAATATCCCACTCATCTGCAGATGTACAAAGAAATGTATTTGATGTCACGTGTCTCAGTAACAATCAAATATTTTAAAATATATATATCGTTTTGGGATATTATAACCCGTGTTCGTTTCTCAACTGATCACTTGGATTGTTTCAGGTGTTTGAACATAGGTGTCAAGTCTCAATGGTCGGCTGAGAAAGCCCACGTGACAACTATTTTCATAACGTTCACGGTTCCTAAAAAATCCATTGAGTGATAGATAACAATGATCAATCAATCAACGTATTATAAGTTAACCCTTTGAACAAAGTATGTTGTTTTTACATCGGCACTTCAGGCCATGGTATAAGGGTATTCCCTTTGTTTTAGTAAACCTAGACATGTAAACACTCAGTCTTGACATATCCACTGTGCAAGATAACAGTGATTAATCAATCAACGTATTTTCTGTTAATCCTTTGATGACTAGGAACATTCCGTTGATTTACAAAAAAATAAATCAACTGATCATTCATCTCTTGCTGGGCTGCCACGTGCAAATTACATAACACACATTTCACCTCACTTCAAACCTGGATTTAGATTGAATAATTACCCCAGACACAATAAATGCCAAATGGGAACCTTTGTCAGGTACTCTAAGTGGTGCTACCACTAATTGTACCTGTAATAAATTCATTAACTGAGCATCAAGTGAATGACGACAAATACACAAGTGAAGGGTTATACGAGAAAACGTGGATGACAACAAGGGAGTAGTAATCGTATTATCGACGCAAGATACTTTTATAAACTATAACCATCTGGGGTATTTCCAAATGACGACATCCGATGAGCTCCGCTGTTCTTTTTGTCTGCTTGTTTAGGCTGAAGAAATTAATTAACAAGCGCCCTTTGTCGAAATCTTTATAAGATCACAGTTAACCAATCAGTGTTTATGCAAAAATGCGTAAAACAAATATTGCCTCCAGCCTCCAAGTTTATTTAGCTGTCCTTGCAGACGGTAGCCCAGTCTCTGGTCACGCTCAGTTGCGTTGCGTATGATCCGGGTACTCACGGGGGGAAAAACAATAACAAAGGCAACGACCAGTCCGGGGAATTGCGTTAGATCAGAGCCCCTTTAATACAAACCGGCCAGCATGTAATCGACTTGTGTGGATTTTTTATTAAAAAAATATAAAATGGCAAACGGCAAATCAAATAGCTAGATTTTTTAACGAGTAATGATAACGATAAATATCTATCCATATCATATTCAATCTTTGCTTTGGTTAAGCCTGTTGTCAGTGTTGACCCTTGGCCTCCGCACCGCCGGCGATGAGACAGTGAGACAGGTCTTACCGAGCCTCCGCTAAGGCCCCCGATGCCATCATATCGCCTGCCTAGTCCAGCAGAATCGTCAATAAAATACACAGGGGATGCTTTGACAACGCAAAGCCAGTAAAGTAAAGAAAACACAGAAAATCGCCCCATCTTCTCTCCTTTCGTCTGCTCTGGGGGGTCAGGTGCACTGATAGCTCTGCTTTAGCTGTTACTTTCGTATATTGTTGTATTATATATAGAGTACTGAAAGAACTTTGATTATTTAACAGTTTGGTATAAACGTATTCAGAGATATATACTGGGTTGTTTGTAGTCATATTTCATCAACCACTGTCTGTTTATGTCAAATACGAAAGCAAAGCAATATAACTCTGCAAAGATGGCTGCCTTGGTGTAAAATCATTTCCCTGTTTGTATCGGCAATTCGAACTTTTCTCACTATGGCTTTAGTGTCATCTCTAAGACGATTTTGTGTACATACAGCTAGATATAAATGTCTATTGTTTAACATCCGTGATAGAACTGTTTCAAAAAATGGATATTTAGCTGGATTTGCCACTAAAAACGCTTCGTCGGTCAATGTCAAACGAAATGTTTCTAAACCAATGTCAATTTTCATCGGTGGAAGTGCACTGTGTATATCCCTTTCATTGTATGAGCTACTGAGGGACAGAATGACACCCACAGTTCATGCTGCTGTGATCGATTCCCCTAGGACGCAATTTAATTTCATTGCAGATGTTGTTAAAAAAGCATCTCCAGCTGTTGTGTACATTGAATTAAAAGGGAGGTAATGCAGTCTTTCAGGCATGTCTAAGACATGCCATTTCTGTTTATTGTTTTCATTGTTATGTTGCTTGTGTGCCGTGACAACAGTACTTTGTGTTTGTACTTGTGTGCCGTTAAAAATCAGTGGTGATGTATATACAAAGTGTACCCATTCATTACACAAAGTTTAATTCTCTTACATAATGTACATAATGTAATGTATTTAGAAAGCAGGTATTACATTATCTTGTGATGCAGCTATGAAACTGAAACATGGTACCTATCCAAGTGAGTGAGTGAGTATTGTTTTACGCTGCTTTTAGCAATATTCCAGCAATATCACATTGGGGGACACCAGAAATGGGCTTCACACATTGTACCCATGTGGGGAATCGAACCCGGGTCTTCAGCGTGACGAGCGAGTGCTTTAACCACTAGGCTACTGGTACCTACAAATGGTACTGGTTACATTGAGGGTTTTGACTTGAGGCTTATTTGATTATCAACAAAAAGTGACGAGGAACATAAGATATGGACTTATAGTCATAATCTGCATTGTGTGATTAAACCTGCATATTGAGATCTAAAAATCCTACTCTTTAGTGCTATTCAAACAGCTGGGCAAAAGAAAGTATACATCCATGTTAATGGTGGCTAAAAGTGAAACAAACAAGAAATGGTTTTTCGATGGTGATGTATTTGATACAGGTGTCATAGTGGTGTTTTGTACCCTGTGTTTCCAGTGTTTTGGTGACTGTTTTCAGCCTAGCAGGGGCGGACGTGTAGCCCAGTTGTTAAAGCGTTCGCTCGTCACGCCGAAGACCCAGGTTCAATTCCCAACATGGGTACAATGTGTGAAGCCCATTTCTGGTGTCCCCCACCCTGGTATTGCTGGAATATTGCTAAAAGCGGCGTAAAACCAAACTCACTCACTCACTCAGCCTAGTAACATTTTGATAATGTTTGTAATTTTTGGGTGACATTCAGTTTTCAACTGTGTACTTCCTTTTTCCTTAGATAGGCAGCCAGAGAATTAGAATGTTTATATTAAAGGATGGAGATTAACAGTAACTGTTTGTTGCAGGCATCCGTTCCATGGGAGCTACACCACAATGTCGAATGGCTCTGGTTTCATTGTGCGTGAGAATGGACTCATTCTAACCAATGCCCATGTCGTTGGCAACAAGCAATCTCTTCGTGTGAAGCTGCATGACGGAAGGGAATTCGATGGCGTGGTACAAGCTGTAGATCCTGTCTCAGATCTAGCAACCATCCAAATTCAAGCTGTGAGTTTATCAAAACAGATATCAATCATAATCAGTTTGTAGGAGTGTAACAATTGAAATGTCAACGCATCACAGTTGTTTATTGCCCAAGTATGGTCTGTGTTGTTTTGAAGTTAATTTCCTGAAAACTACTTGCAAACAAATCAACATTTTGCTTATTTTTGTAATCGTTTACTTGTTGTAACTAAAACTCAACTGTAAAACAAGAAAAAGAACTACCGTACTGGACATAATCAGTGCCTAGGGCGCTCTCAAAATTAGAAATACGGGGCTCTTATTAGAATATTATTTTGGTGAAAAACAATAGAGTTGAAAGATCGTAAATTTCATGGTTTATGCTGACAGCCTGAAATGTTTATATACGACAGATATATTTTTCCAGAATTTAATTTCCCATAATTAAGGATGCATATAACACGCATATTATACACGAATAAATAAGTCTAAAAGTTAAATATTCTAAATATAGTATTTTTTCCATAATCATGATAATAAACTGAATATGCATTTACCCTTTCCTATGACTTATTGCAACTGCTATTCAGAAAGGCCTCCCAACACTACAGCTTGGTAAGTCTTCCTCCCTAGAGCCTGGGGAATGGGTGATAGCAATGGGGAGTCCGCTTGCCCTCAGCAACACTGTGACCGCTGGCATCGTCAGCACTGTCCATCGAGGCAGCAAGGAGCTGGGCATCCACAACAAGGACATGGAGTACATACAGACTGATGCTGTCATCAATGTAAGCATACCATATTAATTTTTAGCTGTTTGAATGATTAGAAATTAAGAAATTAGATACTGAAGGGTGTGTCCCCAATAGCCTACCCTCAGTGGCAAAGATTGGCGTGGGCGAGGCAACATCATGCACGGGCTATGTGCCAATGGAATTGCACCATGTTTAATGACGAAACAAGGTTCTGCTTCCGATTCACAGATGGCAGGACCCGTGAAGACCCGGAGTAGAATATGCTTCAGCAACCCATGCTTGCCATAAAAGGTGACTATGCTTGTTGTAAGAGGCGACTAACGGGATCGGAGGGTCAGGCTTGCTGACTTGGTCGATGCATGTCATCGTATCCCAATTGCGTGCTCATGTTATCAATCACTGGATTGTCTGGTCCAGACTCGATGTTTTACAGACCTCTGTCATATTGCTGAGTTCAGCGTTAAACAACAAACAAACACATCTTTTTGGTAATTGTTAGGTATTCATTCTACCACGTCACTTTTTTTTTTTTAACTTAACCATTAATGGGTAAGCATAGCTTGTTTCATATTTTCTTATCCTTTAATTCCAGTGTCAGTAGTCTTGCCTTGTGTTTGCATACAACTCGTATACAATATTCTACCAAACTATCAATGCGCCGTGATATATCGTTTTCCCAGCCCCTCAATATTTCTGTAAACCCAATTGGGTGGATTGATGATCATGATGTCAATCACTGGATTGTCTGTTCCAGACTCTATTATTTACAGACTGCCGTCATATAGCTGGAATATTGCTGTGTGCAGCGTTATAAAACAAACAAACAAACATTGTTGGCAACGTAGTGTGGGCAGTCTGCCAGGGCAACAATTCTTGAACGTGATCAGTTTGGGGTTGGGAGTGTCATCCTGTAGGGGGTTATCACACAAGACCAAACTGATTTGGTTATTGTGAATGGACATTTGACTGGGCAGCGATATGTTGATGATATTTTGCATCTTGTCGTCCCATTTGTAAAAATTATCGGCAGACATTTTGAACTGCAAGGTGACAATGGCAGACCACATTGTGTCGTCACTGATTATCTCCGACGAGAACACATACGGACATTGGACTGGCCCGCTAAGTCCCCTGACATGTCCCCAATAGAACAGGATGTGGGATGTTCTCATGCGTAGTGTGTACACCAGAGACCCAGCATGGCATAGCTTGGGGTAGCTGTACAGGATGAATGGCGGGCAATACCAAGGGAAACCATTCACAAGTTAACCAACAGTAAGCCATCAAGGTGTCGTGCATGTATCGCCCAACAGGGGGCACACTCCAGATATTGATCTACACAGCAGAAATTGATTCTACAGACATTTATTGTCATTACACCTTGACCATCATTTTATCAGTTCCCTTTTTTTGTCAGTAGTATGTAAATAAATGTATATTTCTTAAGTAGGGCAAGACATTTATTGTTAAATTGGTTCGCATATTTGTACAATGTCTGACACTGCAAGACAGTGGACAGTCCTCCGGCCCTCAGCACACAGAGGTACCAGTACCATGTTAGTCAGAAGCAGTGGGCAGTCCTCCAGCCCTCAGCACACAGAGGTACCAGTACCATGTTAGTCAGTAGCAGTGGACAGTCCTCTAGCCCTCAGCACACAGAGGTACCAGTACCATGTTATTCAGTAGCAGTGGACAGACCTCTAGCCCTCAGCACACAGAGGTACCAGTACCATGTTAGTCAGTAGCAGTGGGCAGTCCTCTAGCCCTCAGCACACAGAGGTACCAGTGCCATGTTAGTCAGTAGCAGTGGGCAGACCTCTAGCCCTCAGCACACAGAGGTACCAGTACCATGTTAGCCAGTAGCAGTGGGCAGTCCTCTAGCCCTCAGCACACAGAGGTACCAGTGCCATGTTAGTCAGTAAGAGTGGACAGACCTCTAGCCCTCAGCACACAGAGGTACCAGTACCATGTTATTCAGTAGCAGTGGACAGACCTCTAGCCCTCAGCACACAGAGGTACCAGTGCCATGTTATTCAGTAGCAGTGGCCAGTCCTCTAGCCCTCAGGACACAGAGGTACCATGTTATTCAGTAGCAGTGGGCAGTCCTCTAGCCCTCAGCACACAGAGGTACCATGTTAGTCAGTAGCAGTGGACAGTCCTCGAGCCCTCAGCCAACAGAGGTACCAGTACCATGTTAGTCAGTAGCAGTGGGCAGTCCTCTAGCCCTCAGGACACAGAGGTACCATGTTATTCAGTAGCAGTGGGCAGACCTCTAGCCCTCAGCACACAGAGGTACCAGTACCATGTTAGCCAGTAGCAGTGGGCAGTCCTCTAGCCCTCAGCACACAGAGGTACCAGTACCATGTTAGCCAGTAGCAGTGGGCAGTCCTCTACCCCTCAGCACACAGAGGTACCAGTACCATGTTAGTCAGTAGCAGTGGGCAGTCCTCTAGCCCTCAGCACACAGAGGTACCAGTACCATGTTAGTCAGTAGCAGTGGGCAGTCCTCTAGCCCTCAGCACACAGAGGTACCAGTACCATGTTAGCCAGTAGCAGTGGGCAGACCTCTAGCCCTCAGCACACAGAGGTACCAGTACCATGTTAGTCAGTAGCAGTGGCCAGTCCTCTAGCCCTCAGGACACAGAGGTACCATGTTATTCAGTAGCAGTGGGCAGTCCTCTAGCCCTCAGCACACAGAGGTACCAGTACCATGTTAGTCAGTAGCAGTGGGCAGTCCTCTAGCCCTCAGCAAGCAGAATGCTTTGAACAAATTATTTTACAGAATATTCCACATTCTACAAAATCATTGTTTGAATACTATTTTGGCTTAAGGAAGCGAATTTATGGATATCAGCATCTTTATTACGAGGAACCTCCTCATAGTAAAGAAGCTGACATCCATAAATTCTCTTCCTTATGTGTATCACTTCTAAGTGGCTTTCAAAGATTTTATATCCCCTTTAATTTTCCATTTTGCAGTTTGGCAACTCGGGAGGGCCGTTAGTCAACCTGGTGAGTACCGGCAACACACAGACCATTCACTCCCGTTTGGCAGATGCATTTGAAATGCAGTAGATTTTCATAAAAAATACCATAAAATTTGTGTCTGTGTGCAATATTTCTGTGCAATTTACATGTTTTCCAGGACAAAATATTAGATTTGTTTGAGGAAAATGACATGGTTAATAATGGTCTTAAAATGCCATGAATTATTGGATAATATTGTTGTCATAGTGTTGACGTTTATTTAAGATTTCAGAAGAAAGCTGATTCTTACTGTCATGACGATGTTTACATTCAGCTGCCATTTTATGCAGAATTAAACAACAAGTGAAATGTGAAATAGTCGTTCTTAATTTTTAAATAACCAAAATTATTTAGACTACCTCAGAAGTAATTTTGTATTCATGCATATTGAGGATTTGAGAGGGGGAAGTCTTTCCTTACAGGGAAATAAATTCATCAACATGATAAATAAATTACTTTTTGGAGAGAGGAGGAAGTAGAAGGAATATATATCAATCAATCAATATTAAAATTCTTGTGTTTCTTGTGAATGTGAATAAAAAAATCCTTATTCAATGAAAGTTGTAATGCCGTATTTGATTGAGGCAAAGCTGATTTGCATAGGCTACAAAACATTACTTGATGAACATGTTCGGTGAAAATAGTTCGAATGTTAGTTGATTTAGATATCATATTTGTTGATTTATATGCTGCCAAAATAGGTAAATCAAATAGTATTCACATTAACAAATTGAATCTTAATCATAATTTAGCAAGTTGTTAAGTAAATGAAGATGGATGACACTACCTAAGTGTATAATGCATAGTGCACAATGTTTTATTCATATTGATTATGGTATGTGTTATGCATCTTCCCGAGGCAAGGGAGTTAACTGTTAACTGGAGTTAACTATTAAAGTCCAGTGTACCTTGCCAAACTAGGCTGGAATTATATTTATATAGGAGTTATATTTTGACAGGACTAACGAACGAGTCTTTGCAAAGTCCAATCAAAATCACGTAATGAAATCGACATCGGTTCGTAAACTGCCGTGTAGATTTCGGTTGATTGATTTTTTTAATCAAGGTGCTCACATGACTTAATGCTCTTCGCGAGTATTGTGATTGAAACCCTAAAACTGTGTGTTTCAATAGAATTTGTTAATTTTTCATTGATCGTTGATTCTTTTCTGATTTTTCTGTATGGACTGATTTCTGGGTTAACCTTCATGTTTAATTTTGTTTAATTTCTGGGCTTGGTCGTAACGCCACCACTGGCTATTGCGAGTTATGTAAGTTCTATGTCCCTCTTACTGACCAATCAGATTCCATATCTCATATCACTTGCATTTGCTTCAAACAAAATGGCGGTGCCCAGTCAAGACGATCTGACTGATAATCAAAATCTATATTGTGCTAAAAGTGCATCAAATCTGGTGAGCACCTTGATCAATTATCTTTTGACGTTATTTGGGTGTACACATGCTTGGCAAATCCTGCAATCGAACAATATCTGCATGGCAGCAGTTTACAAACCGGATGTCAATATCGTTACACAATTTTGACCAATCAGATTCCATTCTTACATCACTTACATTGCTTCAAATAAAATGGTGGTGCCCAGCGAAGATGATCTGATCGACAATCAAGATCTATATTGTAATAAAACATGTCTTCCTTCATGAAGTGCATTAAGTCACATGGGCACCTTGCTTAAAAACATAAAAATACCTGTTGACGCTAGTTTGTCAGTACACATGCTTTTCAAATCCATGTGATCAACCGAAATCTGCACGGCAGTTTACGAACCAGATGTCGATTTCATTACTCGATTTTGTTTGGACTATGCATAGACTTGTTAGTCCAGCCAAAATATAACTAAAAAATTCCAACATAATTCTGCAAGGGAATAAACTGGACTTTTATAGTCAGTTAACTCCCTTGCCTCGGGAAGATGTATTGGTTAACACTGGTGCTCTGTTTGTCTCAATTATGGATAATAGGATGTATTTTGATCTCATAACCTGTTTTTGTGGTGTTGTGTTGTGTGCATCAATCTCTTTAAAATCAGAACTTTTGCTCCGATATGAATCTCCTTGCATGAATATATATAATGTCGAAATGCAGGCAGATAACTTTGAAGATGGGCAAGCAACACTTGGTCACCTGCCGGACTGTCTTGTTGGGTTTAAAATCATTTCAAACACTGTACCTGAAGCAAATCTTGTGCAGGAGTTGTCAGATCTTCACTCGGAGTGGAACGGTATGAGAGTAAAAGATGTAAGTTTAATGAGATTGGGCGTCCAAAACCACCAGGCTGACTGTGTGTTATGATTCCCCAATAAGCCCCAGTCAGTTCTTTACAGGATGTTGCAAATTTAACAATGTTCACTCATAATATCAGTTTTGTTTTACATGTTCTGTACTGCTTTTGTTTTGCCTGATTTTGTGACATTTTGTGTTTAGGATGGAGAGGCTATTGGCATCAACACAATGAAGGTGACCACAGGAATCTCGTTTGCCATCCCCTCTGACTATGCAAGTGAATTTTTGGTGAAAGCTGATGACTTATTGAATAGAGGTAAGCACAATAATCAGATCTTTTGCTCCATGTTGATATCTCTCTATCCCGATCGGACAAATCCTCCATAGGTCACGTCAGACTCACACAAATTAAATACCGATAATAGACATTACTGATATCAGTTTTACTGTTTCCTTTTCTGTTGCATCTCAGCGTAGAGAGAATATTTTGACATTTTGGCAGAAGTCTTCAGCAAGGTAGAAAAACAAGACCTAGATATAGCTGTTCATGGAAGCCAAAATATTCACACACTCCAAAATATGTTCCAAAGAAGAGATATTTTACTGGGATTTAAATCAATAATTGTGAAACCTGTATTGTTCTGCAATAATAGTTCTCTTTCATTTGTATTCTTTCATCATGATGGCAGATTTAGGCTAAGGAAATGTAGGGGAAAAGAAACATCATTTCATACTAATTTGTGCCTCAGTGTGGCTTCCAGGCCCCAGATAGGTTCCCAGCAACCTTTGCTTGTCATAAGTGGCGACTAATGGATCAGGTGGTCTTTCTGGGCGATTTGCTAGATGCATTTCATCATATCGCGGGGACACGGGTGGCCCAGTCGTCTAAGGCGCCGCGATTCGCTGTGTAGAGTTGCGTCCCCAGGACATGCCAGAAACCTATGATTGTGGGTTTGAATCCCGGTTCACCCCGATTATGTTTCTAGGTTTGTCAGCACCATACCTGTGCTCGTGGGTTTCACCGAAATGGTAAAATGTCTGAGACCTGCATCACTTCGGGCTTTCCTCCCACATTAAGCTGACCCGCCGTGATATAACTGGAATAATGTTAAAAGCGGCGTTAAACCCAACTCACTCACTCACTCACTCACTCACTCATCATATCGCAATTGCAAGGATCGATGCTCATGATGTCAGTCACTGGATTGTCTGGTCCAGACTTTATTATTTACAGACTATACATTGTGTAAAGTTTTCCTGTTGTACGCGCTATGTATATTTATGTATTTATTTAAATTCCCCTATGGGATGAACACAAAGGAAGATTTTTGTATTTACATACTGTCATGATACCTTTGGAATATTGCTGAATGCGGCATTAATTATCAAACAGTTTTGTGTTAACCAATACACGAGCTGAAAGCATTTTATCCTACCAATTATGTGACTCCGTTGTCTCTTCTTGCAGCCAAAAGCAAGTCCCGAGGCTGGTTTGGTACAGGGAGTGGCGCCAAGGCACGTCGGTTCATGGGCATCACGATGTTGACGCTGACGCCGAGCATCTTGATGGAGTTGAAGGAGAGATCGGGGGACTTCCCTGATGTACAGCATGGAGTTTTCGTACACAAGGTCACGCTCGGGTCACCAGCTTATAAGTATGTCCACTAGGGGTGTCATCATTCAGTGGTTTTAGTGCATCATGGGACACTGTCCATACAGACTTGTCTTAGAATTGTTTACAGATTACACCAACAGAAAAAAAATGAGGTGAAAAAAATGAAGAGTTGTATGAATTGTTTATTTATTCATCACAAACTTGTTTGGCATACAATAGGTTAAACTGTGAGTTTAACTACAGAACATTTTCAGAAAACTTTTTGAAGAAGAAAAAATAAACTGAAATGTCTTTACTCTGTTGCAATTGTTTTCCCACCTACCAATCAGGATGTTTTCAGTATGGCCTGATGTTCACACTGTCGTCACTTCGTGTTGGGAAATAGAAAGCTTGCCAGCTACTTTGTGGGAACTGTCATCCAAAATAAGAAATACACTTTGTCATCTTCCCAAGGCAAGGGAGTTAACTGAATATAAAAGTCCAATTTCAAAGTCTGTTTGCTTCAAACAAAATAGCTGCGCCTAGTCAAGACAATCTGATTGATGATCAAGATATATATATTGTAATAAAATGGGTCTTACCTAGTGAAGTGCATCAATTCACGTGACCACCTTGATCAAAAGATGAAAAGATTTGGAAAAAATCTGTCGACACCCAGTTGATGGTAAACATCTTTTGCAAGTTCTGCAGTCGACTGAAATCTGTACATTGAAATCCATGTTGTTTACGAACTGGATGTTGATTTTGTTAAGCGATTTTGATTAGACTATGTATAGACACCTTAGTCCAGCCAAAATATGACTCTAAAATATAACACCATAATTTTCCAGTTTAGCAAGGGTGGAAACTGGACTTTTACAGTCAGTTAATTCCCTTGCCTCAGGAAGATGATACTTTGTTGGCTCAGAATGTCATATGGTGGTATTAAGCCCTAGCGTCCAATTTGTGTCTCAGCTCTTAGTAAGGGTGGTTATATTTTTGGCCATAACAGATTATTTGTTTATGGGCCTTTTTGGAATAAAGTGAGGATTTTATTCCTCTTGAAGAGGATTAAAGAAGACACAATGTACCAGATTGGAGATGCATGGTGGTATGTAATAATCCCTGAGGCCTAAGCAAGTGGCAGTGAGGGGCTGCTTCTGTTAGTCTAGTTCCTCATGGAAACTTTTAAGAGACACAATGACTCTTGGTGGATGTCTCTAAGATAATAGATAATAAAAGGTTGTTAAATGGTATTGGAAGCAGGAAGTTTTCACTGTGTATGAATAGGTTTTTTTTTACTGTGATTTCTTGTAAGTGTGCCACAAGCCACACGTAATGATGCTCCTGTTTTATAGGCATTACTTAGGTACAAGTTGACGGAAGACAAAGTAGACACATTTTTTTTACTGTAAAGGCGACCTTTCAGGATAGATCTTTATACCATTGTCAAGCAAGTTATAACATTGTCAACCAAGTATTTACTGTAAAGGCAACGATTCCCCTATTGATCCTTATACCCTTGTCAAGCAAGTATTTACTGTAAAGGCAACGTTTCGGTATAGATCCTTATACCGTTGTCAAGCAAGTATTTACTGTAACGGCGACGTTTCGGTATAGATCCTTATACCGTTGTCAACCAAGTAATTACTTTAAAGGCAACGTTTCAATATAGATCCTTATACCGTTGTCAACTGAGTAATTACTTTAAAGGCAACCTTTCGGTATAGATCCTTATACCATTGTCAAGCAAGTATTTACTGTAAAGGCGACGTTTCAGTATTGATCCTTATACCATTTTCAAGCAAGTATTTACTTTACAAGCTTGACAAGGGTATAAGGATCTATACCGAAATGTCGCCTTTAAGTAAACAAAGAAGTTGTTATCCATGAATGGTGTTCACTTTGTCTAGATGTGCTCAGAATTGAAATGTCCTAACAGGAATAACACTTTTCAGTTTCTGATTCAACAGGATTATTTTGTGAATCATACTGACCATTGCGTATTTTCATATGTTTATTGTCCATGGAATTTGCCCTGTTTTCATTTGTTAAAGTACATTTATGACTGGCTTCATACTATAAACATTTTTGTTGAAAAGAGCACCAGGAACTTACTTTAACCGTTAGGATTTTAACCATGCCACTGTAGGAATCTCAAACCCTTGTTTCTGTACAGATATTAGAGACTGATCTTCCTCCATACTCCAGTGTTTTAAATCTCCATTCTATTCATTATTATGATTAATACCCAGGACGCATTTGCAACCATATCTTTGCTTTGGAACTGATTTCATCGGTTAAATTGGTATTATCACTTACTTGGCACATAATTTCATCAAAATCGTCTTCTGACCGTTCACAGCGTAATTGTGCATGCAAAGTCCTGATCTTGTCTCAGCAAGGCCTCAGTGACAAGGCCAGTGTATATGTTACATCTGTGGATCATGATTTTTTACTTCTCGATTCAAGTATCAATCACAGTCACACACTAAGTAAAAGATATCGATTCTTATCTTCAATGTTTGCTTTTATAACTGTTCCACCAACCACCAAGTAGTAGTGAAAATTCGTATTGAAAATTCGTAGTGAAAACGTAAATATTTTGCCATATTTGGCACTGCCAGCTGTATATTGTCTGTGCGCCAGGTATTTGGCCATCCTGTCCTTGAAATAGACACCACACCACAGATAAGAGCACATTACAGTATCATGATACATATTGGATCGTGAGCAAGGTATCGTGATACATATTGGATCACATGGTTGGTGTGTCGGCCCAGGCCTAGTAGTCCTTGTACTAAGACATGGAGAAAGAAGTCTGTCTGCTACAAAACATTCAGGTTGTATTTGAGATAGACACAAAATAGAATCGAGTGCTGGTGATATCGCCACTTGTTTCTATTTTGGAAGAACAGTGAAAATATAATTGGTTATGTTAAGTCTCATCTCATTCAAACCAGACTCAAAAAAAGGTATATTGGTAATTGGATCCAGTATAATCTTAGGCTAAAAAAATAATAGTCTTGGTTCTCAGTCACTGTCCACATCATCAAAAATTCATTGCATGTTTCGTTTTTGTTTCCATTTTCAATTTTTTTTGTGCATTGTGTTTAAGTATTAGGATTTTTTTTTTTTTTTTTAAATGGAAATAAAAACAAAATGTGCGTCAGACTTTATGAACACGCGGGTGGTGCCTGAGAACCAAGACTATTATTTTTTTTAGCCTTAATAGAATGGAGATATGATACACTAGATAACCTAGGATGGAGATGATGGACGTGTGTTTGTTACAGCGGCGGGATCCACCCCGGGGATGTGATAACGCAGATCAATGGCCAGGACGTCCTCTCCTCCTCCGACGTCTACAGCGCTGTGGAGAACAACCACACGTTGCGTGTGTGTGTCATGCGGGGAGCCAGGAAGACATTGCTGGTGGTCCACACGGAAGAGGTGGACTGATCTGGGATGTAAACATCATCAACAACAACTAGTCAACAACAACGGACTCATTTATGGCAATATTTTATATATGAGAATGTGCATGCATGAGACTTGTTGAAAGGTTCATTTTTCAAACTTCTTTTACCATGAGCATGTGGTAGTCTTCAATCTCATTATACTCAGGAACAGGTTCTGACATACATTCATTAACGAATGAGTTCATTAAACCCTAATAGTTCATTAGTTAATTGCTGAATTATCTGGTTTGTGTAAAGCAGTCCTAAAACTATCGTTAATTCGGCTTAAAAAAATAAAATAATTGGTCCTCAGGCAATGACTTTTGAAAATAAAGTGCAGGCGGGCAGTGTTGTTATACATTTTTTTGGCTTGTTTAAAATAGTGTGTACCCAAATAAACAGTTGTGTCCCATCAACCTGGGAAAGGACCTCCCTATATGAACAAGCATACAAACTCCTATTGCTGCCATGACTATAATACTAGATGCACCCTAAAGCAGTGCATTGTATTAGGATTTTTAATTTTTGTGGAAATGGAAATAAAAACAAAACGTGTGGCATTCTTTATGATGATGCGGGCGGCGCCTGAGAACCAAGACTATTATATTTTTAGCCTTAATTATCATTTAATTGTAAGATTTCCATTATCATGGTATAAAATTGGGGTAAATTCCCACAATTCCGTTTTATATAACAAGAACTTTCTCCTTCCTGTCATCGGCCAAGTGACTCGAGTAGTAACCATTGTCTCAACTCAAACATTTGGCATGTCATAATTGTTTATGTATTAGTACATATTATTTGGCATGTTTGGTTTAATGATAGGTGAACGGTACCCCAAACATCAATTAAGTTAATGGCTTGTTTATGTATGGATGTTGTTCTTCAAAGTTCGACACTACCAAATTTAATGGCAGTTAAAGGAGAATTAAGGACATGTTAATCCTTCTTTATACTTTGATACAATTGTTCAAGTGTATTAGTCAAATCAATAACGCTCTGCACGAAGATCTGACAATTCCTTCACTGAAGGTCACATCAAATGAAACCTGAGTGAACATTGACTGACACATTTAAGTAAAAATTCTTTAGCCAATCAGATATTTGCTTTCTAAGACAATTCGCCACGATTTATTTAATGTCTCGATTTAGAAATCTTGATTTTAAGAAAAGGAAAGCCATACAGAAATATTCCTTCAGTGGGTGCAGATGCCATGGAGCACAATAGGGTGTATAAATATCCATGACAGTACAATGAGATCATCCTTTATTATCTACATTCAGAACTGTCCAATTAAGTTTAATATCAAGATACAGAAATGAATGAGATATCCTGATCTCCCAATGGAGGTGTTGTCAGATCTTCAAGCAGAGTGGTACCATATCAGAATTGGAGGTCTGATTTTAAGTGATTGTTGGTTAGAGGATTTGTTTTCCCAAACTGAATGAAATAACAGTTTTATATAGTGTTCTTTTAATATGTGATTTATTAAAAGAATGTTGGTCAGGGGCAACAAAGAAATACATGAAAGAGTGCATGGAGGAATGATGTTCCTCCTTTACTGAACTTTTACTGAAGTTTTCTTCATTACTGTCATTAATTTGCAGACTTAATAGAAATACAGAACAGTTTCAATACTGGTACTTTTATATTATTTTCAAACCTTGTTATAGTCAGCATATTCATCAACCAACTACAGTCAAGTCTCATTAATCCAACAGTCTCGCACTCCGACTCCGACACACCTAACTTGCAACAAATTACCGAAATCACTCATTAATCAGTCTTGTTAATCCGACACACTGATCAGCGTACTCTGTGGTCATCTGCCCGCCAGTACACAGCCCGTCAGTACACAGCCCGCCAGTACACAGCCCGTGTTTTGATGCCTGCAAAGATAAACTTTTTTGTATATTTTTTTATTGCATGTTTGTATCATTATCTTTCATGTAGTTGTCCGATTTTCGATCACGAACGTTGATACAGCTTAATTTCGTTTATCCGACGTACTTGTTAATCCGACATAATCATATGCAACCAATATATGTCAGATTAACGGAACTTGACTGTAATAAAAAAGACAAGAGCACCCTTATTGTTTGGGACATGGGTTAACTGTATTAAGATTGTTGATAAACACCATATTTGCCTTTTTAAAGATGCATATATATTTGATATTATATGTTTTCCAGTTGTTGATATTGGCACTACTTAGTAAAAGTACAAGATTTTATGGATGGGATGTGGGTGGCCTGAAGCGATGTCTTTGTAATGGGTGTTGGAATAAATCATTTATTGCAAGTGTCTTTTTGTGTTTTTAAAAAGAGTGACGGTAGGAGGGAGATTTTCCTCCAGAATACTGCTTCCCACCCCTACCATAACCTCCATGTGACTGTGAACCTTCTAGTGCCTCACATACAGCTTGGTTTGTGTACTCCCCAGGGAGCTGAGAATACAAATCTAGTGCACACTGATCCATTGACCAGGGTAATAATAATATGGCTCCATGAGTATTCAGAAGGTGAATGGAATCAGCTGCAGTATAAATGAACGTGTTATTATTATTAATACCTATTTGCTCATTTGTTAACATAGAAATTGACCGCATCCGTGGTCTAGTGGTAGAGCGTCCCCTGGAGTGTGGAAGGTCGGGGTCCGATCCTCGAAAGCGTCATACCAAAATACATTAAAAGATGGTACTTGTTGTTACCCTGCCTGGCGCTCAGCATTAAGGTGCTAAACAAGGACTCGTCAGCTTGGAGTCTCCAGTGTTCGAGTGGCGTATTCATGTTAAACGGTGGCATGGTATCTCAGTGGGCTGGCCTTATAATATTGGCATTAGTGCAGACAAGGACAAGCAGCCACACATGTGCATGTACGTCGCTGTATAAGTGCAAAAATCTTAAACGTGACACGTGACATTAATCCCCACCTCGCCTCACCTCACCTCACCTCACCTCACCTCACCTCACCTCACCTCTCCTATCCTCACCTCACCTCACCTCACCTCACATAGAAATTGGATTAAAGAATGATTCCTCGGATACTGATACCTGTATTAGTGAGGGGCAGTATTTTATGCATATCACTGATCTGATATGCATGTGATGAGTGCATGGCCTACGGTATGTGCACAAAGATGTCAGAGCACTATGGTTATTGCACCCCTCATACTTACTTAAATGAGTCTTAGTACTACAATTGCTTAAGCAAGCCGGCACCATCTTCCCGAGGCAAGGGTGTTAAACTGACTATAAAAGTCCAGTTTCCACCCTTGCCAAACTAGGCGGGAATTTCCAGGCTCAATCGTAGGGCCACCAGTGGCTATTACAAATTATGTCCCTTCTATGTCCGTCCTATTGGCCAATCATATTCCACCTCTCATGCCACTTGCAATTGCTTCAAACAAAATGGCGGCGCCCACTCAAGACGATCTGATCGCTTATCAAGATCTATATTGTAAGTGCATGAAATCACTTGAGCACCTTGATTAAAAACATGTCAACGCCCAACTGGCAATACACATGCTTTGCAAGTCCACAGGTTCAGGTTCTGAATCTCCCATCTCACTGGGGCTCCTTTTCAATTTAAATATAGCTGCTTGTTCCTTGCAGTTCAGCTTGTTGTATGATTGGATGCGTGTTCTTTTTAGGTCAACAGCTAAATGTGCATTCAGAGGGATAAAGAATACCATAGTGCTTTTTAGATTTAATTTTTTGCCTCTTATCATTGACTTGGAAATCGGACCTGTAAACCACTTACAAAAGAAGGTATTGCCTGAGCGCACCTGGAACAAGAGGACTGCCCCAGTACAGGTATCAGTTTAAAAACATTCATCAGCCCGTCACACTCTGCTTGGATGACCCTAACAGTCTTGTCTTACACCTGCTCGCAGGTTTCTTAATGTTAAATATGGTCGCCATGGAAACAGGGTCCAAATGTCATTTTGGGCCAATCGTGAATGTGTATATGTGTTGTTTCAATGCAGGAACTTGTTGAGGTGAGGTGAAATGGGGTTTAACGTCGCGTCCAAGATTATTGCACTTATATAGCGACGTGCATGCATGTGTGTGTGTTGCTGCTTGTACTAGTCCAGACAGATGCGGATTTTTAGTGCTAGCTCACTGAGATCACATGCCGCAGTTTTACATGAATATCCCACTCAGACACAGTATACTGACTCCGAGCCAACCAGTCCTTGTTTTAGCCCCTTAATGCCGAGCGCCAGACAGGGTAACAACAAGTACCATCTTTTAATGTCTTTTGGTATGACGCGGCCAGGGATCGAACCACGGACCTTCCGCTCTCCGGGCGGGTTGCTCTACCACTAGACCACGGAGGTGGTCAGGAACTTGTTGAAGGTGCCAAAACATTGTTTTTTACTTATTTCAATTTGTTACTATGGCTTTAAAGCCCAACTCTGACTATTATTAGTGGATGGGTGTTTTAATGTCATCTTGTCGTCACCCGATTAGGAAATGACCAATGAGGTTTGTGTAACGTCATGTTGACCTGTGAGATCACTTGTATAGGCACCGCATCCTGAGGGTGTGGTTGTTCCTGATGCTGTTTGGGTCTATTACTGAGCCATTTTCTTGTGTATTGATGCGTAATATAGTCATGAGTATGTTTGTAGAAACATGGACCGTGGAACCTCATTACTCTGTACATTCAACAACTTCAAACTTGTCGGACTTTTATCAAACTGATAAATGTTTTTTTAGGTCAACTTTCTAGAAAATGTGTTTTTTAATATACATGTATTCTACTCAAAATAATCACAGAACACCCGATTCTTTCACATGACTTTAGTTAATCCTGTCATGGAATGACAAATTAACTGAAGACTTGGGTATTAATTTAACTTCTTTTGAGTAATATATTTCAGTACAGTGCAATGGCCTATCATTAATGTCTTTAGTTATTTCGTGGCCGGGGATCAAACCCCGGTCTTTTGGGTTTCCATTCTATCCACTACCCCACAAAGGCGGTCCAGGAAAACATGGGAAACACAGGAAAACATGGGAAACACAGGAAAACAGGAGGCATGGGAAACACCGGAAAACAGGGAACATGGGATACACAGGAAAACAGGAGGCATGGGAAACACAGGAAACATGGGATACACAGGAAAACAGGAGGCATGGGAAACACAGGAAACATGGGATACACAGGAAAACAGGAGGCATGGGATACACAGGAAAACATGGGATACACAGGAAAACAGGAGGCATGGGATACACAGGAAAACATGGGAAACACAGGAAAACAGGAGGCATGGGATACACAGGAAAACATGGGATACACAGGAAAACAGGAGGCATGGGATACACAGGAAAACATGGGATACACAGGAAAACAGGAGGTATGGGAAAACATGGGAAAATTGGAAACACAGGAAAACAGGGAACATGGGATACACAGGAAAACATGGGATACACAGGAAAACAGGAGGCATGGGATACACAGGAAAACATGGGATACACAGGAAAACAGGAGGCATGGGATACACAGGAAAACATGGGATACACAGGAAAACAGGAGGTATGGGAAAACATGGGAAAATTGGAAACACAGGAAAACAGGGAACATGGGATACACAGGAAAACATGGGATACACAGGAAAACAGGAGGCATGGGATACACAGGAAAACATGGGAAACACAGGAAAACAGGAGGCATGGGATACACAGGAAAACATGGGAGACACAGGAAAACAGGAGGCATGGGATACACAGGAAAACATGGGATACACAGGAAAACAGGAGGTATGGGAAAACATGGGAAAATTGGAAACACAGGAAAACAGGGAACATGGGATACACAGGAAAACATGGGAAACACAGGAAAACAGGAGGCATGAGAAACACAGGCAAAACATGGGAAAACACAAAAACATGGGAAGCACAGTAAGACAAAGGAAACACATACAACACATGAAACATGGGAAAACTGGGAACATGGGTAACACAGGAAAACAGGAGGCATGGGAAACACAGGAAAACATGGGAAACACAGGAAAACATGGGAAACACAGGAAAACATGGGATACACAGGAAAACAGGAGGCATGGGATACACAGGAAAACATCGGATACACAGGTAAACATGGGAAACACAGGAAAACAGGAGGCATGGGAAAATTGGAAACACAGGAAAACAGGAGGCATGGGAAACACAGGCAAAACATGGGAAAACACAAAAACATGGGGGAACATGGGAAACACAGTAAGAAAAAGGAAACACATACAACACATGAAACATGGGAAAACGGGGAACATGGGAAACACAGGAAAATAAGGGGAATACATTAAATATGGGAAACAGGAAACATGAGAAGCAAAGGAAACAGGACACATAGGAAACACAGGGAAAATGAGAAGCACAGGTAACATGGGGAACAGAATACATAGGAAGTATGGGAAACACAGGTAACATGGGAAACACAGGTAACATGGGAAACACAGGTAAACATGGGAAACACAGGTAAACATGGAGAACAATAACGAAACATCAACATGTCCATAAATGTAACACTTGTTATCAGAGGAATGCACATAAAACATGCATTTATTTCTTCTTTTTTAAATGATATTTTATTGTTTTTCAAAAAGAAGTACCTGTTACATAATATGGGCTTCCACCCAGGGTAGCAGAAACCCCATGACATACAGCACAACTCACTCACTCATTCACTCTAGTAATACAAACATACTGCATATATCAAGTATGCATAAACTATTATGGTTTATATATCATATTATAGTGCAGGAAAGTACATGGTCTCAAACATTAAAGTCTTAAGTATAAAACTAAAATTAAAATGAAAGCACATTTTCGAAAAGCTTATGACACAGCATCCAAGCACCATAGAATTCCTGCTGATTACCTGTCTTGAAAGCAAAGATAAAAAAGCTTCCTTTTTTAAAACATTTTTTTGAATTTGCATATTTAAATATAGAATTTTGCAATAAGTAAAAGTATCTAACATGCATGTATACTAGTTGATGCCTTTTTGTTATCAGAGACTGCCACCGTGGTCTAGTGGATAGAGCATCTGCCCGGTGAGCTGATGGTTGGTGGTTCGATCCCCAGCTGTGTCATACTAAAATATGGTACTTGTTGTTACCCTGCCTGGCACACATCATTAAGGGGATAAAACACAGACTGGTCAGCCTGTCTGAGTGGGGTATCCAGTTCAATTGCAGTATGGTTTCTCAGGAGAGGATAGCACAATAAAAAAGGCATGTAAGTAGGAACTAGCACGCATGCACGCACGCACGCACGCACGCACGCATGCAGGCACGCACGCACGCACATGCAATGCATGTTGCCAACAGCAATAATCTTTAATGCAACGTTAAGCCCCAATTCAGCTCACCTATTGTTGTTGGCTGGCTGTTTAACAACACTCCTCCAACAGGTTCATTATCCCACAGCTGAACGTGTGACAGGACAATTGGAGTGATGACCCCAAAGTTGGCTTCACAATATGTAATGAAGTGAATCTTGTCCCGGCTTTGGCAGGACAACAATGTAACCTTAATGCCATACAATCACCAAATGTATACTTACACAAACATGGCAGCATACATGTAGTATTGCAAATTAATGCCCACTGCAGAGTTCACTGGAAATGTTTGTGTTTTCCTTTTTTTTGCAAAAATGCAAATAATACCTACATTTCTTGGGGTACAAGTTAATTAATTTTTTTTTATTATTTTTTGTTCATCTCAGCAGGTACAGCATTTATATAAACATGTCATGTCAATATAATTGTGGTACAAGTTAATGGTGTTATGTCAGGAAATGCCTCCTGTGTGTTCACCAAGGGAGCCTCCAGTATATTTTTTTAATTCTATAGGGGAGGGATCCGAGGAGGAGGGAGATTTTTTAAGCGAATAGTTTGTTCAGAAAAATGCTCAAAATGAATAGTTTGCTTGACAGTAGTGAAAAAAAAGAACATTTTGTTTTGTGGAAAATGCCAAACATCATTTTTTTTGTTATAGTGAAAATGAATAGATTGTTTGATGGTGCTCAGTAAATCAATAGTTTGTGGAAACAGTTGAAAAAAAATTAGATTGTTCTGAACAATAAATGAAATCTGACCATTATTTTTACACCTCAGACTGCAGATTAACATATTCACCACAAAATAATTGTGAATACAATATGTCAGACTGTAAAACCAAGGAGACAGACTACATAAACACTGCATGCGCACATCAACATGTACAAGTATACTGACACTCTTTGAAAACTCAAATTAAAATCAAATTAACTTGTTCTGGGTATTTAAGCATGGGATATTCAAACAATGTCACTGTTCGGGTTCGAATCCCATTTGATGTGTTTGGAGATGGACTTGAGCACAAAAGCACATCTTTTCTGATATCAAGTTAAAGTTGATTGTTGCTATCTTTAACCTGTATGACAGAGATGATTTATCAAAGATTGAGTGTTCAGGCATGTAAACAATATTTCAACTATTCTTTTATCATTTGATTATTACTTATGGCTCGGGACCCATGAAGATTCCGGGGTAGAATAGGTTTTCAGCAACCCATGCTTGCCGTAAAAGGAGACTATGCTTGTCGTAAAAGGCAACTAACAGGATCGGGTGCGCAGGCTCGCTGACTTGGTTGATACATGTCATCAATCCCAATTGTGTGGATCGATGCTCATGATATCAATCACTGGATTGTCTGGTCCAGACCCGATTATTTACAGACCGCTGTCATATACTGGTAGCTGGAATATTGCTGAGTGCGGCGTTAAACAACAAACCAACCAATCAAACCAACTTATGGCTCGTCAGTCGAATTTGTGGACATCAAATTTTAAGTGGCTGAAATAGGAATATCAGTGACCAAAGTGAGTGAGTTGGGTTCAACGCAGCTTTTAACAGTATTCCAGTTATATCACGTCGTGTCAGCTTAATGTGGGAGGAAAGCCCGAAGTAATGCAGGTCTCAGATGTTTCCCACTTCAGTGAAACCCACGAGCACGGGCATGGTGCTGACAAACCTAGAAACATAATTGGGGCGAACCGGGATTTAAACCCACAATCATATGTTTCTGGCGTGCCCAAGGGACACAACTCTGCACAGCGAACCGCAGCGCCTTAGACGACTGGGCCACCCGTGCCCCCCCAGTGGCCAAAGCACTCCACAAATAGCATACATCTGGATCAGGGACTATTGGGTACAATAGTCATCCTTCATGTACGCGTCTGTTCTAGTATGGATGCAGTGGGGTAGCTCAGTGATTCATGCGTTTGCTCATCTCACTGAAGGCCCTGGTTCGATTCCCTACATGGGTAATGTACCCAAAAGAATAAGTACACATCCTAATACATCATTCATATCCCTTTCTTATCTAACTTAGGGGCACGGGTGGCTTTGTTGTCTTAAGGTGCCTCGATTTGCTATGCACAGTTATGCCCCTTTATTGTGCCAGGAGCTGAAGACCTTGGTGTTCTTGTGTTTCTTGGTTTGTCATCACCATATCCATACCAATTTGTTTAATGTATAGAGCCTGCAACAGTTTCAGCCATCCTCTTACATTAATCAGACACTGATATATATATATCTGGAATATGTAATGGAGAAATCCTGAGATTCCACTTCTGGACTCGACAGATTTGAGTGATTTCCCTATTTTCTTCATCTTAAACCATATGTTAAAGTTGAGATATGATTTCCCTATAATTTTGCATTATGGCCTATAGTTGCATCTTCATCATGGTGGTTTAATGTTAAAAGAAGACAAAGAAAATAAAACTTAGAGTATTCATAAAGACCAGTTAATAACATTGTTTATTGAACAGCCTGTTTATTTTGTTGGAAAGGTGTTTCTTGAGTGATATCACAAACTCCATTTGGGCCATATTTAACTTCAGTGTTGGTGGGTGTAGAGAGGGTCGAAACAAAACATTACAAACACAATATGTAAACCATTATTAATTTGACTTTAACAACCAAATGAACATGTTATCATGATAACATTTTTTTTTCAAATGTAGTATAAATGAATGGGTTATACCAGAGACCATATACCAGTATATGGTCTCTGCTTATACAAAAATATTAAATATTAAGATGTAAAAGAAGGTTTAATATGTGACAATGAAGGCTTCAAGCAAGTCTAATAAGTTATTTGAATCAGATTTGATGGTCATGTACGTATTTAGGAATAAATATGAGTACTATTTTAAGCAATGTACTTCTTTTGAGTATTTTAGGCCTTTATAGATCTAGGCCTGAGAAGTAATGCTTACTTTATAGGGGCTAATATCATTGGTGAATACTTATCAGATGATATATTTATTGATTTTGTAAAGAAAATGTACAATGAGTTCTTATATGACACAGTTTTCAGTGACAGGAAGTCACTCAAGGCTTTTTTCTGCTATGATATATCAATTTACATCAATAAAGTAATGCATAAAGTTGGGCCTCCTTTAATTTGCATAAAATAACATTATCGAATTATTTTTAATATCCTAATAATTAGAATTATATGTTCAGAGATTTCCCAAATAAATATACCTAAACATTACTCAATTGCTATTTGTATGCTATTGTATGTAAAATAAACACTCTGTGACGTAAATGGATAAGAAAGAGGCATTTCAGTGCTGGGCATAGATAGAAAATGTGTGATATATTGAAAAGGCAGCCTTTATTCGTGCGGTTTGGGGTCTGGTATTGGGTATTAAATAAGAATGAAGAAAACACAAGTGCAATACGGGTTCATTTAAAGCCAGTTTAATTTCATATTGGATTGAAAGGTGAAATTCTGGCTGCTATGCAAACATCACGCGCCATTTTCTCCGCTTTCGGGCGACTCGGGGGTATCCGTAACGGGGTAAGCCAATCAACAATCGCGTACTTTCCCGCCGTAACTGGCCGAAGTTCTGGCGGAAGAGTGTTGGATCGTGCTTTGAAAATCAAACTATGCAGCTAGTAATGATTTGGTAATGGAACGAAATGTCTGTTATGCATGTATTTACATCTATAGTCTTATACTTAGCTAGTATGATGTATTGTTAATGTCGATTTATGCACGGCGCTATTGTTTGGTGTGTGGTGACCTAACCTTGCCGCGTGTTGTCGACACAAAATGGCTTCCTCGTACAGAAACACATTCCGTAAGGGGGTCATCGGGGGAGATCAGAGTCGTTTTTGTCTGGATGCTTATGTCATGATGGTTAAACTGTGCATCTTATGTTTACCCAGTGTTTAACATTTATAGCCACCGTTATAAACATGTTATAAATAACATTTTTTGAATGTTTTGTGACAAAATTTCCTTTCCAATCCATGAAATTTACAAACGCTGGCGTGAAATTAGCATGCAAGTGACAATGTTCTGAAATAGGACTTTTTCATTTTGTCGCCTGGTTTGGCCCCATAAAGTACTTCTCCAATTTGTGTGTAATATAACATTTCTAACAGCTTATTCATAAGAAATGTGATGCATATACAAAGCTCTCAATTCCAATTTGATTACATTTTGCAGAATTCTGTCTTCACAATAGGCTATTCTCTGGTATTTTCACAAGGATAATAATATTTAAAATGTTTTAGTAGTGTGTTGGCGTTTAGATAGAATGTAAACACTTAATCAGAAGAAACTATTGAAACTGGTGTGTCGAGTTTGAAGTGAATCTTTCAAATCTGTTCAAAATTATTTCAAGCAAATATTCAGTGCTAAAGTTTGAGTGCTTCCCCAAACAGGCTATTGATGCATTTTTATTTAATTGGCGGAATAACAAACAGACATCAGCAATAGAAAGTATTATTCTTGCTACAGATTTGTAATTTTTCAACCTTTTCAAATTCTAGTCAGTATTATCATGTAAATTGTGTTCTGATGCGTAAATAAAATGAAATCTGAAGTGAAGGGTAATTTGATTGCATGATATTATTTCTGAGTGTGTGATACAAGTATTATTTGTATATTTAGCCTGTTCAATAGGAATAATGTTTTCTTTTTTGAAGTTCTGGTATTTTTATTTTTAACAAAAAACTCTTTGTAAACAAAACTTTCCATATTAGCCTTATGATGCACAAACTCTTTGTTTTACTGTACACCTGCTCTTTCACTTCCAACAAATATTGAATCTGTAAAATTTTGTCAATACGTTAGATGCACCAGTTTTAAGTGTTTAAAGTTTTGTCATAAATGGCTTGTTAATAATTTTTTGGTTGGTATTTTTCCTCAGAGAAACATACCTTTAGTAACGAAGAAAAATAGTTTCTTTATGTTAAAATACCTGAATCCCTTACCATGTTTACATGCTGACATTGTTTTCATAACTTTTTTTTGTTAAATATTTGAAAATAATCCAAGACTGTGATTTTCCAAAGATGTTCATGTAATGTTTATTTTTTTATTTTTTGTTGTTGAACGCTGCATTCAGTGATATTCCAGCTATGTGAAGGCAGTCTGTAAATAATCGAATCTGTACCAGACAACCCATTGATTGACAATGTTGGTTTACTTGTGAATAGTTAGGTTTTAAATCGTGAAAGTACTTTTAATAATGAAATTTCAAAATATTTTACTTAACTGGGAAAATTCAACTGAAAGAATTCTCCATAACCACAGTAGCAATCTTTTGATTCTTTTATGCAATATCATCCTTCTCTGTATCAATACATATTGTTATTCTTTGAAATAATACAATACTTTGATAAAATTTCATTTGACATGGTGTAAACTTCAGAATGAAGCTTAACTCTTTGTGCACTTTACAGAATGCATGTGATTTTGGAAGGAAAGTCTTTAATTTAAACTTCTTACAACCTTTGAAATACTTGTTTCAGAGCAAAAAGAGTAAATGTTATTTCACTAGTCCTCAGAGTTTGAAGCTAGTCATTCTTGAGCAAGACAAAGATGTTATCATCCTCTGTCAGTTTTATTCAGTTCCAATTTGTAGCAAAATGAAGTTTTGAGAAATGGTTCCACATAATGGCCCTCTAATGCTAGTAGGCAGTGAGTGAGGATTACCATCGCTGAATTGTTACAATATATTGTTTTTGGGCTAGCTGACTAGCATGAATTTTGGAGGCTGTAATATAGCAAAGCTTGAAACTTCTCAACTTCAGTTGTCTTTGATTATTGCAGGTTTTGTGATAAATTAACTGATTGAGATCAGGACCAGTGACTTTAGTTCACAACAACTACTTTGGTAGTACGAGACTAGTAAACTTCATGATGTCTAGTAGTTTTTCCTAATAGTGAAGGTGGCTACGGGAATTCCTCTGAATGGTCATCATGAAGACATGATAAGAAACAAGGGAATGTTAAAATATTCTCCTGTAATGTTTTCTTTAAAATACAAGACGAGTGTTTCTGCTCCACACAAGTTGATCAACTGTAGTGTCGTGGCATAGGCCCTTCTTTGATCGATAGCAAAACCACCTTATGCTGACTAAGAAAAGTAGTGTCCATTTCAGTGGTAGAAACTAAAAGGTTTTCGTCAACTAATCCTTATAATGATAACAGCCAGCAAAACCCTTAAAATGACAAATTTCTTCTAGGCCTTAGGATACCTAAATGACTAGGCAGATTGGCAAGGACTATGGAACTAGTCCCAATTTCTAATGCTGCATTTAAAGTGATTAAAGTGTCCAAGTATTTCGCATTTGTAACAAATTTTCAACTAACAATATGAAAAACTAAGGGATAAAATTATAAATATAGACATTATCGTTGGGCTTTGGTGTCCCAACCAGCGGATTGTAACAAAATACTACTTATAATTTTGGAAAGTTGACAGCTGTGACATCGTACTTCATTGTGTGAGGTACAAGACAATGCCTGTATAGGTAGTAGCTGTTTTTATAGAAAAGTAGATGTTTTACTTTTAGTGTTCTTAGTACAGAGTCAAGATTGAGAAACAGTTTTGAGCTTAATAGAATACAAACAAAATTTGAGTGTGTCGTTCTCTTTGCATTAAGACTGTGTTGAAACGTTGATTGTCTTAGACTCTTTTTTGTTCAAGACTGCATGCAGCTAATTCTGGAAATTACTTTCAGATGTGCTGTTGAGGTTGGAAGTCCCTATCTCCTATCACAATGTCAGTTGAGGCAAAGACGCCATCTGTTGTCAATGGCATCACTCCTCAAGCTGGGGCTGGTGCAGGGTTTCATCACCATCTCCCTCAAATCCCAACTGTCAACAAGAATCCCAAAATAGCCCAAAGCAAGGCCAGCGTCAAGAACCCAGTGAATGCCCCTGAGAAGGAAGATCCCCAAACTGTCAATATTGTCCAAGTGTCCGAAGAGGCCAAACAGGACAAATCGGAATCAGCTGCAAAACCTCAAGACAAACCAGCTGATACTCCGGCTGAAGCTGCTGAAAAGCCTGATGAAAAGCCTAAAGAAGTTATTCGACAACCTCCAAAGAAATCACGTCAGTCTTACGAGCTGGCTGCCCAAGAAACGTCAGTTGCAAGTCGTGAGAAGAGACAAATCAAGAAGAAAGTCCCTAAAGATGAGCTGTTTGCCAGCGAAAAGCCTCAAAAAACTCCTAAAGCTGAGACTGCAGTAACACCTAAAGCACAGGCGCCATCGGAAGATGCATCAGGATGTCCTTCCAAGTATCTCGTTGGAGACCTGTTGTGGGCCAAGGTCAGCGGTCATCCCTTCTGGCCCTGTATGGTTTCATATGACCCCTTCATAAGCATCTTCACAAGAGTCCGAGGTAACAGTTGAGTGAATTTTGAATTTGATTTTGTACTTCTGTAAATGTTTTTAGATGCATTTGAGTGGCGACTTTTATTTTGGTCCAGAAGAGTTGAGTGTAATTGAATGGGTTATCAAATAACTTATTACAACCTGAGCTTACTAAGAAAGAAATGTATCTCGTTTGACCAGGGCTTCGGACATGTTGCTAAAATCACGCTTTAGTCTACTAGCCTAAGTCTACTGGAAACATTGAGTAGCTTTTAATGTTAATATATACTCCAGCTTCAGACCCGTTTCTAAGTCTGACTGGCACTGTAGGACCTATAGCAACTAATTTGAAGCCAAAGTCAAATGTACTGTGCAGTCGGTGCATTTCATCACTGAGCTCTAATTCCGAAGTCAAGAAAAAGGGCTGCATGGCTTGTAAAGTCAATTAATAGCCTCTATAGATCTTGATTGATAATAGAAGATGTAAGTGGAGGCCAAAGACTAGACAGTGGTCATCTGTAGATTTTTTTGGCACAGATTAGTACATATTTGACACAACGCGCTTCAAGACACAGCATGACTGAGGAGACCAAAAGAAGACTCTGAATCTTTGTCAGTTCATGTTCATTTAGGAGTAATTACAGCATAACAATATTTTCTGATGTTGATGGATTAGTGTTTATGGTGTGTGGCCCATGGTGGTTCCTTTGCATACATATGAAATGATCCTCCATTTTCTTGCAGTTACTGTCAAACAGAAAGCATTGCGATCATATCATGTGCAATTTTTTGGTGATGAAGCAGAGAGAGGCTGGATCAATGAGTCATCTGCCATTCCCTTTGAAGGGAAAGAACGTTTTTTCAAACGTGCTGAAAATTTAATTGAAAATGCTCCCAAAACCATGAAAGGCAAGTTCATGCAGATGTACAAAGTTAATACAACACGTCGCCCTGCGTGGGAAGTTGGTGTGGCTGCAGCGGAAGAGGCATACAATCTGGAAAGAAATGAACGCAAGCAGCAGTTCACCTTCGTGTATGAAATCCCAGCCAGCAAACTACCCAAAACGTCTAAGACACCTGACTCAAAAAAAGATGAGAAAGCACTGAAACAGAAGCGAGGTCGGAAGCGAAAACAGCCGGAAGAGGATGAAGAACTCCCAGAACAGGCTAGTCCCACTTCAAAGAAGCGAAAAGTTTCTGATGTCGAAACAACCAAGAGCCCAACTGTACCACATAAAGTGACCAAGTACGAGGGTTCGTTTGAAAGCTTCTGTCACAAGCACCGAGATGGCGTGCTTGACGATCATCCTGATTACGATGATGAGCAAGTGGTGGAGTATCTCCATCAGCAGTGGAACATGATGACAAAGGAGCAGAAGGCGAGATACACATCTAAATACACGGGGGCCGACACCGAAGAAAAACCCACACCAGGTTGGTGGATGGATATATTCATGATTAGTGCGGAACACTGAAGTCAGTGAAATACAGTGGTCATGTTACAATTAAACCCCATTCCCAGATAAGATTGCAAGAGCTAATCTAATGTTGATATTAACCACAGGAAACTAGTATTTTGCCAAAATCACTTTTTATGCCAATCTTCATGTTATTTTAATGAACCCCCCAGTGCATGATCAAACTTAACAATGGTCTTGGCATGATAATGTGAACATGTCAATCAGTACCAATATGCAGAACATTTAATAATCAGATTATTACCACAATATATGCAATACAGAGAATGTCCAAAAGTTAAGAATAACATAGTAGTGCTTCAATGAATCGTTTCCGGCTTGTTCATGTTATTCTGCATTCTATGTTGGATGTTATGTTTAAATAGAAGTTGGATGCCATGCAGCTGGGACAATTAACCTGGAATATGCATGAACATGAAAAATTAAGACACAAGATTGGGCCAAAGCAAATTTCTATCCATGCTATGTAGAATATGCAGGAGAAAACAGTTCTTGAAAAACAGTGTTATAAAAATATAAGTGAATCTGTTAATGCTGTTACCAAGTCTATTATATTCCCACAGTGGTTCTAATAAAAAAATAAAAAAATACTGTTCTTGATTAACAGAATTCGGAAGACTTGACTATTCCTTTAGACTTGCATAATCTAGTCCATTGTTATTCTTCAGTGAAGAAACTCTCAAGACATGCCATTTGCCTAACTCTAGCAAAATGTCCGTTTCAGGCAACAGTGCGAAGAGATCTCCACGAGTAAGTAGACCCTCGGTCAAGAAGCTAGAAGCGGAAGAGGGCAATAAACTCTTTTGTGAGATAGTGGCTAAGAAACAGAAAAAGAGTGTAAGTGCAGGTTCACAGTGTATTTCAGGGGATAAGATTGGTTGCTTTGAAGGTAGGGGTCAACTTGACATCGTCTGATATGACACTTTATTGGAAATTCAAGGATTAGGCATGTTTGATAGAAAATTTGCTTTGTCAGTTGTGATACCTTTCCAAGACATTTTTGTCTAACCAATTGCTGCAAGTTTCTAATCAAGAATTATTTATTGTAGTGATTTGATAAATCTTTGAAGAAATTCTTTCTTTTTTTAAAATATTTTTGTTATTATACAAGTTAGGGTAGAAGTGATAGTACAAACCAATCTAGACCTATCAAGATTACTTGGATAACTAGCTACAAATTGATTAAAATTAACTAACAATTTAAACAAATTTGCAAACCCATATTTGTTATCCTAGTTTGATATAATTATTTATCATTTGCAGTTATGTTTTTGAAACTTAATATTGGTAATCTTATGTATACACTTGAAAATTGTTACAAAAAGACACTGCAACAGTCTATCTATGATGTAATCTGCCTGTTCTAATTCACAGGTAGTCTCATCCTTGTCAAACAATGGAACATAACCCAGTATTGCACTGTAGATATCATTTGATATTATGAAAACCGTTAATCGGACACAAAAGAGTTTAAGCAAGATGAATGACCTGTTCAAGAGTTTTCAAACCATGATGTCCCTGAATCCACTGTCCGTCTCTTGTGAATTACCAGTTAAAACCATGAAAAGTCACAATTATGAAAGGGGCGGTTGGGTAGCCTGGTAGTTAAAGCGTTCACTCGTCACGACGAAGACCCGGGTTCGATTCCCGACATGGGAACAATGTGTGAAGTCCATTTCTGGTGTCCCCCCGCCGTGATATTGCTGGAATATTGCTAAAAGCGGCGTAAAACCATACCCATACACTCACTCACAATTATGAAAACTGGTTGCAAAGATAGGATTAGTCATATGAACAATTCCCCTTTTAAGTTGGATGGCTTTGAGGTACATATTGTAAAGTCAGTAATAACGAATCTTTGCCAACTGTTTAGGTTGCTAGTGTCCAGAATTAACTCGATTGATGGACACATAGCTTTTGAATTTCCAACAGTGTATACCAAAAACGTTCAATCTTCAAGTCCAAAATTGTTTCTTGGCATTATTTTCAGTAGATTATAATATTTTTATGTGGACTTCTAATAGTGAAGCTTACTAGACTGAACACCTTGTTATTAGACTCATCTTGGATCAGTGTCGGAAGCTTAGGCTGCAGCTTTTTTGTCAACGATGATTATCAAGTGTATTGTATCTCCCTTCTATGATTATAAATACCCAGGACCATTCTACACGAAAGCTTTGTTACATATGTGACATCACCTCTCCAACTTATCACAGAATTTCTCTTGCCCCTCAGCTTGAAATCAACAACCAAAGATACGTGTTTCAATTTTGGCCACATACAATCAAACCCTTGATACATTTTATCTAATCAGAAGACTAGTTATTAATAACTGTTAAGCTAAAAATAATGTTTGTTTTTTGTGTGTTTAATTTGTACTTATGATCATGAATGAAAAAGCTTAATTGATTTGATGGCTTATGTAATTCGAACCCGACTCAATATGAAGCTATGGTGGAGAATGAGTCCAGTATATTTATCCTAATAGAATGGAGATAAATCGCACAGGCAAGCTGAGGAGGCTGTTTGGCACACTGGTCATGTTGCTCGTTAGTTGTAATGCCATCACTACTCCTACAGTAATCATTACATCTGTCTGTATGAAAGTTCAATTCATTGGTTGTTTGTAAAGCTGATCTTATCCCTCTGAATTATATGTTGTACTCGCGTTGCCTCATTCTGATCTTCTAGCCAGCTATTGCCACTTCAGCATTTCAAAATTGTTTCGATACAGTAATTTCTGATACCCGAAATGAAATTCTGCACCTCTGTTAACTCTATGCATGTATGCCCTGTTTTCCTCCAATCGATTCTTACACGCTCCTTAGATCCACTCTCGGGACATGGCAGCTGCAGGCTCGTCTGTCTGTAGCTGCTTGTCCATCAACTTTACAGGTTGTGTCATCGGGAGTGCTTGAGTCATTGGTGTGTTAGAGAAATACACCTCAGTCAGCTACCCTGAGAGTTGCATGGTCTGTGACCTTCACCCTGCTTGCGGGCATGTGTGGGGGTCATCGTCATGACCACCCCGTTGCTTCTCCCCAATAGCTGGCTGGGACAGAATGAGCCATGGCCATATGGGTGTATATTGGCAGTCTGTATTGCTATGCTTGCAGTTACTAATAATTGAGGTATAGTGTAGATGTGTTTAAGGAGACGCAAGAGGTGAGAGCAAGAATATCACAAACTTGTCTATTTGAAAAATATCTGTAAAATATTTGTAAATTGGATTGTCTTAATTAATGTAATTTCATCTGTATACAAATACCTAAGTTGATAAAAGGTTGCTTAGCATTGTCATTTGTTGTATTAACTAATATTATTCTCTTCAGAAATATGAAAATAGATTGCGGACTTCATACCTCTTTTCTTGCCAATTGCTTTACTAATGGTAACTATTTGAGTGCTTGCATATGATCGATTAAACCACATTTTCTGGCTTTGTCTTTGGTACTCCTAAGCACTCTTTGCATGATAAGTTTTTGAACGGAAGATTTTGCTGACAGCCTCGAGAGAGGAAAGGTGAAAGGAGTAGTGGCCGACCAGTGAGGGAGACGAGGCGAGTTATCAAGATGGAGTTGGAGGAGGCTGAGGCAGAGGCTGAACCTGAGGTCAAGGCCGCTCCTGCATCAGAGGTCATAGCTGCAGCGCCCGAGGAGGAGAAGAAGGAAGAATCTGGGGTTTGTATGAATTTTGACATATCAGTATTTGTTTCATGTATTTCTAGATTAACAGATGAAATATTAAGGGCATTGACCCCCTGGTAACATGGTTTTGCAGGATTTCTCATTCTTTAAAGCTGTTGTGAAACTAAGACATTCTGTCACCATCAAATGATTGTAGAATTCCAGCTAGGTTGTGAAGAAGTTAAGTTAAATATATGTTTCCATATTATACTTGTCTCTGACATGCCTCTTGCATGACTTGAAGCTTTAATTGTACCTCTGAATTTACTCCAAAGGCTAAAAATAATTCTTGCTGCTCAGATTACCTTTCACGATTTTGCTCTACTTCGTACAAAAAATGTAAATTTGAGCCCAATGTCAACACCTGATGTATAAATAGTCTTGCATAAACCGTTATTACTCCTGTCACTAAGTTTTTGCTGCAGTTGCTTCTGGTTTCTGCGAAGGTCATTAAAAACTGAAAGTTTCGAAAGATTTTGCCAAGCTCTTTCCTGATGATGTCTCCAATACACTGTCGTGTCTTGTGTGCAAACTTTCTTACACCCTAACAATTACACAATTTCCACACATTAAACCCCCACATGAAATTCAGACTTATGGTGAATGGTCACACAGAAAGGGATTCTCCTAAAGTATTGTAATACTTAATGCACTAAACTTTGACACCAATGATTTGATTTCTTTCTCCAAACAAATTTGATGTGAAGGAATATCCATCAGCCTCTGTAAAAGAGTTGACATTCACATGAAGAATTGGTGAGATAGCCTAGTGGTTTTGGCTAATTTCCTGGTTTGTCCCAAGAACTTTGATACCGTAATTGGTACTATTACTTTGGGACTTATACCTGGTGTCCTGTGGCAAGGGATTGCTACGCCATTTGGATTCTGGGTTTGAATATTGGACTCTAGCATCTTAAGCTTGTCATTCAAGGCATCTAAATGGGTCTGGTATCCAGGCTCCTGTGACTTTGTTGATTGTGTGTTCTTTAACCCCAACACTGTTGGATGCTCCTCGTGATTAGCACAGGTCTGTCTGGTCCAGACTTGATTATTTAAAGTTTGGGATCATGCAGTTGGAATATTGCCAAGTTCGGCGTTAAACAAGAAACATACAAACAAGCTGGGTATTGCTGCAATACTGCCAGATGCTATGTAACACTTCAGATTCCTTTTTGTTTAGTGAAAGTCGTTTCTGTTGGTCTTCTAAAATTCATGGTGTCCTGCTGCCCACTCCTCTTATTCGCTTTACACTGTAGAGTGTTATATAATAAAAGAAGGTTATATTTATTTTCAGACTTGATGTAGAAGGTAGATCAACTACCAACTGAGAGCGTATTACAAGAAAATGCATATAACAACATGAATCAATTCATCAAGAAAATACATATAGATCTAATCGCACATTAAATGAGTCTAGCTAGTACTGGCTGCACATATATATATATATGTTCTTTGTTGAGAACAAATAATATTATCTTTTATGCATAATAAAAACCAAACAATGAACATGTCAGTCAGTGTTTGTTATTTGTGCATATTGGAAACGCACAGTGATCACACTGCTGGAACTCACATTGGAATAACGAGAAGTAGGAGGAAGAACAAGACTAGACCGAGTAATGGATGAGGGAGTGGAGACACAATTTAGTCATCTTTCAAGGCAGTTTGAATAGAAACATGCCAATATGAACCACTTTTGTTCAAATACATCTCTATGACATGAATAAGACCGAACAATAAATATGTGATGTGATGGTAGAGGAGCATGCACCAAAGATGATGCTAAGGAGAGTGATGAAGTACCCTATACTTACACACACACAACATGATTACATTCAGTTGCGACACAGTATTAACATTTGCTGGTATTTCTAGGAATATCTTGTTCAACATACAGATTCAATTTCTTTATCAAACTACACATCAGGGTAGCTCTGTGTATGTTGTTGACAACTCAAAAGCATGTGAATAAAAGTGACCACAGTCTCTCTCCGAAAAAGAGAACTGAAGCTGGACGTTTCTCTTTTTCGTTTGTAGCCACCACCAGCACCAGTTGAACCAGTGAAGTCACGGAGAGGTCACAAGACCGAAGTGGTCAGTAATGGGAGCGAGGAGGCAGCTGTCAAGATGGAAGTGGAAGCCCCTGCTCCTGCAGCTGTTCCTGTGCCCGAGGGAAAGAGGAAGAGGGCCTCTCGAGTAAAGGTGGAATGTCAAGGACACAGCTCCGACTCAGGGTCAGATACACAGGTATGGCTCATGAATGTAATCCCGGTTTTGACAGCATAATTCTTGAAAAAAAGGATGTGCTGATTGACTGGTTGACTTGTTGTGCAGAGTTGTGCCCCTTGGTTGTCAGGATCCATTGGTAGTGAGTTCAAATCCCACATCATGTCTGATCTTTCACATTTTCCCGAGTCAAGGGAGTTAACTGAATTTAAAAGTCCAGTTTCCACCCTTGCCAAACCTTGCTGGAATTATGGAGTTACATTTTGGCTGGACCAACAAATCTATGCATAGTCCAATCAAAATCATGTAACAAAATCGACGTCTGGTTCGTAAAGTGCTGTGCAGATTTCGATCGATTGCAGGTTTTGCTAAGCATGTGTACCACCAGCTTGGTGTCAGCAGAAAGTTTCCAAATCTTTTCATGTTTTTGATCAAGGTGCTCCCATGATTTGATGAATCGTGTTATTTTATATGTTAACAGCAGACACATTTTGGTGAAATTCATCAAAGTTTGTGATTTGTATAGACTGCCCCTTCCAGCTTTCTTCCAACATTAAAGCTGATCTGAATTGCTGTAAAAGTGACATTCTCCCACATAACTCAAACGCTTTGATTCCCAGATAAAGTCCACCCAAGTGCTTTATTGTAAAATTTGCCTGTGACCTGTTGTCTTTTATTACTTGCCAGTGAAGAGAACACCCGTCATATAAACATACAGTGTTTGAAATAATTTTAAACCCAACAAGACAGTCGGGCAGGTGACCCATAAGAGTTGCTTGCCCATCTTCAAAGTTACCTGCATGCATTTCAACATTATAAATATTGGAAAATAGCAAAAACAAAGTGTTGAATATTGTCTTGATTCAGTTGAAATAATGCAAACAATTACTTGAGAATCTACAAGGAGTTACAATGAAACTGAATACGTAAGTAGTCTTAAAAGTCTGGTAGGTGGAGGAAAATTTCATGCAGCCAGACAGAAAAGTTACCCCCCACAGCCATGTAGTAATGATAGATCACTGAGAGGAGCCTATGGACACACGATAACCCCAGTAACCTTCTTGTTAGGCTGACATCACATGGCATTGCTTTGCCGGTGGATCTTTCCAAATAACGTCTTTGGAATTGTGACGTGGTTGTAAATCTTGTGGAGCAGGGCCCCCCCTTCATGTAGTAATGATAGATCACTGAGAGGAGCCTATGGACACACGATAACCCCAGTAACCTTCTTGTTAGGCTGACATCCCATGGCATTGCTTTGCCGGTGGATCTTTCCAAATAACGTCTTTGGAATTGTGACGTGGTTGTAAATCTTGTGGAGCAGGGCCCCCCTTCCAAAAGGCGATCGTAGACAAATGACAGTCCCAAGTCTATGAGTTATAGCTTTTGGAGCAGACTCCTGTATTCTTGAAGTAGGCTGTTTTATGGTATTAAATTAATGTGTCAACTTTTGACGTGTTTGAAGTATGATCCTGTTAAAACTCCTTAGGATTATGCTTTGGATCACGTAGATGGCTGGCTATTCACAAACGACAGTGAAATTTTAAAAACAGTTATAAGCGGCTCACTTGCGCTCGTCAGATACCAGAAGTATTCACTCATTTTATTAAATTGGTATTACACGGGAGCTTCATGAAGACATTTATGAACATAAATTATGAGGTGAGAGTGTAGAATGTCATTGAAGCATGCAGTGATGGACAGATTGAACACTGGCCGATACCTGCAAAGTTGTTTATGATCTAAAGGTTGGGGTTGTGGGAACTGAGAATTTGTTTCCTTCAAACGAACAGTTGTGTGGATAAATAATGTGAATTTTCTTCTAAACTGATTCTTAGTATATATTTTATTTTCCTGCTAAAGAATATTACTGCTGAGTGTGCCAGTATTTTTTATGGGTTTAAGTAGCATGAACATTTTCACAGTGACAACTGATGATGAACCATTTCAGGTTGACATAAAGCCAATAAAGACGCTGAAGATGCCAAAAGATGTGGATCCAGACTTGGACTTGGAAATCTTCAAGCTAAATGCCAGTGACAACACAAAGCGTGAACCCATCTGTCTGATCTGTGAGGACGTGGGCAATCTGGTGGAATGTACGGGGCCCTGTCAGGGCCACTTCCATGTAGACTGTCTAGGCCTCGGACACGAACCAGCAGGAGATTTCAAGTGTGATGAGTGCCAGTCAGGTATGTACACGCCTTACTACAACCACTAGGGAATAAGACTACTACTGTTAATTCTGAATTAGATTTTCACTTCCGGTAGCATATTGATCTTGTTGAGGTCGTCCATTCTGCTGTGCAATTATAAAAATCTTGTGTAACCTTGGTGGTATGGACACATCTGCGATCATCTAAGACAATATATGTTGTAGAAGGATCACTCGACATGTTTTAATATGACATTGTAAAAGAATTAAAATAAATTCAAAATTAATAGAAAAAAGCTGTTCGATTGAACTGAGGGTAGCTTGTTGTCACGTCACTCTCATTGATTGGAAAAAGTGTGCAGCCTTTTTGCCTTGAAGCGGGGTATAAGGAATTTATTCTACCTCTCAGAAGCCCACATGCATTTTATCAAGAACATGGGAACAGATCAGTTCTTAACATTCTGACACAGAGGTATGATATGGTATATATGGTCCCAGACACTGATCATGAGGCATTCTGGGCTATTTTGTGTGTTGTGAATATGTGTGCAGAGTTATCTCCCTTCCAGAATCTAACAGCTATATCTCCCTTTATGCTTGTAAAGTTTGGTAAATGAAAACAGACCCTTTATTTCATTAGCATATGAATCTCATTGTTAGTAGCTCATAGTGTTCTCTACTTCTACACAAAGATCTGAGGAAACCCTGTTACAGGTCACATCTGAGCGACCTGCACAAACTTTGACTTACCAATGAAGTGACTAACAGGAAGTGGACATTAGCCAATCGGAAAGCAGCTTTCTCAAGCTTTATTGCACTAGATTCAAAATGGCACCTTCCATTCCAGAAGTCTCTTCTAATATTTATCCCATTGAATTGGTTGAACAATCCTTAACTGTAGTACGGAATGCCTACTGTTGCATGATCAGTGAACAAATATAGACTTTCACTTTGGCGGTCTTATAAGAGATGCTGTTTGGTCAGATGAAAGGTTGTTCTGACATGACCTGAAATGGGATGACCTCAGATCTTTGTCTTGCGGTAGCAAGCACTAAGATCTGATTTTATTGAGATCGATGAACAAACTGAAGAACAAACTCGTTGGTTTGTTGCAAGGGGAAAATGATTTAGCACAAGTATCAACGTTAATTTTTGCTCATCCCGTTGACCATGAACCTGATATATTTATCTGCATGTTTTCAGGCACCCATGTGTGTTTCTCCTGTAAGAAGTCAGATGGGGAAGTGCGGCGGTGCTCCGTGTCACAGTGCGGCCGCTTCTACCACGAGGAGTGTGTTGTCAAGTACCCCCAATCCCATGTTGAGGGCAAGAAGTTCACCTGTCCCCTGCATGCATGTGCCACGTGTGTGTCAGAAAACAACAAGAACCCAAAGGCAGCCAAAGGTTGGTGTGAAATAATCAGGACCCCTGTAAGGATTCCAGGTTAGAATTCCAGAAATCTTTGTGATAGTCCAGTAATGAGAGGGTTGACAACTATTAATGCACCATTGGTTTAACCTTTTGCTTTGGTGTATCTACTGTTTGAGGCAGTGATTTTTATATAAATTATGTCAACCAATTATTTGATGTACCTTTTCAGGTCGTTTATATCGCTGTGTCCGCTGCCCTACAGCGTACCATGTGGGAGACTTCTGTATCGCTGCTGGGAGCAAGAACTTAGCAGGACTTAACATAGTGTGTAGCAACCATTTCCAACCCAAGAAATCTCAGGCTCATCATAGCCATGTTAATGTCAGCTGGTGCTTTATATGTAGCCAGGGTAAGTCCTCTAAGTCTCTTCATTTATGAAAACAGGAAAACAATTCAGGTTAAACTTAATGGAAAATGTCAGAAAAGAATATTTCTTCTTCTGATGAATTGCACTATATTGTACTTAAGGCCACATTTTCATGTTTCACAGATTTATTCCAGCTTTACCACATACAGTCGGTTAAAATAAAAATAATAAAAGCTGTCAATAATTTATTTATTTATTTATTTGAAATTCATTCTGCCATGGAGTTGAAACTAGGTGGCCTCTTGAATCACCGATAGTGATGTAGACATGGAATTTATATATAACATTTTAAATTGTATGAGAGTGTCTATATTACTAGCGGGAGACATAATAATAAAAAACAAATTGGGTGTTTAATGTTTCTTTTCAAGCTGTTTTTCAGTAGGGGTGGTTGGCCCAGAAATGAAAAATAAAAAATGTGTGGCCTAATTAAAGATTTACTTTGAACATGTGATCTATGTGTGAATTGATTGCAGGTGGCACGCTGTTGTGTTGCGAGAGCTGCCCAGCAGCATTCCATGCCCAGTGTCTGAAGATTGACTTCCCACAAGGAAGCTGGTACTGCCACACCTGTCGGAGTGGGAAGAAACCTCTCTATGGCGACATCATTTGGGTCAAGCTAGGAAACTACAGGTAAAGAAATCCAGAAGACGTTGAAACCAGATTTTTAAACTTGATTCTTAGCAGGGTCTAAAAATGGGAAAGGACTGCTATCTGACATATCATCAATTCAGTCTCCTCCACAATCTGTATATTTATAACAGAAACTCGTATGGCAAGTGTTAGACAGTCATCAGTATGGTCAATGTTTCAAATTAAAAAAGGGTCCTTGAGGTTTGCTGTGATACTACAGTGTTCCCTCGCTATTGCGCTCTTCAATATAGCGTTAACTCGGTTATAGCATGGTAAAGCACGGCTCCCAAAGTTTACTAACTTAGACTCAAGTTTTCCAATGACACGATGTTTTCCCCCCATCTCAGAAACATTAGCATCTGCGATCATGCAACTCTGGAAATACCAGTCAACAAATCCGAACTGAATCTGGGAATCCATTAAGTCTGCTGGTGTTGTGAACACCTTGTCTTTAATGCATGATTTCAAACAGTGCTGTTCTTCAAACCATAAGAACAAGTAGTTTTCAACCAGTCTGAATTAAGCGACTGGCAACTGTAGCAATTTGTGTATGCGTACATGGTTGATGTCCTTGCCAGGAAGTGTAAAATAATTGTTAATTGTTACAGATGGTGGCCTGGGGAGATATGTCATCCACGCAATGTACCCACAAACATCCAGGAGAAGCCACACGATGTTGGGGAGTTCCCCGTCAAGTTCCTGGGATCTAGAGATTATTTCTGGCTCTACCAGGGCAGGTAAGATACGAAGGTTAACTGATTAGAGGCCTACTTCATTTGCCTTTTAACTTCCAATTTTTTCCCCAAAATAGGCGTCGATCAATAATATTATCACCCGCCACAAAGTGGGGTGGGGGATATAGGAACGAAGTTCATATGTTTGTCCAGTTCTCAGAGGGGACAAGTTTTCTCAAAAAATATTTACGTGACAGAAATGAAATTTACACACTGATGTTACTGGTCAAGATCTCAAATGAGTTTGAAAATGGTTAATGTAAATTCATTTTGACAGAGTTACGGCCCTTGCTCCGTATTTTTCATCTTACTTCATACTTTGTGAAATGTGAGCCAAGTTTTCTCAGAAACTACTGAAGCTGCATGAATGAAAGTTTGCATGCTTATCTAAGAGATACTTGTCAAGTTTGAGTTCGAAAATTGGTCCCATCAATTATTATTTTACAGAGTTATAACCCTTGTTTTGTGCTTTTCAACTTGGTGCATACTGCGTGAAAGGGGGACAAGTTTTCTCAGAAACTTACAGTAAACTACGTTTATAACGAACACACTTATAATGAACAGACGGATATAACGAACTGTGTTTTTTTGTACCGGCCACTTGCTGTATATTTGCTTAAGACGAACTACGGTTATAACAAACAAAAATGGGTGATCCCTTTGAGTTCGTTATAACCGTACCTTACTGTACTGAAGTTACATGAATGAAAGTTTGCATGTTTCTAAGAGATACTTGTCAAAACTGAGTTCGAAAATTAGTCCCGTCATTTATTTTTGTAAGAGTTATTGCCCTTGCTACATGCTTTTCAACTTAGTGCATACTGTGCAAAATGGGGACAAGTTTACTCAGAAACTACTGAAGTTTTTAAATGATAGTGTGACTGTTTATCTAAGAGATACTTATCAAGACTGAGTTATTTTTTCCAGAGAACGGGCATTTTGTGTGTATTAATTTCCCATTTAATCCTCTCTCTTTTTCATGATCCATAAAACGGCTCAAGTGCCTATCTCTTTTTCAGGCGTTATAGGTCTCTCTTTTATAGTTCATATTCACTACTATTTGAGCAAACAGAATTCTAATGTGCCTCATGGCGGGGGATAGTGTTAACGCTGTTTTCTTGTTATGTGATGAAGTGGCTTTCCTTTGAAACTTTTTAATTAGGTGTCACTTTCACATTTCAGAGTGTTCTTGTTCCAAGAAGGAGACAAAGGAAGCAGGGACTCGACAACAAAGGGCATTGCTAAGATCTTCTCTAAAGGTATATTTCTTTGTCATATCTGTAGGGTCAAAGCTCTGAGATTTCATTACTATACGGCATCTTGAAGCTATCAGGTAGTGGTGTTTGAAATCAAGTCTCATCTTCAACTTTTCATCGCCAACTATATTGACTGAAATAACTGCCGATCAGGCAAATATTTTCACCATGAGGATGTTTCACTTTAAACGATTGACCAGAATGACTGATAAGCCAGTATATATGAACTGTCCATAATCTTTCTGCATCTTTTCCCGTTTTCCCTATTCATTGATTACTGTTGTACCCCATTGGGTATTCTGGGGTAGAAGAGGTACCCAGCAATTAATGCTGGCCGTAGGAGGCAACTAAACGGTTGGGATGGTCAGACTCGGTGATTTGGTTGCTTGCGTTTCATCGTACACAGACAGTGTGGATCATTTGCTCGATCACTGGATTTTCTGGTATTATTTACAGGATACTGTTGTGTACCTGAGTTTTTGAGTGTGGAATTATTACAACGAATAAAGATTACTGATGTCACAGGCCTGTGTGATCACTTTTATTTTTCCCTACCTTTGTTTTTCTGGCATGATGGTCTTTGGAACATATTTCATCACAGGACTTATATTACATGCTGGACTTTTCCCCAGCATGATTGTTGATGTTCTGAAGCTTATTTTACCATCTGTGCCATGTTCAGGTGTGAAGGAAGCAACTGAGGCCTTCAAGATCTGGAGACAAGCCAAGGAGAACAGGGAGCAGATGGAACAAGAGAGAAACGACAAGAAGCCAGCTCCGTTCAAATTTGTCAAGGTATGATTGCCACACTTGACTTAACCTGTCACAGAAGAATGTTGCATGTTAAGTTTTATTCAATGGTCTACAGTCTTGTTATCTCAGATGCTGAGAGGCACAGGTAGCCCAGTCATTTGAAGCCACACAATTCCCTGTGCAGAGTATGTTTCTTAGGTGTGCCTGAAACCTATGATGGTTGGTTCAATATCCAGATTCTCCCTGATTGTTTCTTGGTTTGTCAGCACCATACCCATGCTTGGGTTTCACCAAAGTGGTAGAAGTCTGGTTTGCTTCATTGGGGCTTTTCTTCCACATCAAGATGACATTCTATGATCTGACAGAAATACTGTTTAAAGTGATATAAATCGCTATTCGCCCAAATGAAACGGTTCCCAACAGTAGTGTGTGCCTGCACGTGGAATCATAAACTGACACATGATACAATTTCCATTATAATCAGTCTCGTTGTTTCTGTCAAGTAAGCGTCTTGTGTTCGTAACTCTGTGTTGCAGGTTTTGTTGGCCTGAAGACCTTATATATTGCACCTGAGTTTATTATTGATATACTGGCTGAAGACATTAGTTTTTATAAATATTACTTCTTTTCATTTAATATCTATTGACAATGACCTCATGGGGATTCATTGGTAGAATGGATAGGAGATTTGGTGGTAACACTGTGTGACCTGGCTGTTGATGTGTCATACGTCAAAATTGATTGTTACTGTCTAGAGACATTTTGAGTCAACATAAATTTGTTTCTTCCAGGCAAATGTTCCTATTGGAAACGTGATAGTCCATAAAGCAGAGTTGGCGAACATCCCGAGATGTGAATGCACACCGGACATGCCCAACCCCTGTACGCCTGAGGCCAACTGCCTAAACACAATACTCATGTACGAGTGCCACCCCACGACCTGTCCAGCGGGGGACAAGTGCCAAAACCAACGCTTTCAAAAAAGGCAGTATCCAGAGTCAACAAGCTTCAAGACCAGCAGCCGGGGATGGGGACTCAAGACACTACAAGATGTCAAAAAGGTTTGGGATTGAGCTTGTTCGTATTGAAGTTGATAGTCACAGTCACATAGCTCAGGGAGGATTCAGAGGTAAAATTAGTTCCCATGTTGGACGAAGATGCGACTTAATGAATCGTCAGACTTGATGGATCTTTGCTCATAACATCTGTCACTGGATTTCTGCTTCATACCTACTGTCATATAACAGGAATATGGCTGAGTGCAGTGTAGAACAACTAAAACACACTCTGTATATCTGTGTTTCATATCTTCTCCAGGTACACTCTTTATATATGGACTAGACTAGACTTCTTGTCTACCTTAAGATCATAGTTTCATCAAGATTCTATCTGTAATTTTTCCAGGGTCAGTTTGTTAATGAGTACGTCGGGGATCTGATCGATGAAGAGGAATGCAAGAGAAGAATAAAACAAGCTCATGAAGACAACATCTCCAACTTTTATATGTTAACTCTTGATAAAAATAGGTATGTATCACTCAATGGTCCTGTAAAGGGTTCATTGACCACTGCTTACCTTGTTAGCTAGTAGTGTTTCTTCTCACCTTGTAGGGGTGGTTGGGTAGCCTAGTGGTGAAAGTAGTCACTCGAAGGCTTGGGTTTGATCCCCACATAGATATTCCTGGAATATTGCTGAAAGCGTTGTAAAACCATACTCACACTTAACCCTGTCAACTTCAGAAGAGGTCAATTGTGATCAAGCTCCCTACATGCTTCAGAATCTTGAGCATTGATATTTGGCCTGATCCTCTTACAATCTAAAATCTTCAAGGCCATAAGAATAATGTTTTCATTATTATTATTTTAAAAGATGTGAGAAAATGCAGCTTTCTAATGCTTTGTTTCAGAATAATTGATGCATGTCCGAAGGGTAACTTGTCTCGCTTCATGAATCACTCATGTTCGCCTAACTGTGAGACACAGAAGTGGACAGTGAACGGTGACATCAGGGTTGGACTGTTTGCTCTGAAGGATGTCCCAGCTGGTGAGTCTTTGCAACACATGTGGGCCTGTTTCTGGGACAAAACCATTTTGAATCTACCTGCCTGAACTGGTGTTCAATCTACCTGCCTGAACTTGTGTTTCTGCATCATTTTCAATTGATTTTGATGTTTATATTATGGCATTCACTACCTGAGCTGAAAGATGGTAGGAATTATCCCTTGACTCTTGCTTTGGACTGGTGGCTGAGGGAGTCACTAAGTTGCAGACTGATGGCTATAAATGCTGATCCTTTTGAGAATTTTGTGTAAGAACTGGTCACCAGTATCCTCTCTGTCATCAGAGATGACTACAATGAGGATCAGGTGATAAGAACATGTGACTGAGGTTGTTTATGTCATCATACATCGTGTATTCAACAACTGATTTGCAGTACCGTGACATACAAATATCCTCAGTTTCACAGTAAGAATGGAACAGGATTCTATACATTGATTGAGCCAATCAGATGAGAACAGTTCTTTTTCAATTTCTAGACCACCTTGAATCAGAAATAACCATTGCAAAAGAAAAAATGTTTCTTTGAAAGTAAACCTTTCTGGGGGTTGATGACATGACACTAAGATGATACATGATGTATATTTAACTACAAATATAGCTTGGGGCTGTTTTTGTTGCTTTGTTTTTTTGAGACACAGAAATCAGTTATGCTCCTCCTCTGTACTAATTGGCTGATCAGAAAGTGAAAGATTTGTTAGATCTCGGCGGAGCGAGAGATCAAAATTGGAGTACGAGAGATTGGCTGAGAGAATTAAGTATCATAGTCTCAAACAGTTTCAAGTATAATGAGTTTGAGGTTTCACGGTAATTTCAGCAAGTAATTATTTTCAACCCGAAAGTCTGATCAGGAATAGGAAATAGTTGTTTTTTGTTTCTGAATGATTACTGTCAATAAAACTTAGATATGCTGGTTTTAAGTGTCCAAAAGGAATTTGTCCATTCTTTGGTAACACTGATCGGTAGATATAGAGAATACTCTGAGGCGAATATGATTCGTATCACGAATATAGGGTAACAAATACAAATATTAATTCATGAATACAATAACAATTCAGCAGTTTATGTAATATTTGTTATATTCAGTGAAACATTAAAAACAAAAATTATTTGACATGGTTTGTTAATTATTAATATATTATATATTTATTTACTGCACAGTATTTTTACAGTATCCAGGTACTAGTATCTGCTCAAATGCCACAATGACCAGTGACCACATTCCTGTCAAATTAAATATTAAAAGATTGTTGTCTTTGAAGAAATCTATGCATATCATGTTTTTATGGATGTTTTTAGGTAAAGGGTAGTAAATGATTGCGTATTCATAAATATTTGATTCTAGTAGCCACGAATAACGAATGAAATTCATGAATGGTTACGGTTTGATTCACCGAATATACGAGTGAATCGTAACAGCCCAATATTTACACCATCATATGTCCATTCTTTCAGGATCTGAGCTGACATTCAACTACAACCTGGACTGCCTGGGTAATGACAAGAAGACCTGTGGCTGTGGAGCTGCCAACTGCAGCGGCTTCCTGGGAGTCCGACCAAAGGTAAATTACCAGACCTCACGTTGCAGCCATTGAGTATTTGCTCCATCGTTATCATACACGTTGGGTATTGCTTTGGGGGGGGGGGGGGGGGGCATTGTGCTTAAATACTGTTTCAGGCGACTTCTACTATGTCTATTGCATACTGCTCAAACAGACATGTCTAATTAACAATAAAAAAAAATGTGGCAACTGTAGTAGTTCATGTAATGCCTGTGAATAAAGATCTGTAAAGAAATACAGGACTGCAAGTTGAATTTGGGTGAATACGCAGTTTTATACAATGGGGTTTTTGAAAAATAAAATTTGTATGCAAGCATCCAAAAATTAATTGGGTAATTGTGATATACTTTGCAGAGGTCCAGATAAGCTGTGTCAGAATTACAGAAATACGCAGTAAAATAAAATCCAAGCGTATCAAATACGCAACGAACATTACAGATACGCTACAAAAATAAAACTTGTGCGTATCATCAATATATTGTGAAGTAACCCTGCGTATCCGATTAGCAAATCAGCAACTTAATTATTTTGAAATTATAAACGGGCATTCCGCCAACCTTGCCAAACTCCACGATGACAGTTACATCATGATCATTTGCCATCACACTTTCTTGTGGAAGTATCGTGGTATTTTTTAGTCCTATAAAGCTCTCAAACCCACACGACACACCAGTTTGCAGGGACTAGATGAATAGTGTTTTTAAATATTTAACTTAAAAACCCACATGTGTAAAAACTAGTGGGTTACAGAAATTTAAATACCCAGATAGAATTACTGATACCCAATGATTTTAAAATGCATGGGTAAAATACCCACAACACCAAAAGCTTATCTGGAGCTCTGTACTTTGTGTATTTTATGAAAATATGCACCTTTCCTGCTGCTGTCAGAGTCCTAGGAGAAACAGGCAAAACATATGGTGAAGACTGTAGGGACCATTTTGTATGGGTTTTTGATATTGAGAGAAGCGATACCATACAGTTCGAGTTGTATTGTCAGGCGTTAAAAACCTGGTCAGCAAGTTCAGAGAGTGACACCTGACATGGTTTGGACAGGAATTGTTGGACTAGTTGTGTATTTATTTCAGGGGTCCGGAAAATTTAAAATCCCAATCGGACATTTGCATTTAGGCCACGCCCCTTTCAAATAGCGTATTTTGGTACGACTTTTCACACACATTACAAGTTTACGTATTCATAATATAATGAATTATGAATTGTTTCAATTTAAATTGTTTAATTCACCGCACAATTAATAACAAATATTATCATTTTAGATTTACATGGAAAACATACATTTGTTTCTGTTATAATAACGATCTGTTAACGTAGTGAACAGTCTAATTAATATTCATGAGTCTGCTCAAGTGTACGCGTTGTAACATTTGGATCGAGACTATTATCCCATATTTGGTTATCACGTGACCTCACGGGAAAAGGTTTTTTTTAAACTAAAGATTTTTTTGAAAACAAGACAGATAATTTAATCACAAATACTAAAATATCGTTGATAACAATAGTTATTTGAATACTTTTTTCATCTGTACTTAATTATTGACCATAAAAAAATTGGATATCGGTCGTCCGAGAAAGCAAAATGGCGGTCAATCAAGATTCAATATACGACTAGCTACTGAAAACAATAAAATCTGCAAATCCTCATTGTATGTCAACCAAGTGAAAGTCGTTAGCCACGACTTAAAAAATGATCATCCAGACTTTGAGGGTTTGGCAGATCCGCTCGACTGATCTGCATCGGTCGACTGGCTGTCGTCACGCTTTCGCTTCTTGTCTGAGGTTACGTATCGTAGCATTGTGAGGATGATGAGGTACATCGATGATGCAAGGTATTAATGTACAGTTGTAAACACCTTTCACTCAAATTAACAAGATGTTCTCAGTAATTAATCCTCGATTAATCAGTGTCAACTCAGTTTATTCCCTATTACAGTGATTGACCGATTGCACTATCATGTAGGTACGATGTATTTACAGCAATCAAAACAAACAAAGCTTGTCAGTGTAGTTAATCTTCATTGTGTTGCAACTGCAGACAGAAACTGCTCAGTCCTAACTGTTGATCATGTCCGGTCAAAATTTAAGAATGTCCGGACAATACTTTTTAAAATGTCCTTTAAGCAATATTTTAAAACGGACATTTGAGATTCCCAATCGGACAGGTCCGGCGCATATGACGGTTTCCGGACCCCTGATTTATTTCATGCTGTGCAAAGATCTTTCTAGATCTGCTCAGGGGCGGATATTGAGCCACAAGTCTACTGCATATTTCGGTAAAAATATTCCTGTTTTGGAATTTAAATATTTCATGTTATTGTAGTAAGAACTAATGTTATGAACAGTACTACGAATGTTTTTTCCAATTTTACTGCCGGGGGCAATTTCTTTGGAATCCTAGATAGGTCCCTGTACTGATAGTCAGAGATAGAAAAGCATTTTTTCAAAAGATAATTTGCGATACAGAACTACTTCCTTTGGCCATACCAGGATCTGCTGATCATAGATTATTATGATAGATAGTGATTCTCGGTCTGTCATCACTATTCCTATGCTTGTAGGTTTAACCAAAATGTCTGCATCACTTTTGATATGCCTTCCACAAGGCGCAGGCGTATGATGACTAATGGGATTGGGTGGTCAGGCTCCCTGTCTTGGTTGAATCATGTCAGCTTATCCTAATTGCATAGATGGATGCTCATGATGTCAACCACTGGATTGTCAGGTCCAGACACAAATATTTACATGCCACTGTCATTTAGCCGGAATATTGATGAGTGCGGCGTTGAACAACGAAACAAACAAACATAAAAACTGACTGTCTTACAGCTAAGTCTAATCCGGACACCTTATTTTAGACTGCAGCAGCGGTAGCGAACGAGAAGAGGTCAAAGGAGCAGCAGAAGAAGAAACGCAAGAGGAAGAAAATGGAAGTGAAGAAGGAACACGAGGATGAATGTTTTAGGTGCGGAGAAGGAGGCGAACTTGTCATGTGCGATAAACCCAACTGTCCGAAGTCCTATCATCTACAGTGTCTCAACCTAGCCAAACCACCACATGGTAAGATAAAGCTGGGTCTCAGGTGGCTTGGGTGGTTGTGAGGTTGGTGATGAAGATTTCCCCTTTTTCTGACTAATCAGCATGTCAGAGTTTGTAGATAGTTCAAATAGCATGATGTTAACTGTCTTTTTGAAAAAGGGAATTAATGGTTATTCTTTCCTGGCTTTTTGGAGAACATTTTGAAATGTGGCACTTTATTGGTCATGCACAATATATTTTGATAAGAATTTTACAGAAGCACAATAAATACAAGTTCCAAAGGTATTGAATTTGGATACCTTTGCTTGAGAAATTGTTTTATTTAAAAACAGCTTGAAAAGATGTTAAAATTTTGTAAGAAGATTCAAATTTGGTGGTTATATTTCAGTGTGCACTATTGAAAAAAGGTAGTAAATCGGAAATTATGTATAGAAGGAGGCCTTCAAAGAGCGAATTGCACTCTAGTTGACACTGGGCACTTGGGGGATTTCAAACACAGGGACATTGTCACTGAAGTAAAAATTACAATTGATCACGTTTGAGCCACTTAAGACCAAGTATTTGCTGATATTCAATACAATCCACTCTTGATAAAACTAGCTCCATGGTTCCATGTACTGAAGTGGATGACGTATTGATTATTGCCTTGGTATGTTTGCTTTAGTTTTATCAAGAGTTGACTGTAGATAAATACAGGCAGCCAGAAAATCACAGCAAACACTTTAATATGCTTAATGCTTAAGTAAACTAAAGCCTATCAGCATTATTTTATATTCATTAGAATGGGATGTATTGATTACATGATCATGGTATCTAACAATTCCAAAGTAGTTAATAATTTTGACTACCTATATATTAACTGTTTTAATAACTACAATTCTGAAGAGTATACACTTATACCCAATATTGGAAGCAACTACAAAATAACTGTCCCAAAAGAAACACCCCTGTTAGGATCCAGGTTAGAATAGGTCCCCAGTAAACTATGCATGCCGTGGATCAGGTAATCAGATTCATGACCCAAGAGGTCTTCAGCAACCCATGTTTGCCTGTCGAAGGCGACTTTCTGGATTGATTGGTCAGACTCGCCAACTTGGTTGATGCATGTCATCTTATCCCATTTGCGTAGATCGATGCTCATGATGTCAGTCACTGGATTGTCTGGTCCAGACTCGGTTATTTACAGAACACTGTCATATAGCTGGAATACTGCTGAGTGCGGCATTAAACAACAAACGAACAAATGAACAAACAAACAACTCATATCAAACTATTCATTTTCTTGTCCAGATTTGATTACAAGTTGCCGTGATATAGCTTGAATATAGCTGACTGGTGTCAAACAAGTTCTAAGTAATTAAGGCATTAGCCTCTTCAGCGTCAATACTGCATGGGTTTGTGTACACTATGTTCCCCTATAATTCTTTGATAGGCATTTACCAGTTGGAGTACTAAGTAATAAGATATATTGATGAACAACCTCTTTATTACAATTAACAATTCGGTATAGGTTCTGACACTGCTCTCAAGAAAATGATAACGGTGTAAGAACCTACACCAAAATTGTACACCTAATTATAATAATGAAGTTGTTCATCCATATATCTTATAATTACTGACGTATTCCTCCGTCCACCATGAATACATACAGTTCTATGTGATGCGTGTTTGTCTTTGGTTTGGTTAGGAAATGCGGACACGTATATCTCATGGAAGGCAAAGGTTCCCTATTGCATGAAATTTTGGTGAACCCTTTTGCTGCCTTATATTGAAGCAATGTGTAGAGTAGAGTCTGTAGGGCTATGAGACATATTGCACAAGACAAAGTGCCAAGGTTTTCAGCACTCATTGGTCAGAGCACATGCTGGTTTTCTCTGTGGTCTAGTGGTAGAGCGTCTGCCCAGAGAGCGGAAGGTCCAGGGTACGATCCCAGGCCACGTCATACCAAAAGATGTTAAAAGATGGTACTTGTTGTTATTCTGTCTGGCGCTCGGCATTAAGAGGCTAAAACAAGGACTGGTTGGCTCGGAGTCAGTATACTGTGTCTGAGTGGGGTATTCATGTTAAACTGCGGCATGGTATCTCAGTGAGCTAGCACTATATAAATCAGTCCGGACTAGTACACGCACACGTCGCTATATAACTGCAATCATCTTGGACGCGACGTTAAACCCCATTTCACGTAACCTGTAGCGTACAGAAGACCCAGGAAGTATTGACAGTGTAGTCGCTTGTACATCGCACAACTAGAATTCGGTGTCCTACTTTTCCGACATGTAATGTTTTGTTGTGTTTCAGGTAAGTGGCTGTGCCCATGGCACCACTGTGACATCTGTGGCAAGGTCGCCAGGAAGGTGTGTTCCGAGTGCCCCAATTCTTTCTGTAACGGTCATATTGAAGACAACATATTCAATGTGGAGGGAGCTCTCGTGTGTTCGGACCATGGTGACATTCTTGAAGGCAAAACATGTGGTCCTGTAGACAATATGTCTGAAACATCGGCGAGTGATTCCTACGTTGATGCAGCCTCGGTGAAGGATGAGAAAGACTTTGCATGTGTCAAAGACTTTGAAGGCGAAGAAATGGACACCAGTGTCAAAAGTGAGAAGGAGAACTCAGTGAAAGAGAATTCCATTTCTGAATCTGTTCTGAAAGAGAGTGACAATAAAACTCCAGTTCCACACCCAGCAAAATCAGGTTTGACTGTCGAAAGAAAACCACCCGTTGGAAATTACCCTCGAAATCTTCCTCAACAACAAGAAAAGCGAAAATATAAGACAGTTGTGAATTCGGCACGAAAGGCCAACATCCGTGCAAAATTGCCAACAGAAAATGACAACGGACAGAAAGACGACAAATCTACAATACCTAAAGCTAACTCAGGAAACAGCAAGGGCCGAGGTCGGCCGAAAAAGAACAGTGGAAATGCATTGCCCGATACAAATATTAAGGACGGGCTGCCAGTGGCACCATTGTTTGACGATAGTGATGATGAGCATTTTAATCTAGTGATTGACATTCCTAAATTTTAGACAACTTCACTTGTTAATAGACTCACTCATAAGTTTTAAAGCCATTTTATAACAATTGAATCATCCAGTCTGGCGGTCAGGGATTCAGATCTGACACACGTCCATGGGAGATAACAGAACTTGGGCCTTGATAAATCAGACCCCATTTGACAGTGAGTAGTAGGGAACGACTTGCAAATGAGCTAACTTTGTGTGAAGAACATGTTGGGAAGATAGTATTTATACTCACTGAGTTTACACCAAACATTCGTAGATAAAGGGCAGTGGGGTAGTGTAGTGGTTAGTGTTTGCTCATCACACGGAAGATCTGGCTTCAGTCCCCATGAGAATAACTTGGGATGTCAGGTTTTGGTGTCACCTCGCCGTGAAGTTGCTGCAGTATTTTATTAAAGGGGTGCAACACTAGCTTGGCCTCGTCAGAGCAGTGTATTGCGTACTCTGCTTCAGAGAACGTTGAGGTTTAGAAAGTATAAAATTCGTAAGGTAGATATTTTGAAGAAATCTTTGGTCTGTACAGCAAAAGAATTACATGTTATAGGCCATTAACTTGTATAAACATGTTTGTGTCAACTGCAGCTAAACCTTCTACCCCCAGATCATTTGTCTAATTTGTATATAGCCGTTTGCTGAAGAGTGAAGTTCAAGGCCAAATTGTCTTATGTGAGTCATTGGCCCATCTGGTTCTGCTATCTTCAGTTACCATGGTAACCATGTATCCTGTTCAATCATCATGTTTTAGTACCTTGACAATATCTTGCTAGATTTTAGAAGTTCTTAATTTATTTCTAAGGCATAGACTAGTCTTACTAGTCTTGTTTCCATGGTCTTTTGATTTGAGAGGACATTTTAGGGAGAATAAGTCGACAATGGTTGTATATTACAATGTTGGTCCTAAAAGAAACGACACACTGTTCAGGATATGGCACATAGTTGTTTAGTGTTACCCTGCTTATTTTGATAGAAGTTAAGTCCCAGATATGGTCAAGGTACTATCACATGTTTTGTCATACCAACCCATTTGCATTGAAAAAACTCATTTTAATCTGTGTATCATAGTGTTGATAGTGTATGAATATGTACTTGTATATTTAAGACTGAAAAAAAAAAGTTTCATTCTTCAAAGGTAGATGAGATGATTCCTTGTCATTTCTCATTGAAAAGTCACGCATGAACAAAAGTAACTGTCTGAAGCTGTGTGCCTGTGAACAAATTGTCTTAATTGTGTTTTTTGAATTCGCTTGTAAAATAATTCTTTGGTTTAGTAAGACTGTACTTCTCGACTTTTAAGAAGTCAGTGTTATCCAGCATCTTTTGTAAAGTTCTACAAGTTGTTAAAACTGATTATTATTTTTTCCATTATTTTCTTCATGGTTTCAACCTTGTTTTTATTTAGGTTTTGAATGAAAGAATCGCGTCAAGTGTTTTGTAAAGAATATATGTTCAAAATACAGTATATCATATACTGCCTTTACGGGAGCAAAACTGCTGGGTTTATTTTCCATTGTTGATAAATATACACATAGGAATTGCATGGATGATGCACTTTCGTCCTCCGAACTGGAAGTAGTATGAGAACATCTCTTCCCTTTTCTTTAGGCTGTGAAGATTTGAATATATTTTTTCCATACCATATTTAACCAATTTAGTGCTCTGAACAACTAAGAAATAAAGTAAGAGATTGTTGTAAAATCCATTTGCCCCAAATATTGATGATCAAAGGCTGACTCGCGCTCAGGTCTGTGAAGGTCTGGCTACAAACTGTAAAGCTCTTGCTGTGATACATCTAAGATCTTTAGCACAAACCTGTTCACTCACTTATTCGTTCAAGCATCACTTTTCATGCAGAAGACCAAAGTCCAATTACCAAAGAGGGTACTGACTGTGAATCTAAAGTTGGTGACCCCCTGGCAAGATATGGCTGGAATTCCTTTGAAAGCAGAGTTAACTAAGTTGATTGTCTCTTAATCATTCACAAGGGCTATCAGGGTAAGGTTTATTTTTCTGTTTATTGTGGGTCACCTTTCTTTGTGGGTCATTTTATTGTGCCATGAAGGTACAACTGGACCATTCCAACCCAACAGTCTTTGGTCTTCTAGGATACAATGAATGAATCAATAATGTGCTGTTCTGTTCAATCAGAATGTAGACAGGGTTTGACATTAAACCTGATAAAGTCTGGGGTCAGTCATTATGTTAAAAGTTATTTATTGATTCAAATTCCAAAGACCTCAAGCACACCAGGACCCCTCCATTTTAAACACTGATGAAGGTCAAATGTAAACATAACAGTTTCTCAAACTTTAACTTTTTGAGTACTTGTAAGCAGGTGGCCTTCCCTTGCCTCCCACAGCAGGCAAAATGTTGCTCCAAATCTGATATTCAATTCTTTCATGCCAGATGTTCTGGTGAGGCAGCCTTTGAACTCCACGTTTGTGTGTTCCTTGTATGAACAGTGCACTAACTTTGTTGAATAGATTAACAGTTGGAACAGTTGGTAATTACAGACTGAATAAAGGTATGACTTGTCTGTCAACATCCATCTTTTTTTTTCCAATGTATATAAAGCAATATTTAATTGTCCAGGCTGGGATTTTATCCAGACATTTATTGAAATATTTGGATAAAGTCCTGCCACTCCAGGGGAGTGTACAGTTCCTGTAATAGCACAGCTAACCTTGCTGGAGTGTTAAATCAGATATTGTTCAATGTTGAAGCCCCCAAATATCTCAGTTAAGAAGCAATGGATCATTATGCATGACATGTCGCAGTTTTCCTGACAAGTCCCTAAGCCAAAATGGATATTTCAAAATGATTATTTTCATGTCAAGTGGAAAATAACTTGTAATGGTTTAATATCAGTGATAATCTTCAAAATATTTCAAACAAGTTACAAAATTTCTAATGTTGGCACCTTAAATATTGAGGTAAATGTTTCCCACTGAAGCTCTAGGAACAGACAAGGAGCTTTGGTGTAAAGGACTGGAACTGCATTCTAGGTGAAACTCAAGGTTCACGAGCAACTTCGCCAAGTGTGCTTTTGTTGAATGCACTGAACCGAAGATATCTCGAAGATGAAGGGACCAAGAAGATCAGCGAGATAATGAGGTTTTGATGCAGAAAAAGAAAAATGTATGTCCAGACTGGTAAACTGGAAGACAAATGCGAGATAATGTCAAACTGTTCTGTTCAAGAAAAGGTCTGCCAATCGTATCTTTATTATTTTTTGATGACATTATTTTCATATCTGTCAAAGAGGCCTAGTTGCAGTACTGTGGGATTTAGATGTATAGTGTCTTGCTAGATTAAAATTCTTGTTTTGAACAGTATGACTAAAAGTTGCTTTTGGACAAGAGAAATGTCGGTATGTCGTCTTTAATGCTTTTAAAAGTGTGTGAAAGGGATTAAAGAAGTTTGAATTTAATGTTGCCGAAGGTCCTAAAGCTTTCTGGGGCAAGCAAGTCATTACTTTAGTTAAATATATATCTTTGTGGTATTAAATTGTATATAATTGTGTGGTCAGTGTGAATTCTTTCTCACACAAGATCTTTGAAATTATTCTGTCTGAAAAAGCTTCTCTTCCATCATGTGAACCAAGTAAATAATCTTTGAGTTTGACACACACTTCAGTGGCTTGTGACTACCTGGGGTGATGTGAGATGTCACTTAACTTTCTCGAGGTCTCCGCTTCTTAGCCAAATCCTGCTTGTTAATTGTTAACGTTTTAAAACTCGTTGATTGCAGGGGCAATGCTGTCATGTTGGTTTGTAGACTGTAAAGAATGAAATAAATGGATGATTATGAAATAAATGATTGTGCTTGTATTTATATATTTTTCCTCTCATTCCCCCAGATGAGATGAAAACTGGGTCTTGTATTACTTGGGGCACTATGTACAGCAGGCGAATGTACAAGTCACACAAGTTCTTACCAAAAGTCAATATTGATTAAAGTTTTGGAGAAGCGGGGTTAGAATTGGTTCTCAGAAACCTATGCATATTGAAGAAGCAACCGGGTGGTCAGGCTGGGCGACTTGGGTGAATTGTACCCTGACACTGGAAATCACTGATTTGTCGATTAGTGCCAAGCTACAGTTATACAGCAGGAATCTTGCATGTAGTGTTAAACAACAAAACAAACTGCACCGATCAGTGCTCTTACCACCAGTTGGTAGTCCAAGGCAGTATGATGTGCATTGTGCTGATGCTTGATGTGTGGCATTAAACAAAAAGAAACCAGTGTCGAGACATGTGATTAATAAAAAAGATGATGTTATGTGAGATGACTCGGGGCTCCTCCACTCCCCAATGCTACTCCAAGGGGATCACTTGTTTTTGTGATGGCCAGTCTCTGGTCTTCAAGTTTGCTTCACAACACCAAACCTGAGTTATACATGATCATTGAAGTGAAGATGAGTCAAAATACTAAACCACAATAACCAGTGGTTTGCCTGATCTTGTTTATTTGTACACTCCCTTTCAAAGCAATTAACAGTGAAATGTGAAAACATATATTGCACTATTTAATCCTGTATGAATATTTACAATTAATGAACACATTTATCATGATGGCCAGAGTCTTTTCTTCATTATGTACAACACTGTTGCAAAGAAGAAAACCAGAGCAAGAAATATCAATAATCTGTCTGTTAGTTCTCTGCGTCCATATTTGGTAAGGAGGCGCCGGGAGTTCTCAATGTGCCCGCCCATGTTGCGGAACTCATCTTGCGTGTCAGTCACAGTCTTAGAGGAGGAAGCTGGGGAAAGGAAAGAAGCAGACGTGAAACCGATTAATACACTACCCTTGGTTTAGTTGAAAGCGCAAACATGCTGCATGCTCGAAGCATTGTACATCAGACAAATGAACTACCATGTGGCTCGAACTTGTCAACAGATTCTGTATAATTTTCGATGAAATCAAACCGTCTCAAACAGATACCAATTACATGTTTTGGTTTGTTTTGAGGGGGCACGGGTGGCCCAGTCGTCTAAGGCGCCGTGATTCGCTGTGCAGAGTTGCGTCCCTTGGGCACACCAGAAACCTATGACTGTGGGTTCGAATCCCAGTTCGCCCCGATTTTGTTCCTAGGTTTGTCAGCACCATACCCGTGCTCGTGGGTTTCACTGAAGTGGTAAACGTCCGAGACCTGCATCACTTCGGGCTTTCCTCCCACATCAAGCTGACACTCCGTGATATAACTGGAATACTGTAAAAAGCGGCGTTAAACCCAACTCACAATGACAAACAATGGTTTGTTTTGTTTTGTTGTTTAACGCCACACTCAGTAATATTCCAGCTATATGACAATGGTGTGTAAATAATTGAGTCTGGACCAGACAATCCAGTGATTGACATCACGAGCATCGATCCACGCAATTGGGATTGATGACATGCATCAACCAAGTCAGCGAGCCTGACCACCCAATCCCGTTAGTCGCCTCTTCGGCAAGCATGGGTTGCTGAAGATCTATTCTACCCCGGATCTTCACGGGTCCCAAATACATTTTCTTCTACGAAACATGCAAACATGTAAACATGTAAACAAAACTCCCTGATGGGGTATGCACCCACCTAACATGCTCATGCTGAGCTCACTCTGCTCCAACTGTCCTGTCAGCATCTTGTTGAGGCTCATCAGATTCTCTGTGATGTTGCTGGCAGTCTTAGCCAGGGTCTCCTTGTTGCCCTTTCCTCTGTAACAAACATTATCCAGGTTGACTTGCAATCCCCTTAAAGATACTTGTTACAAAGTATGGACAGTGCCTGTTCGAACTACAGAGCAATCGTTTTTGTTTTTTACAAATTTTGTTCATCTCAGTAAGTGTGTACAGTATACATCAATGATATACAATGTAATTCACATTTCCAAAACATATTCAGAGTGGCATGGTATGAGGCAGGGATTCACATTGGCCCACCTGCAAGCCTGGACCAGCCCTGCCCGCCACAGCAACCTTGGCGCTAAGATAGTGGTTAGTCTTTGATAAAGATTACAACAGTTTCTGGAATGGTACAATGTTCTCCATTTGATTGATATGTGTGAGTGAGACCAAGTGAGAACCTAGACTTTGAACCCACTGCTGTTAACTCCTGGTATTGTTGCACAGTAAGATACAGCACCTTAGATCCCTTTGCCATCCTTTTAATGTCAAGCATGGGATATGTTTTTTGTGGTTTAATGCCACAGTCCGCAATTTCCAGCTATATGATGGTCGACAAGGTAGACACAATTTTATAAATAAACAACTTCTTTAATACTGTAAAAAGCGGCGTTTCGGTATAGATTCTTATACCGTTGTCAAGCAAGACTTGTTATCCATAAAATTGTGTCTACCTTGACATCCGTCAACTTCTAAGTAATGCCTATCAAACAATTTATATGACGGTCTGTAAATAAACAAGACAATCCAGTGATTTTTATCATAGCATCGATCCACACAATTGGGGTATGATGACGTGCATCAACCAAGACACTGAGTATGACCTCCCGATCCATATAGTACCTCTTACGACCAGCAAAGGGTGCCCGGCATCAATATTCTTTCCCAGAATCCCCCTTGGATAGCATTGGGTATGAAGACATGAAAACTTTTTCAGACATCGGGTGCTGTCATTGTAGTTTCATCCATCCTTGAAACCAAGGTTATTTCTAGCCACTGTTCTTGAATCACTTCAGAACCACTAATTGACCCAAGTCTTTATCTGTCTATAAGGATGATCTCACCTCTGCTTAGCTGACATTCCGCCTGACAGGAGCTGTTCTTTTGTCCTCTTCTCTATCATCAGCTGTGTTGTCAGGTTCGACTGTCGCAGACTGGTGATTGTGCTGGGAAGGAGACAAGAGCACATTGGAGGACGGGAGTTGGGGGTTATTTTGTTTGTGGTTAAATTGAACAGTTTTGAAACCTCAAAAATCTTTACAATTAAACTTTATAAAGTTAATAGTAAATTTCTGAAATCTCAAACAATATAAAACTGATAAATCAAAAAACTTATTCATAACAAAGATGGATTTATTTCCTATGTGACTTTAGTGAAAAGGATTTTACAATGCTTTTATTAATACACCCATATCATGCCTGGGTAACACAGAGATGGGCTTCACATTTTGTACACAAGGAGAATCTAACCTATGTCTTCAGCATGTTATTTCACCACCACCAAATGTCATGTTGAAACCCATAATGAAATCAACGCTTGCAAGTCAAAGATAATGCATAACTTGTAGAGATTATTATACTAGCATGTGTGTCATACTGATTTTACAAACCAGTGTCAGAATTCTTATAGTTCCCGAACAAGAGAGAGTTTTGTAAAATCAGTATGACACATATGCGAGTGTAATAATTTCATCATTACCCCTTATTTTTTAGCCCTTCGAGCTCCTCTTTAGAAAAAAGCAATGATCATGACCGCCATCTTAGAAAACAATAATTGTTGAATGACGTCACTAATCATCAGCTATGACGTCATTTCTAGTGTGATGTCATTCCCACTTTATGTCACAATCAGATTCAAATGACATCAACAGTGCCACCAGGTTGATGTATACAATGCACTGGTGTGTGTGCTTTATGCACTGGTGCACATGCAAGTTTGATTAACTCAGTTATTTCTAACTCCAAAAGGTAACAAGCATGAAATACTCATATCCCCCGCCAATACTACCGCCATTTTCAGTCTAAGGCAACATCATTGCCATGGAAACTCAAAAAATTAAAATAGTAAAAAATCCTAAAGTATCAAAAGGCACCAGTTCACCACTAGGTCTATCTATGTGCCAAGATTGGTTAAGAGTGAGTGAGTGAGTATGGTTTTACTCCGCTTTTAGCACTATTCCTTCAATATCACGGCCGGGGACACCAGAAATGTGCTTCACACATTGTACCAATATCGGGAATCGAAGCTGGGTCTTCGGCGTGACAAGCGAACGCTTTAACCACTAGGCTACTCGACCACCCCAGATTGATTAACATATCTCTCATGGTTTTAGAGTTCTGCTCCAGAAACAAAACGTGATGGACGGACAACACTTCATGGCGGAAGATAATAATACCCATTTCCAACCAGTCATCCGAATAGTACTGCAAGTATTCTCACAGTGAACACTGGTGAGGAAATCACAAGATGTATTGGTTCGGAATGATAGACTTGTCACAGCATTACACACCTGGACAGCTTTTGTCGGTGGTTGTCTACATTTTTCAAAATGGCCTCTCTGTCAGAATCTTTGTCTTGTTCTCTTCCCAGTTGCTCCAGTTCCTGCAAATATGTTGGAAACAGATAATATTTATTTACATCATAGGATTAAAGAAACTTGGAATGTCCACTTGACTTTCTGAATTGCCAATCCTAAATTTCACAAATTTGGAACAAAATCAACACCATGAAAATAGGCACATTTAATTCCCACTGCATCTGTAATAATATTTGATTAAAAACAAAAATTAGTTGTCAAGGGCATAGTTCCATCCTCAACATGTTCAAGGCATGCAATATAAATGGTAAGTAATAAAGAGAGTTTGCTGTAGTAATTTTCCTGGAAAATTTTCATCATCATCATCATCATCATCATCAATGCACTGGAGTAAAGCTTGTCCATGTCAATCAAAACTGACATAACCATGATGACAGTGTTCGAAGTTAACAGGGATACCACCTTGTGTAATCCGAAACCCTGCATGCCAGGCATTGGAACCAATAATACAGAATATATTGTAACAACCAGGTCAGGTCACACATTATAACCACCAGGGCCCACTAGCACAAATTATTATTAGCCCTAAGTCTATGTGCAAGTGGGCCCTGAATCTCACCAAATCCCCCTTACAACAAACACACAACTAAGCATCTTTTTTCCTCCAGAGTTACATCAAGGCAACAACACATGAGAGGTATTACAGAAGATACGTACGTTCACTTTTCCACGTAATTTGGTTATCCGTTCTCGAGCTTGAGCATTGAAATCTTCAACATCTTGTGTTGTTTGAGCATAATCTCTTATATCCTAGAAAGACAAGTGCTCCATTAGATATTTTGAAAATATACACTTTCCACAACAGTAAAAACTCTTTCTACACTTCAGCCATTGACTGTTTGAGATCAGTCAACATGGTGAAATTAGTTAATGTGTAAATCAAACCAAATTTAAAGTAAATCAATTAAATAATTAATATGAGGGCCAAACTGTATGAACATCTGAGCTTTCAACATTCTTTGAGGAATGAGTGAGCGAGTATTGTTATATGTCGCTTTTAGCAATATTCCAGCAATATCCCATCGGGGGACACCAGAAATGGGCTTCACACACTGTATCAATGTGGGGAATCGAACCCGGGTCTTTGGCATGACAAGCGAACGCTTTAACCACTCCTTCATACAGTGAGGGCCAAACTGTATGAACATCAGAATTTCCGACATTCATTGAAGTATGAAACTTTGTGGTTGGAGTTAACAGGGTATTCATTCTACTACATGAAAATAACTCGCATTCCTCCACTCAGTGAGGGACTTGATGAAGTGAAAATCTGGGCCCTTCATCATCAACCTCATCCATGGGTCAAAGTGGACTGAGGCCGGCTGAGTGTGGTTAAACTAGGTTCTGTGAGCTAATTGCATGCTCACAGTCTGCAGAGTGAACAGGTTGAGTGACAACATGGCCAAGTGAATCAAGTTAAGAAAATCTTGGTTCCAGTATGACTTGACTTATGGTCACTATCTTCATCATCTGATCTGCAACTGTCATCATTTGATTTTGAGAAGAATGTGATTTTCCCCAGTTTGGGAACTTTTGAGGGGGCATATTCCATGTATGTTTGCTAGCGTTACCAAGTCAGTAGCTATCAAACATTTTCCGTATCAATGTAAACACAGGGAAAGAGATCACAAGATAATATTTCAGAATGATTTTTCTCTCCTTTTTTCCAGGCATGCAGTAAAACATTCTGACATTTTGTAATGTATACAAACATATTGAATTAAAGATTGAAGTGTCTGATCATAATGACATCAACAGTGATGTCTTACTCTGTGAAATTAGTAAATCAGGCTTGAAAGCAGATTTGAAGAAAATAATGAATTGTCTACAACATGAGGTGTTGTATAACCGGGGTATTTTGGAAAAAGGGGTTTTAATATTTACTTAAAATGTAGTTTATTAAATCAGCAGGGTTAAGCAGATGTCTTAGGTATGAAACCTGAGCTTGACGTGACATAGTTACACTCCACTACACACGGTGGCAGCTGGCTAATATGGCTTGTTTAGGACCAGTAGGCCTGTTGATAGATATTAGTGTAGCAATGTGCCACAACTGGCATAAACATGACCTAATATGTACAGGGCCAGCAGGTATCCTGTGTGCATATTTTTTTTATGTGTAGATCTTGCAAACGTCTTATTCAAACATGTCGTTATATATTTCTTTAACCAGCTGTTAGCTTGTATAACTCAGGCTTGGGCTGGGCATGTGGTGGCGTACACCTGTACAAGGCTAGACTATAGCTACCACTCTTTTATAGTTAAATCATGTCGGCACGTTCAAAATATGTATATACTGTAATCATTAATCAGTTACAGTTTCATGCAAAGATTAACCTGTATAATTGCTTTCACTTCAAGGTCTAGTTTGACAATTTCTTGCAAGCAGAGCCTGACGTGGATATCTTCCGCCGCCATGTTTTACTCGCCAACGCATTGTGGCTGTTGTAAACATATTCATAAATATTATTTGTTATCTGTTATAAACTTTTGTGGCCACCTGGTATAATTAGAGCATTAAAAGAACACATAATATTCATAATCTAGTTTTATACAACTGTATTGAGGAGTATTATACTGCGAAATTATATGTCGTAATTTGACATTTCGACCAATGTACGATACCGGCTACTTCCGGTTTGGGCCACGTATATTTCTTTACAAAAAGTAGTGTAGGTTTTTGAGGAACATGATACGTAAAACTCAGTCAGAGTTTCTCTATTGAAAGTTGTTTACGAGGACAACGTAATCAGCACTGGTGATGAGCATGGCAAGGTAAGAATGTATTTCTTGTCCATTCCTAAGCAAAAGAAAATGGGCCTACCAATTTTGGATGTAGAAATTCTAGGCTAGTTGCTTAGAATTACTCCTATGTCCCTAACATAGCTTGCATCTCTACAAAACTCTAACTTAAAGTATCAGTAGTATTCGTAAAGCGTTTAGTTTGGCACAGAGAATTAAAATGCCAAATTCGTTGATAAAGCGTCACAACAACCATGATAAACAAATCATTTTAACCGTCAGCAATGGTCAGTGGTCAGCATAGGACTTGTAACATGCCTATCTTATTTTATTAGTATAATATACATAATATATAGCAGTTTGAGATTGTATACCCTTCATATATAGGAGATAGATACAGGGATAGTACAATACATCTGAGCTCTATAGGTAACCAACACTTAAGATTACTGACTGTAGTCTGGTTTATTTCCATGTTATCTGTACAGAAACGCTGCACACTTGTGTTTAGGTCAAGGAACATCATAGCATGTGGTTATACCAGTTCCAAAGAAACAGGTGGTAGAGGGGCTAAAACACTTTTGATAACCATAATCATGATAATAACATCAGGCTTTTTTTAGTGCAAAATCTTGGAATGACACTGCCAGGGGATCGAACCACCAACCTTCCTCTCCCCAGGCAGACACTCTATCCTCTAGACCATGGATATAATATTTAGAAAATAATGTAAGTTATTATATTAAGTAGATTCATTATAAGTCCATCTTTACTGAATACTAGTATGTGGAGATTCCAGGGAAGCATAGCTGGTCACTGGTGTAGTGTTTTGGCTTTTGTATCGGTTAGTTGTCATCATGGTCATAGATCACTCTTCATGAAACCAATGACTAAATTGTTAACATACTGCCACAGTTCTCAAGTTATTACAGACGGTTTAAAAAATGTTAATACATGTATATTGTTAAGCCCTCATCTAAAATGTATGACATAGTTTCTCGGTAGGGTGCATGATAATCTTCAAGGACGTGTAAGGAAGTACAGTATATGTTCAAGAAGGACAGGAGAGGGAGAATTACAAGTTTGACAACCTATCTAGTACCTTAAACATCATATTATCTATTTGAATTATATAATGAGTAAGTCTTGACAATAATCTGTGACTAGCCACGAGTAAAACGTTTGAATATAGTACATTTCATTTTATCTTAAGAGTAAATTCTATTGCAAATAATACATAACATGTTAAAGGACATGTTCAAAACTAGAATTTCTTATTTATTTTTAAGTTTTCCAGAATTTGCTGCAATCCAGCATCGTAGATGGGGGTAGTTCATATTTGTTTTGGGGCGGTCGGGTAACCTAGTGGTTAAAGCGTCTGCTTGTCACGCCAAAGACCCGGGTTTGATTCCCGAAATGGATACAATGTGTGAAGCCCATTTCTGGTGTCCCCGATATTGCTGGAATATTGCTAAAAGTGGCGTAAAATCCAACTCACTCACTCATATTTGTTTTGTTCTTCAAAGATCTATTTGAATATACAGGTTTTATTATTGTGTCAGGTAAACATATTTTTAACACTAGAAAGAAAAATTACATTGCTTTCATTTCTTGTATGCTTCCGTCTCATTAAAATCTGATACTTTACTCAGATATGATACCTCTCGATGTTAAGATCTGAGAACACATCTGTAGAACAGCGCATCAGGTGAATCCTGAACGACCTTGGATCACCCAATCTAAGTGAAACATGCCTTTGATGGTACTCCATTGTGGTTCAGCAATATTATGGTGCAGCTGTTGTTATGTTCACAGTGGGAATGTCATTTATCTTGTTTTTGATATATATACTACTCAAAAGAAGTTAAAGAACACCCAAATAAGTTATCAAAATCACTCAAAAAATAAATCGTGGCCACAGGAACAACACTGATTGGGAAAGATAAGTATTTAATCATGACATTTCATTGACGAAAGAAACGCTGGCATACAGCTGACCAGAGCAAATCAATATGCATTGCATGTACCCTATAAATCAAAAGTCACACACTACAGTTCAGGATAATCCTGTTCCTTCAATATCGGGTAGGCCCACCCCTGGAAGCAATACAGTTCTGACATCTTCTACGCATAGATCGAACAAGCTGCCGCAGTGTTGTCTGTGGAATTGCTTGCTATTCCTGATGAAGAAATCCTAACAGTTGCTGGAGATTAACAGGAGTTGGGTGGTTAGCTTGAACGGCTCTTCCCAAGGCATCCCAAAGATGTTCAATGGGCGCCAGATCTGGCGAATAAGCAGGCCATTGCATAACGGTAATCTGCCTTTGTCTGTGATAGTCAGTGATAATCCGAGCGCGATGGGGTCTTGCATTGTCGTCCTGAAGGATAGCACCTTGACCAATCTGACGAAGTGTGGGCAATACCAGGGGTTCAAGAATCTCATCACGGTACCTGGCAGCATTCAGATTCCCGACAATATGGTACAGAGGAGTCCTATGATTCCAACTGAATCCTTCCCATACCATCACTGATCCCCCACCAAAAGCGACACGTTCACGTACTGTGGCATCAGTGAATCTCTCTCCAGTACGACGCCACACCCGTATTCTTCCATCATTGAGCTGCAAACAGAATCGCGACTCGTCTGTAAACAGTACACGAGACCATTGCTGTCTGTTCCAACGCACATGTTGTCGACACCAAGCCAGACGTGCTGTTCTGTGAACTGGACGTAAAGGTGGTCTCACTGCTTGTCGTCGACTTCTCAAGTGCGCAGCTCGTAAACGGTTTCGCACCGACTGATCACTAACGACAGTGTTATTGACAGCCCTTAACTGTAACCTGAGGTTGTTTGCTGTTGATGTACGCTGCCTGAGTGCTTGGAGAACCAGGTATCGGTCATCACGTTGTGAGGTACACCTTGGCCGTCCAGAACGGTGTCGCTCTTGCACTCCGCCAGTGGCAGCAAAAAGATGCCAAAGGTGTGAATGACAGAGGGAGACACCTGCAATCTTCTGCCCACTTCAGGTAAAGAAAGGCAATCCTGGAGCCAACCAATAGCTCGTCCTCTATCAACATCAGTCAGATGTCGTCTCTGTGGCATGGTTTTGGAAAGTGTGATAACACGATCATCATCATCGCCTTCTTAAAGGGAAAGCATGCACGTGCACCATGAACATCACCACTTTCATATGCTGAGCATGAAAATTGTGTTGGTTGTTGCTAAGGACAGGTGCAGCGTTGTGTTTGGGCGACAATATTCCTGTGTTTTGCTCATGTTTTCAATTCATTTGCATGACTACCAGAAGTGTTTCCAGAAAGTGTCAGGAGGATAAGCAATACCCCAGACGTGGTGCAACATGTTGCCAAACATTAGATGATAGTAATGTTATAACACATAATGCCATGACCAATTTGCTAAATCGTGTATTATATATCTGGTGTTCTTTAACTTCTTTTGAGTAGTATAGAAATCAAATATACACTGGTCTGAATCATTGAATGCTTTGCACACTTATACCAAGAATCTATGAGCCTTGATCCGGGGCACAGACTGATGTTGCCTCAGAGTAAAAGATCTGATTTTAAGATACATGTATGCGAGAAAGTTGTAAATGTTGCCTGTGGCCAAAGTTTGTCCTTAGATGTTACTGAAGGTGGTGATAGTTATTATCGTGATGAAGATCAATGTGCAGATCTTGCCAAAGGGTGATATCTGTGATATTGTAATAGGTTTCAGGTAAGGACATTATATCTGCTATTCTCTCCTTTACCAGTGATCTATCATGGTGTAACATTTATACTAAGTTTTCAGACCCGTGAAGATTCCGGGGTAGAATAGGTCTTCAGTAACCCATACTTGCCGTAAAAGTGACTATGCTTGTCGTAAAAAGCGACTAACCATGCTAACGGGATCGGGTGGTCAGTCTCGCTGACTTGGTTGATACATGTCATCGATACCAATTGCGTGGATCGATGCTCATGATGTCAATCACTTGATTGTCTGGTCCAGACTCGATTATTTTACAGACCGCCGTCATATAGCTGGAATATTGTTGAGTGCGGTGTTAAACAACAAACAAACAAACTAAGTTTTCATGTAATAATTAGATCCACAGCAAGTGCTTTTAATTATTACATGAAAACTGAGTATAAATGTTACACCATGATATATCCAAGGTATCTGAGTTGTCAACTAACCATGCCAGAAATAATCAACATACACCATATATTAAATTTTATTGATTGCTATTGTATATATTAGGGCTGCAACGAATACACTATGAGGCGAATACGATTCATATCACGAATACAGGGTAACGAATACGAATATTAATTCACAATTACAATAACAAGTCAGCAGTTTATGTATTATCTATTATATTCAGTGAAACAATAACATCATAATTTATTTGACATGGTTTGTTAATTATTAATGAATTATACATTTATATACTGCACTTATCCAGGTACTAGTATCTGCTCAAATGAGACAATGACCAGTGAAAACACTACTATCAAATTAAATATTATTAGAGTGTTGTCATTGAAAGAAATATATGCATATAATATGTTGTTATGGATATTTTTAGGTACAGGGTATGTAAATATACATGATAGCATATACATAAATATTCGATTCTAGTGGCCATGCATGAATAACGAATTCAATTCATGAATTGTTAAGGCTCGATTCACAGAATACGCGAGTGAATCGTAACAGCCCTAGTATATATCAAGTAATACATGTTCTTTCACACAAATACATGTAAATATGACATCTGGAAAATGATTACCCTATTCAACGTAATAAGCGCCCATGGCGATATTTGCTAATATATTGGCTAGTGAACAATCCCAATTAGCACCCCTTCTGATTGATCAATGTACACAAGACTTATCTATTCGTGTATAATACGCACTCGTGTGTTATATGCACCCTGAATTATGGGCAATTAAATTCTGGAAAATATATCTGTTGTGTATAGTACACACAGACTTTTCTTATGTATCATTTCAGGCTGTCACCTCTT